CCTGGAACTCTATCTGTAGACCAGGCTGGCCTCGAACTCACAGAGATCCGCCTGCCTCTGCCTCCCGAATGTTGGGATTAAAGGCGTGTGCCACCAACACCAGGCCTTTTGTTGGGGTTTAAAGCAACAACTTAGTCTACAACAATGCCCTCCTGCTACTGCTATTTAGCAACCTTTTTTTTTTATTCTGCATTGGAGTTTTGCCTGCATGTATGTCTGTGGGAGGGTGTCAGATCTTGGAGTTACAGTTGTGAGCTGCTATGTGGGTGCTGGGAATTGAATCCAGGTCCTTTGGAAGAGCAGTCAGTGTTCTTAACCACTGAGCCATCTCTCCAGCCCTTAGCAGCCTTTTCAAAACATGTAGTTAAGGAGAGATGGTTGGTAGAAGGCTCATCAGTTACAAGAACCGTGGATTTGGTTCCTAGCACCCACACGGTGACTTACAACCTCCAGAGTTGCAGGGCCTCTGCTGTCTTCTTCTGGCCTTGGCAGGCACCAGACACGTATGTAGTGCACAGAGATACATGTAAGCAAAGCATTCATACAGATAAAGTAAGTAGATATTTTAACTTCTTTTCTCTTATATGACTTCATTTCTTTTAGGCAAGACTTAAAATTAATATTCCATATTTAAAACTGACTTCCTTCAAAATAGCCCGAAGGTCACGGTATCTTAGAGACACAGGTGGGATAGAAGGACAGGAAAGTGCAAGGGACACGCATTCCTCCCACGTCTGGTTTGCATTCTCGACAACTGCAAATCCAGAATCTCCACCCAAATAACAAAAACCACTATTAAGTTTGCTGTATGGCAACAACAGTCCCACTTCTTTTTTTTTTTTTTTTTTTTTTTTTTTTGGTTTTTCAAGCCAGGGTTTCTGTGTGGCTTTGGAGGCTGTCATGGAACTCGCTCTGTAGACCAGGCTGGCCTCGAACTCACAGAGATCCGCCTGCCTCTGCCTCCCGAGTGCTGGGATTAAAGGTGTGCGCCACCAACGCCCGGCCCAACAGTCCCACTTCTGAGCAGTGTCTGTAGAAGCCAGTACTGACCCTTGTCGCAGGCTATCTCTGAGCCACCAACCAGCTCCCAAATCATGACACAGTGACTCATTATGGATGCTTGGCCTTAACTTAGGCTTGTCCCACTAGCGCATATGACTTCCTTTTCTTAATTTTTAAAAAAAATTTATTTATTGTGTATACAGTCTTCTGCCTGCACACCAGCAGAGGGCACCAGATCTCATTCAAGGTGGTTGTGAGCCACCATGTGGTTGCAGGGAATTGATCTCAGGACCTCTGGAAGAGCAGTCAGTGCTCTTAACCTCTGAGTCTTCTCTCCAGCCCTCATATGACTTCTTTTAACCTTTCCTCTTCATCTACCTTTGCCTTGGGGTTTTTTACTTTAATTCTGTTTGTTCTACTTTTCCTGCTTCTTCCATGTCTGACGGACTAGCTGCTGCCTGGCTGTCTGGCCACAGGCATTTCTCTCTAGATTCTTCCTCCTACTTACTCTCCCTGCCCACCAGCCCCACCTGTCCCTCTACTGTCCAGCTTTTTATTAGACCAATCAGGTACCTTAGGCAGGCAAAGCAACACATCTTTACATTGTTAAATATAGCATAATCAAATGTAACACCCCTTCACCTAGTTAGAGTAATAGCCCACCACAGGCTCTCCCTGGGACTCTTGGCTTGAGCTTTGGCAGCGTCCCTTCTTCATGTGTAAGCCTGAGCACAGCCATCTGACAGAAGCAGGGCACGGGGTGGAGGCCTACAGTCCCAGCACTTGGGGGTTCAAGGTCATCATCCTCAGCTACATAGTAAGTTTGAGGCTAGCCTAGACTATGTGAGACCATCCTGAGAGAGAGAGAGAGAGAGAGAGAGAGAGAGACAGAGAGAGAGAGAGAGAGAGAGAGAGAGAGAGAGAGACAGAGAGAGAGAGAGAGCGAGAGAGAGCGCTTAAGAGCTGGGAGATGTTTCAGAACACACCTGACTCTGCCTGTTTGCTAGAAGGATCCCACGGCCCTGCTAGCCAATCAGTGAGCTGCAGGTTCAGTGAAAAACCATATCTCAAAGGATAAAGTAGGGGCTGGAGAGATGGCTCAGAGGTTAAGAGCACTGACTGCTCTTCCAGAGGTCCTGAGTTCAATTCCCAGCAACCATATGTTGGCTCACAACCATCTATAATGAGATTTGGTACCCTCTTCTGGCATTCAAGGCTGAATGCTCTATACCTAATAAATAAGTAAATCTTTTTAAAAAAAGGATAAAGTAGAAAGTAATAAAGCCGTAGTTCTCAACCTTCCTAATGCTTTTAATACAGTCCCTCATGTTGTAACCCCCAGCCATAAAATGATTCCATTGCTGCTTCATAACTAATTTATTTTCTCACTGTTATGAATCATAATGTAAATACCTGATATGCAGGATATCTGCTGTGTGACCCCTGTGAAAGGGTTTGTTCAACCCCCCAAAGGTCTCTGGACCCCCAGGTTGAGAATGTCTGTAATAAAGGAAGGCACCACTTGCCTGTACAGGGAGGGCAGGATGGGAGGTGGGAGTCGGGCAGACCCTGGGCACGCTAGCTAAGGTGGCCTGCTTCCCAACATCCCAATGAGAGACTATCTCGAACAAAAGTTGGAAATAAACTGAAGATGGGGACTGGAGAGATGGCTCAGTGGTTAAGAGCACTGGCTGCTCTTCCAGAGGTCCTGAGTTCAATTCCCAGCAACCACATGGTGGCTCACAACCATCTGTAATGAGATCTGGTGCCCTCTTCTGGTATGGATGGAAAAAAAGGCATTCATATATATAAAATAATAAATAAATATTTTTTAAAAAACTAAAGATGACACAGGAAGTTATTCTCTAAATTCCAGGCTGGCATTTGCACAAACATGCATCAACACCTAGAAAAACACACACACACAAATACACAAATAAACAATGTTATGACTTCATTTATAAAAGGAATTTGGGGGTCAGTTTTCAAAACAGGGTTTCTTTGTGTAGACCAGGCTGGCCTTGAACTCACGGAGATCCGCCTGCCTCTGCCTCCCGAGTGTGTGCACCACTACCACCCGGCTACAAAAGCAAGTTTTTGTTTTAAGAGAAGTAAGTAAACCACCACTTTTTAAAAACTTAATAATAATTTCCTCACATTTGTGTGTACCTGAGTGTGTATGTGTGAGTGTGTGTGCACAGGTACGCACAAATGTCACACTGTGCTTGTGGAAGTCAGAGGACAACTTTTGGAAATCTGTTCTCTTCCTCTACCATGTTGGAGAATCAAGCTTGGGTTGTCAGGCTTGGCAGCAAGCACCTTTACCCTCTGAGCCATCTTGCCAGTCATTTAACGTGATGTCAAATGTTTACTTAATCTTTAACTTGCTTAGAACAAGTTACAGTACCCTTTGAACACTGTGCTTCAAAGTTACAAAATCAGTCCTGAAGTGCTTGCATGAGACCCTGGGTTAGGTCCCTAGCACAAAAAACTAAAAGCCACAACATCGGCCAGACCCAGTGGCATGTCCCTGTAATTCTAGCTACTCAGTAAGCCGTGACAGGAGCAGGATGAGTTCAAGGCTTGTCTGGGAAACTTAGCAAGACCCTGACAAAAAAGTAAATACTAATGATAAAAAGGGCTGGTGATGTAGCTCTGTGCTAAGGCATTTGCCAGCACATATGCAAGGTCTGCTATAGCGAGGAAAGAAGACATGCCCTCCTACCCCTCCCATTGCTCTTAAATCCATGAGTACCCTATTTTCCTTAATTAACCCTTTCTTCAGTCTAACTCATCCTGAGATTCTAGAGTGAGCATAAGCCAAGATCCTGGCTTCACCTGAGTAGAGGTGCTGTTAATCCTGAAATTCAACAAGAGAAAAACCAGTTCCCCCATTTCAGCCGAATTAAAGCAAGCATTTACTAAAATGTTAAATACTGACCAAGATGGAATTTAGACAGGACTACTACCTGGAACCTTCTTGGGTGAGTGGCCTCCAGGTCTAACGGTCTCTGAGAGCTCAGTGTTCTCAGACTACACAGATCTCTAAGGCTGGAACAGGAAAACCAAAGCATGGAAGATTGGCTTATATGCCTGTGATCCCGGCACTTGCTATGCTGAGTCAGGAGGTTTGCCAGGAGTCATTATTATTTATTTGTTTGTTTGTTTTTAAGACAATATCTCTCCTCTTTTATGTAGTTCTGGCTGTCCTGAAACTCACTAAGCAGACCAGGCAGCACTGAACTCACAAAGATTCTCCTACCTCTGCCTCCTGAGGAGTAAAGGAGGCACTTTACCACACCCAGCTCAATAGCAACTCTGTTTGCTTGTTTGGTTATTTGTTGTTATTCCTGGCTGTCCTGGAATTCGCACTGAAGACCAGGCTGGCCTCGAACTCACAGATCCGCCTGCCTCTGCCTCCCAAGTGCTGGGATTGAAGGCGTGTGTCACCATGGCTGGGATGGCAATTCTTTTTTCTTTTTCTTTTCTTTTTTTTTATTTATTATGAATACAACATCCTGCCTCTATGTATGCCAGCAGGCCAGAAGAGGGCACCAGATCTCATTACAGATGGTTGTGAGCCACCATGTGGTTGCTGGGAATTGAACTCAGGACCTCTGGAAGAGCAGTCAGTGCTCTTAACCTCTGAGCCATCTCTCCAGCCCCGGGGTGGCAATTCTTAAATAAAACATAAAAACATGGCTGGCACTGTGTAGACCATATTGAAATCCTGGGTTCCGTTCCATCATACAGTGTTTTAAAGAGAAGGGAAAGGGGCGGGGAAGGAAAAAGGAGAGAGGACAGAAAAGAATAGAAAGAAGCCACCCCTTTTCCTGAGCTGACTCCCGGTCCCCCAGCTTTGAACCCAGAAACTTCAACTCCGGTATTGCCCTGGAACGAACGCGATTGGCCGCCACAAGAACTACATCTCCCGGCGTGCCTTGGTCTTTGCATAACTTGCGGTGGGGAGAACTACATCTCCCGGCAGGCCACGGGGGGAGGGGGCGTCAGAGACCCGGGAAGCGGCTTGGGCTGTCAGGTCGCACTTCGAGGAGGATGGCGCAGTCGCGAGGAGCCAGCTCCCCGGACCCGGACGATGTCCGGCCTCTCAAGCCGTGTCTGCTGCGTCGCAACCACAGCCGCGATCAGCACGGCGTGGCGGCCTCCTGCCTCGAGGAGCTGAGGAGCAAAGGTTGGCTGCTGAGGGCACCGGGAAGGGTCGCGAAGGTGACCCCGAGAGCCGAGGGACTGCAGCGGCCCATGTGGGTCCGGTGATTGACAGGGTTTTGGCGCTTTCATTTTCCTCCGGTGATTGACAGGGTTTTGGCGCTTTCATTTTCCTCCCGTGAGAGGCTCTGTGCAGATGCAGGCTCACCGGCCCGGTTTTGGAAACGGAGTCTAGCGTATTCTCTCTACTCTGGCTCGCAGAGGCGGTCCTGGGGTCCCTGGCGGGCTGGGATGGGTGTCCACAGTCAGTACCCTGTTCCACTAAAAGGAAGCGGCCAGTACCTGCCCCCTAGAGTGCGTACAGGGGACTTGGGCGGACCCAGGTTCTGAGCGGATGTTGCTGGGCCTCGCACTTAACCGGTTTTCAGCAGTGTAGCGGGTGCATTTCCAGCCCGGCCTCAAAGGAATGTTGGAGCTCTCAGATGAGATGATATGTTCAAATTGTTTACACGCGTTATTGTCCCAAAGCAACAAATTTGGTATCCAAAGACATTCTGCAGGTCTTCCACGTAAGCTGGCCCCGGGCCTGTAGTCATAGTGTGTTTTAGGCGTGCTTCGCTTCCTGACAGCCACTGAGACCCTCGGGCTGGGTTTGATTTGGTGACAATGATTCTGCCTCATCAGTGTTTGCATTTCACCCCGGCAACAGGTTACTTCAGTTTTCGTGTCACTTCAGTTGCCTTGGCTGGGTGTCCTTGGCACAGAGGTCTGCGTTCTCTGCAGCTGAGCCTAAAGGAGACCGGCTGTCCTATTTTGGGTGATGACAGCATTGTTGAGAGCCTCTTGCCTGGCAATAATAAAAATTAAAAGACACCGAGACAAGCCTCTGCTGCCGTTGTATTTCCCTTTAGCTAGAACAGCCGTGAAGGAAGGTAGCTACACAGGAAAGAAAGCTCTTTTCTTTCTTTTTTTTCTGACACTGGATGTGTGGAATCTAAGATGACCACTGAATAAGTAAGCAAGAGGCAGCACCACTTGTCCACAGGTAATCAGACCAGGTTCTGGCTGATTCCTATATCAGGGTGCAGAGTAGCTGTGGGAAACATGTTCAGGAGCCACCCTGGGTTTAAATCTCAGTCCGGGACGCTGGAGAGATGGCTCAGCTGTTAAGAGCACTGGCTGCTCTTGCAGAGGACCTGGGTTCAGTTCTGAGCACCCTTGTGGCAGCTCACAGCTGTCTGTAACTCCAGCTCTAGGGCATCCAGCACCCTCTTCTGGGCTCCTTGAGCATAGACACGAATGTGGTCCACACACATACATTCAGAAAACAAACTATTCATACATATAAAAACTAAAAATGAATCTCAACTGTGCCACTTACTATGGGAATTAGTTTTCTAGGTTTTTTTCTTTTTTTTTTCTTTTTTTCTTTTTGGTTTTTCGAGGCAGGGTTTCTCTGTGGCTTTGGAGGCTGTCCTGGAACTAGAGGTCTTGTAGACTAGGCTGGTCTTGAACTCACAGAGATCTGCCTGCTTCTGCCTCCCAAGCACTGGGATTAAAGGTGTGTGCCACCACCACCTGGCTACTATGGAATTTTTAATGTGTTACTTAATCTCTCTGAGCTTGGTTCATTGTCCGTAAATCCGGAAATACTAATAGTAACTCCCGGGCTGGAAAGATGACTCAGCTGTTAGGAGCACTGGCTGCTCTTCCAGAGGTCCTGAGTTCAATTCCCAGCAACCACATGGTGGCTCACAACCATCTGTAAGGAGATCTGGTGCCCTCTTCTGGCCTGTAGGATACATGCAGACAAACCATTGTATACATAATAATTAAAATCTTTAAAAACAATAATAGTAACTCCCTGACAGGATTAGTGGTTTACCTGAAACGCAGTTGGAACAGCACCAGGCATATGATAAATGTTACATTAGTGCTAAGACTTGTGGTCATGATTTAAACATTATTGTGTCCCAGCAGTTCTAGTTAGCCCTTGGGACATACATGAGAGTACTAAGAGGGATATAATTTCCTTAGGATGTTCGTCACCTGCCGAACATTTTATTTTCCCAGCTTGTGAAATCCTGGCCATTGATGAGTCCCTGACGCCAATCACACTGGTCCTGGCAGAGGACGGCACAGTAGTGGATGACGATGACTACTTCCTCTGTCTCCCCTCCAATACCAAGTTTGTGGCGCTGGCCCGCACAGAGAAGTGGACATACACCAATTCGGGTAGGAACTGCAGGCTGCGCAGCGATGTGACCGCACAGCGATGTGACCGCACGGGCGAGCGGTTGCCGCTCGTCTGGCCGTCTAAACACTCAGGAGTGTTACCCGAGCCCCTCCGAGTGCCAGGCACGGCGCTGAGCCTGTAGATGAGTGAGCCATCTCTCCCGGGCCCACAGCAACCGGAACCCCGCGTGTCTCTGAAACTGGGGGGTGTGAATCGTGGCTCTGCCATTCCTAAGCAGGTGACTGGGCAGATCACACGGCCCGCCAGGTCCTTATTGAAATAGTAGTTACAGATTACAGTGTCTGTCTCTCCCGGCTGTGACAAGCAAGGATGTCTCCAGACACTGTCCAAGGCAACGTGTTAGTAACTGCTCTCGTCTGGCAAACAGTAAGGTCTCGGTAGAGGTTAATGATGCCATCATCATCACCGCTGCAGATTCAGGGAGGCAAGAACTGAAGAGAGCTAGAGAAGCAGCTTTGAAAAAGGCCATTGCTGCTACACTGAGAAATCACCTTTACCAGCCACCATTGTGCGTGCTGTCCCAGTTAAAGAATCGGTCCCTACCCCTTGCCATCCCCAGGACAAGGGCCAGGGATAGTGAATACCTTCACATACCAAAGCAGAGCACAGCCAAGCATGCTGGCATGGGGGCCGGTGATCCCAGAACTTAGGAGGCAGAGGCAGGAGGATCAGGAGTCCTAGGCTAACCTCGACTACATCATGAATTCAAGCCTAGCTCGGGCTGCAGGAAATCCTAGCTCCCCAGCTCCCCCCAAAAGAACACAACAAGACGAATCAGAGAGGTGTGGTAGGACCTTTGGCCCAGGTGTGAGCGTACCTTAGAGCTAAGTGGCTGCTGCTTCCTTTTTCCCCATTAAAAACAAGATCTTCTGTAGACCTGGCTGGCTTCAGACTTGCTGCCGGCCTTGGCCTCCTGAGGGCTGGGGTTAAAGGTGTTAGCTTCTCTCCAAAGAATACAGTGTGGTTTCACACAGGAATAGGGGATGGGGCACAGAGGAGAGAACACTAAGGCCCAGGGTGGGGATCAGCTTTCTGGAGAATTCCCGAAAAAGGGCGTCCCTGGCATGACGTCATCCTGGGTGGTCGGGCAGAAGGTGGTCGGGTGCTCACTTTCCAGCCGGGGCGCTGTGTGTTGGGGTTGCAGGCAAAGCGGCCTCTGAGTTCCTGACCTCCCGCATTGTCTCTGATCAGATGGAGGAACAGCCTGGGTTTCCCAAGAGTCCTTCGATGCTGACCAGACAGACAGCGGGGTAGGGGTGAAGTGGAGGAACGTGGCCAGACAGCTGAAGAACGATCTGTCCAGCATCGTCCTGCTGTCAGAAGAGGACCTCCAGGTGAGTGCCCGCACAGCCCACAGCGCTCACCAGCGCCGGATGTCACCTTAGCCTCTGTGCCCCATCTCCCGTCTCTCCCGTTGTAGTAATTCCATGTTTTTAAAATTGTCTATTGACACCTTGGTTCTTTTCTTGCTTTTTTTTTCTTTTTTTTTTTTTTTGGTTTTTTGAGACAGGGTTTCTCTGTATTGTTTTGGAGGCTGTCCTAGAACTAGCTCTGTAGACCAAGTTGGCCTCGAACTCAGAGATCCGCCTGCCTCTGCCTCCCAGGTGCTGGGATTAAAGGAGTGCGCCACAACAACCAGCTTGGCCTAGCTCAGGTTGGCCTTAAACTTGCAGTAACTAATCTTGCTGCTGCCACCTCCCAAGTGCTGGGACTTCAGGTGTTCACTACATCTGGCTCCATGATTACATTTATACAGATTTGCTAGAATTTGCAATATCACGGAGACTAAAAAGTAGATTAAGCTGAACATGGTAGTTCAAGCCTAAAACCCAGTACTTGGGAGACTGAGACAAAAGGACCATGAGTATGTGGCTAGCCTGAGCTAAATAGTAAAACCCTGCCTTAAAAATAAACAAACAAGCTGGGCCAAGGTGGCACATGGCTTTAATCCCAGCACTCAGGAGGCAGAGGAGGGTGGAGCTCTGAATTTGAGGCCAGCTTGGTCTACAGGGCTAGTTCTAGGACAGCCAGGGTTACACAGAAACACTCTCTCCAAATTCAAAAACAAACGAAATAACAAAGTGGGTGAATGAGCGTGTGGGCTATGGCACTGGTCAGAGCTGGGGAGTAATTGCTAAGGAGTCTTTTTTAGATGGTAACTTCTTTTCTCAGTGCCGAGATGGGGCTACACACACTGCATCACTGAGTAGTGGGGAATTGTCTAAGATGGGCTATGGTGGGGAGTATGCTACAACTTCCCAAATTATTTTCTAATTGTGTGTGTGTGTGTGTCTATGTGTCTGTCTGTGTGACTGTGTGTGTCTGTGTGTATCTATGTGTCTGTGTGTGTCTGTGTCTGTGTGTCTATGTGTCTGTGTGTGTCTGTGTCTGTGTGTCTATGTGTCTGTGTGTGTCTATGTGTCTGTGTGTGTCTGTGTGTCTATGTGTCTGTGTGTGTCTATGTGTCTGTCTGTGTGACTGTGTGTGTCTGTGTCTATGTATCTGTGTGTGTCTATGTGTCTGTGTGTGTCTATGTGTCTGTCTGTGTGACTGTGTGTGTCTATGTGACTGTGTGTCTATGTGTCTGTGTGTGTCTATGTGTCTGTGTGTGTCTATGTGTCTGTGTGTGTCTATGTGTCTGTCTGTGTGACTGTGTGTGTCTGTGTCTATGTGTGTGTCTGTGTCTATGTGTCTGTGTGTGTCTATGTGTGTGTCTATGTGTCTGTGTGTGTCTATGTGTCTGTGTGTGTCTATGTGTCTGTGTCTGTCTATGTGACTGTGTGTGTCTATGTGTCTGTCTGTGTGACTGTCTGTGTCTATGTGTCTGTGTGTGTCTATGTGACTGTGTGTGTCTATGTGTCTAGGTGTATTGTGTGCAGCTGCCTTCAGAGGCACCTGGTCTCCTGGAGCTGAGGGTCCTCATGTGGGTGATAGGAACTAGACTCAGGTACTCTGGAATAGCAGTACACGGTCTTCCTTACTGCTGAGCCATCTCTCCAGCCGTGTGTGTGTGTGTGTGTGTGTGTGTGTGTGTGTGTTTCCGCACACATGTGGGAGAACAGGCAGTATTCACCTGTCCATGCTTATGTGGAGGCCAGAGGTCCATACTGGGTATCTCTAGCCATTCTGCAGAGATGCTTATCTGTGAAATAAATTCAGAGTGTACTTGCTCAGTTAAAGAGTATGTGTATTGAAAGCACTGGCAGGTTCCCAAGAGATAACAAGCTAAGAGCCTCAGAACAGGACGGAGCCTGCATGGGGGAAGTCGAGGCCAGTGTTGTGGACAGAGGGAAGGCAGGAGCCTTTTCAGTTTGCTTGTGGGTGTGAAAAGCCAGGCTACCTTCTCATCTCCACATGCCTAAACAAAAATTAATGAACAAACATTTTTAAGACACAGGGCTAGCAACATACTGGGTAGAGGCTCCTGCCATCGAGCTCACCTTCATCCCTGGAACCCGCATGGTAGACACTCAGCTCTCCACGCGTGCACCCCGGTGTCATCACGCCTACCCTCACATATACCACAAACACAGTAACAACAATAGATTTAAAAAAAATTCTTTATATTGATTCATTGTAGAAATGATCAGTTGCCTCCTTTAGTGTCGTACTGCATTTCTCTCTCTCTCTCTCTCTAAGATTTAATTATGTGTGGGGTGTGTGTGTGTGTGTGTGTGTGTGTGTGTGTGTTGGGGGTAGTGTGTGCATATGAATGCAGGTTCTGGTAGAGGCCAGAGATGTGGACCCATGAAGCTGGGGTTACAGGAAGTGTGAGCCACCCAGCATGGGTGATGGGACCTGAACTCAGGTCCTCTGCAAGATCAGTACAAACTCTTAAGTGCTGAGCCATCTCTCCAACCCATGTAGTTGAATTATTTGTTTTTTGAGGCAGGGTTTCTCTGTGTAACAGCCCTGGCTGTCCTGGAACTCTTATCTGTAGATCAGGTTGGTCTTGAACTCACAGAGATCCACCTGCCTTTGCCTTCAGAGTGTTGAGATTAAAGGTGTGCGCCACCACTGCCTGGCCCTTAATTTTGTTTTTATCAAGACACCAAAACATGATTTTCCCTGTTTTCCCACTAGAATTTTGGAAATGTCAAATGTTTTTCCCTTCAAGTAAGTAGCTTGAGAAGGAGATGGAATGTTCTAGAACAGATGCATTTGAGAGCCTCCACACTTCCTTGAGGTTTCTCAGAGCCTTTGCTTGACCGCCAGGTACTCATCGACATCCCGTGTCCAGAGCTGGCTCGGGAACTTTGCCAGAGTTGTGCCACTGTCCAAGGGCTCCAGAGCACACTCCAACAGGTGCTTGACCAGAGGGAGGAGGCCCGCCAGTCCAAGCAGCTCCTGGAACTGTATCTCCGGGCCTTGGAGAAGGAGGGCGACATCTTGTCCAACCAGGAAGGTAGGCCTCACACTCGCCTACTCTGGGAGCGTCCTTAACGGTGGGACCTTGTTTGTAGAGCAGCCTGATTCCCCGAGGACCACAGTCCCCTGGGGATGTGGCCTCCCTCACCCTGGTGGATGCCTGCCTGGCTGAGTGACTGCGGTTCCATGACCTGCTGCTTTTCTCTCGTCTACTTTGCAGAGTCCAAAGCTGCCTTGGGTGGAGACTCGGATGCGGTTGACACGGGCATCACCAAAGAGATGGCTTCGGGCGTGGCTCTGACAAGCCGAATCCTTACCACACTGAGGGAGAAGCCTGCTCCAGAGCTGAGTTTATCTAGTCAGGATTTGGAGGTGGGCGAGGACTAGGGGCCCTCAACTTCAGAGAATGGCTTTACCCGGAAGTGTAGTTTGGAGGTGCAGAGAAAAGTGTGTGGTTTCCTTCACCTCTGCAGGCTGACCTACACTGCCCATTTGCCTTTTAACACAGCCAGAGCGTTTGCAAACATCTCACTTCATCTACATCCAAGTAGCTTTTTTTGTTTTGTTTTATTTTGTTTTTCAAGACAGTGTCTCTCTGTGTAGCCCTGGCTATCCTTGAACTTGGTCTGTAGAGACCAGGCTGGCCTCAAACTCACATCCACCCGCCTCAGTCTGGCCCTCAACCCCGTGGGGAAACAGAAGACAGGCCTGCGGGGCCCAGCATGTGCTGGCTGTCAAGAGTGGAGAACGAGCGTCTTGACAAGGGAGTCCCTCAGGGTGGCTAGTCTCTACCCTTGTTCTTGTCCCTGGGTACCAAGCACTCCCAGGTCTAGGTGGAAGGGAAGGGAACTGAGTCAGCGTGAGCTTGGTTCTGTTTCCTGGTGGGCCTGAGGGGCCACGGCCGTGAAAGGCATGCCACACTGCGCTCAGGCCGGCCTGGGCCTCATACAGGGCCAGCTGTGTCTCTAAAAGGAAGAAAAGGAGGCGCGAGAGAGAGAACGCGGGCGAGGGGCTCAGAAGCTGCGGGTTCAGTGGTTCTTACTCTTGCTGCAGTTGGTCTCCAAGGAGGACCCCGAAGCCCTGGCTGTTGCTTTGAACTGGGACATAAAGAAGGCGGGAACGGTCCAGCAGGCCTGCAGCATGGAGCTCACCCTGCGCCTGCAGCAAGTGGGGAGCTTGCGTTCACTCCGGAGTCTTTCGGTGAGGAAGAGCCCGCCGTCTGGGGAACAGCAGAGTCCCAAACGAGCCAAACAGGACCCCGAGTAGCTCCACCAGGAGCGTGACTTGCTGAGGAGAAGCCTTGGTTTTGTTACCAGTAAACAACCGCCCCTTGTCATTTTACTACCTACAGTCTTCTCTACCTCCTGCTTCCGGGTGCTCTTTCTAGCACAGGTGGCTTCTACCTGTTCCAGAAAAGCTGTTCCAGCCTATACAATGCCCTTCTACCTCCTCTTAGTGTAAAAGAATTTTTCAAGACAGGGTTTCTCTGTGTAGCCCTGGCGTCCTGGAACTCACTGGGTAGACCAGGCTGGCCTCGAACTCACAGAGATCCGCCTGCCTCTGCCTCCCGAGTGCTGGGATTAAAGGCGTGCGCCACCACCGCCCGGCCAGATTTTCATTTTTGTTTCTTGAATGTATATGAGTGCTTTGCCTGCATGAACGTCTGTGTCCCATGTGTGCACCTCGAGTCCACGAAGGCCAGAAGAGGGTGTCAGACCCCGGAACTGGAGTCACAGACTCTGGGTGCTCCAGCTCCCAGAATGCACTTATTGTAGAGGAGGCCTTAGGTCCCTTGTCAAAGGCTGAGAAAACTTGTCATACTTAGGACTCATTCTACAACTTGAACAGCAGAGTCTCAGACACAGATAATGGCAAAGAAAAGGCTAACGGTGGCCGTGAACTTCCTTCCCAAGTTAATGTGGTTGCTGTTTGAGTAAAGGCATTTACTGCATCTGCAAACCCCAGGGACATGGAGTCACATCCACCACTCCTAATATCTGACTCAGCGCTGTGAAGCTGTCGCTACTGTGAAACTCTGTTCCATTTCCTAATATGCTTTGCCAGCAGGGGGTAGAAAGTGTAGCTAAGTGATTCCTGTGTTGTGGCCCCAAGTCCGTGAAGAGCAGCACGCTTCTGGCTTCCTCCCCTGTTTCTGCTCAGACTGCTGCAACTTCTGCAATCTACAGTGCAGTCTGCCTTCAAGGAAAGGACGCATAGTTACGTGGCATTTGGCTTGCGTATGCTGGGAAGAAAATGCTGCTGTTACCCCCCTGGTGTGTGTGTGTGTGTGTGTGTGTGTGTGTGTGTGTGTGTGTGTGTGTGTGTGTGTAGGTTCTGGGTGCTAGGATTGAACGAGGGCCTCATACGTAGTGAGCACATCCCCCTAATGAACCACCCCCCAGCCTCACATTAGCCAGTTAAGCAAAGAAATGTAGCATTAAGTCTTGTGGTAAAGGCGAGGTGCAGAAAACAGATGAACCGTTTCCTCAGCTACAGCAGGAGTCACGCCTGTCAGCAGCTTTTCCGTCTCATACATAGTGCCTTACACGTCAGTTCCCATGTCAGCGCCCCCAGTTCCTCCCAGTCTTTGGGTTTGTTTGTTTTTCCAGACAGGGTTTCTCTGTGTAGCTCTGTAGACCAGGCTGGCCTCAAACTCACAGAGATCGGCCTGCCTCTGCCTCCCGAGTGCTGAGATTAAAGGCGAGTGCCACCACCGCCCGGCCCTCCAAGTCTTTGTGATACCTCTCAGTCCTTAAATAAAGCCACTGCTATGATGCTTCTCGGTTCTTACTTGTTCAGAAACACTAATGCCTTCCACGTGTAACGGTACACAAACACAAAGGGAAATGCCTTCCAATAAAAGTGTGCACGCCACTGTCTGCAAGACCAAACACACAGAAAAGCTGCCGTGTTGTCGGCTTACCTAGGATTTGACAGGCAGGCTGGCAGCATGAGTCGATTGTGAGCTCTAACAGCACACAGCACTGTCCTGGAAGTGAGATTTCCCCAGTGAAATTCTCAGCAGAGTAACATCTGTCCTGGGGTTACGTGTTAAATGTGCATGTTCCTAGGAATCCAGGTATATTAAAACTAAAAATAGCTAACTACTTAGATAATCCCAGCACTCACGAGGATCTCTGTGAGTTTAGATTTACTTAAAGTGTAGGAGTGTTTGGTTGCCTGGTGTCCATGTCGATCAGAAAAGAATGTCGGATTCCCTGGAACTGGAGTTATGGATGATTGTGAGCCAGCACGTGGGTGCTGGGAACCAAACCCGGATCTCTCCAGCTCCTTCCCTTTTTTAAAAATGTTGTGTGTGATGTCATGTTGAGTGGATGTACACGTGTGGGTTAGAGAGATCAAGCTTGCATCACCAGGCTGCTGGCTGGGTCCCCTCCCCAGGCCAGGACAGTAGGTACTAAAGCCCCAAGGTTGAAGAGGTCACATGAAATGCCCTGTGAGGAAGAGCAGCACTGCACCTGGGGAGAGGGCGTGGTCCCTTTCATGTCCCAGGGTCAGAGTGTGAGGCAGGAGCATGGTCAGCACTGTCAGTGAATCTATAAGGAAAGCTCTGCCCCAAAGATGGGGTTAGAGCAGTTGTAAAACATGAGTTCACCGCACACCAATCATCTTCCACACACCACCGGGGTGCCTGAGCTGGGAGAGAAATGCAACCACTTGCCAGTATGCCCCCAAATAGACAGGCTGAGTAAGGCCTGCCTGTCCTGGTAAGAGAAAAGAATGTCGAAGCCAAGCAGGGACCAACAATCTCCCTATTAACCTTACTCTGTTCTTCCGACTCCAGTCACAATGTCGGTCCTTGTTAGGCAATTGGCTTTGACAGCAGCCCTGCTAATTACCACTTCCCAACCCTTAATTTCTGGGTAAAAGCAAGAGAAGAAAACGAGAGAGAAAGGGCTAATAGTCTTCTTTAATATATACATCTATGCACTGAATTCATTACAAGAGTTATTACTGAGTCCTTACTATTCAGCCATTCAGTTCCTAATTAGCTATGCATTTTGTTTCTTCAGATTTGTCTATTATTTGTAGGGTTTCATAATTATTTGGTTTTTTTTATGCTGTGTTTTTTCTTGGATTTTTTTTAAAGGTTTTTGGTTTTTTATTGTTTTTTTTTCTTTTTCTTTTTTGAGACAGGGTTTCTCTATGTAACAGCCCTGACTGTCCTAGAACTCACTTTGTAGACCACACTGGCCTTGAACTCACAGAGATCCACCTGCTTCTGCCTCCTCGAGCTGGGATTAAAGGCGTACGCCACCGTGCAGGTCTTATGCTGTGTTTTTATTGTTTTTCTTTATATATGTTTTTAAAGTTTTAATTATGGGAAGGTGTGTGTGAGTGTGTATGTGTGTGTGAGTGTATGTGTGTGAATGTGTATGTGTGTGTGAGTGGGGGGGGCACATGGACCATGGACTGTATGTAGGAATAACCTCAAGGGTCAGCTCTTTTTTTCCAAGCTGAGAGTCAGACTCAGCTTGTCAAGGCTGGCAGCAGGTGGTGCCTTTACCTGCTGAGCCCTCTCAACAGCCCCTACCTGTGTTTTTTAAGACATTTGAGGCCAGGTGTGGTGCTGTCGGCCTTTAATCCAGACTGGGGAGGCAGAGGCTGGTGGATCTCTGAGTTGGAGGCCAGCCTGGTCTACAGAATGAATATAATGAGACCTGGTGCCCTCTTTGGGCCTGCAGACATACATGCAGGCAGAATACTGTATGTTAAATAAATAAATAAATCTTAAAAAAAAAAAAAACCCAAAAATCAAACCAAACCAAACCAACTAGATGCTTCCTTTCCTGGTCTGTTCCCATGGCAGACATCCCACCGTGAAGCCACTGATTGAGATATAAGGCGCGTCATCACCAAGGCTCCAGAGGCTGGCATCCTCTGCTGTCACCCCCGAAATCAAATCCTATGGAGGACCCATGGACCGTTACACTCAGTTCTTCCTCAGCAGTCAAACTACTGATGCCAAACACTGGAATTCGAATGGATGGATCAAGCTGTCCACATCTTGTTGGCACTGGCTATACCTTGACTACACCGGCTGCAGAAAGGTGTACACCTTTAATCCCAGTACTCAGGAGACACAGGCAGAAAGATCTCTTGGAGCTTGAGGCCAGCCTGGTCTACAGAGTGAGTTAAAAACAAAAACAAAAACAAAAGAAAGGCATGCTCTAAGAAAGTGTACCCAAATCCAGATGCAGGGACTTACCTCTTTACCTCTTTGCCTTTATGATTCTCTCTCTCTCTCTCTCTCTCTCTCTCTCTCTCTCTCTCTCTCTCTCTCTCTCTCTCTCTCTCTCTCTGACTGTCTCTGTCTCTCTCCCTCCCTCCCTCCCTCCTCTGTCTCTCTCTGTCTCTGTCTCCCTCCCTCCCTCCCTCCCTCCCTCTCTCTCTCTCTCTCTCTCTCTCTGACTGTCTCTGTCTCTCTCCCTCCCTCCCTCTCTCCCTCCCTCCCTCCCTACTCTCTTTCTCTCTGACTGTCTCTGTCTCTCTCCCTCCCTCCCTCCCTCCTCTCCCTCCCTCCCTCCCTCCCTCCCTCCCTCCCTCTCTCTCTCTCTCTCTCCTCGAGACAGGGTTTCACTGTGTAACGAACAGTCCTGTGCACCACCACCTCCCGGCCTCCTCTTCTCTTCATTTTTGTGTGTGTAGTAAATGTGTGCATGGGGAGGGAGCCCAGGTGTAGCTACCTGTATGGGCAGATGAGGAGGCCATGGGTTGTCTTCCTTTTACTGTCAAACTTACTTGAGACTGAGTCTCTCACTGACCCCTAAGCTGGCCATTCCAGTCACCTTAGCTAGGCACTGAGTCCCCAGGGTCTGCCTCTGACCCCAATAATGCAGTCAGGTCTCAAGTATACACTACCTCTGGTTTTTTTTTTAACATGGGTGCCAGGGATGGGGACTCAGGTCCTCGTGAGTGCAAGTACTTTACCCACTCATCATTATCAATCATGAGCACAGGAACCCAGTGTGTCCTACTAAGGGCTTCTATTGCTATGATGAGACACAGACACCGTGACCACTGTAAGTACGAGCGCTGGGATTAAAGGTGGGTACCACCACTGCCCAGCCGTGGTAACTCTTGTGAGACAGGGCTTCTCTGTGTAGCTTTGGAGCCTGTCCTGGAACTCGCTCTGGAGACCAGGCCTGCCTCTGCCTCCTGAGTGTGCCACCACCCCCACCTGGCAACTCTTATAAAGGAAAACATTTCACTGGGGTGGCTCACTTACAGCTTCAGGGGTTCAGTCCATTATCATCACGGTGGGGAACATGGCAGTGTGCGGGCAGGTACGGTGCTGGAGGAGGAGCTAAGACTCCTACATCCTGCAGGCAACAGGAAATAGACTGAGACACTGGGCGGTATCCTCAGCATAGGACACACACAACTAACAAAGTCTCCTGAACTAAGGTAGCTGCGCAGCAGGGTCACCAGCTTTATTGTGAAAGCCCACAGCCTCAAGAACAGTGCTCCAAGTAAACTTAAAACAGTAGTAGTCCTTTGTTCTAGGAAAAATTCCAAAGAATTCCTTCCAAAGAGTTTCTGGAGACTATCTGGTCTTAGGCATCTCCCACCCGATTACTGACCCCAGCAGTATCCCCGGGCGGCTGCGCAGAGACATGATGTGTCTCTTCCATCACGAGGCTGTACTCAGCTAGTAATTAGGACAGAGCTCGGCTCTGAGGACCACAGAGCCCAGTGGGCAGTCACAGCCGGGGTCTGAAACTCTACATCTCCAGCCAGCCTTGGGCCTTTCCCCATTTTGGGCTGACTCTCAGAAACTTATGCAATCCTAGAGATAGATCTGTAAGCTTTGAGTTTAGCATCTAAGGAGTTGAATCCCAGTCTCTCCACACTGAAAGATCCACCCACTGCAGTAGCCCTTAGCCCAATGCCAGTCTTCTGAAGAGGGGGGAACTGTGCAGCCCAGGCTGTCCCTGAACTCACAGCAAACCTCTTGTCTCAACCTCCTGAGGGTTGAGACTGCAGCCCTAACCTACCACACCCAGCCTCCTGTGGCCCCTCTTGGTAGTCTGCAGGATGACTCAGTGAATAAAGGCGACTGCTCCCAGGCCTAATAGTCTTAGTTTGAACCCCAGAACCAACAACACAGACCGGAAAACAGCTGTCTACAGTGATCCCAATGCCACATGCACACTGTGAGAAAAGTTTAAATTCTAGAACCTTCATCCTTGGTGTTTCTCTTAATGACTGTGGCTCAACAGTTAAAGCGTGTATAACCAGAAAGGATTTCAGTGCCATGGAGAATTAAAACATGCTAAGTATGGAAACAGCAATTTGCTCCCAGCTTCCTTGGGGAAGACCAAGATCCTGCTCAGCTGGGGGCTCAGTGGGTTGCTTGGTTTTATAGCATAGAAAACAGAACTGTCTCTCATCTAGCCATTATTCACTGGAAATTAAAATGAAAAGCTAAGACAACTGCATATAAAGCATTTCACTGGGCAAAAGTCTGTGTTAAGTTTCAAGCCCGGGACAAACATCTGAGGTGCCTACTTAACACATCAAAGCATCGGCCCCCACGTTCTCCCAGCATCCCCCTGTCCCTACCTGTTCCAGGGTGTGGCTGGCATACCTGCCCTCTTCCCCAAACTCTCTAGCCCATGGGCTGGGCTGCCCTTCCCCATGTAATCCAGGCATTTTGTACCTTCGGCCTCCTGGCTCCTGCACCTGCTCCCTCCCCCACATTGCCCAGCTCGGCCTGGCCATGTCCACTCTGGACTCCCCCAGGTGTCCCACCTGTGGCTACGCTCTCCCTTCTATCTGCAGTAAGCTTCCTCCTCCTCCACACCTAGGAGCTGCCACGTCCTTCCTTTTCTTTTCTTCCATTCACTATGGATACCGGATCTTGGCGATCCCAGTCTCAGCAGACAAGGCAAGCCAGGCATGGCGGCACACACCCCAAGTCCCAGTACACGGCAGGCAGACATAGGTGGCTCGGTGTGAGCTGGAGGCCAGCCTGGTCTGCATACCAAGTCGCAGGCCAGCAGAGGCTAGAGGGAGTGACTCCCTGCTCGGAAAGCAAGTGGAGTAGGCTGCAGGCTGGAGGGGAGCAGTGACACTCAGTGTGACCCTTTTGTTAGAAGAAGATGTCTTTCCTCACAAAGTAAAACTGAAGCTACAGCCAGGGAAAAGAAATGCAACAAATTAATATTTCTAATTAAAACTGCTGTATAGTGAGTTTGAATATAACTTTTATAAGCATGTCAGCATGGTGTCGGCTTAATAGCATAACATTAGTTTTAAAATTAATTTTAGCTAAAATATGAGATTAATCGCTGTGCTCTTTGAGCAGCATTGCCAACTTGCTGGTGAGGTTCACAGTGCTGAGGGTCAAACATGGTCCTGTGGTTGCGAGGCGAGGCTGTCAGCAGCACGGTCTCAGGCCAGAGACTCTTAAATTGGACAATTCATATTAGAAACAGCCTGGGAGACAGCTGGGTGTAATGGTGCACACTGTAATCCCAGCACTCAATAGGGGAAGACGGGGCGTGAGTTCAAGACCAAGGGGACGATATCCAAAAGCCAAAAGTAAACTGAAGATGCTGTTTGAACTGCAGCCTGAGCTGGGCGTAACCCCAGTGCTGGAGAGGTAGAGGCAGGAGGATCATCTTAAGGTCATTCCTGGATACGCAGGGAGTTTGAAGCTGGCCTGAGCTTACATATACCTTGTTGAAGAGAATTATGTGTTGTGTATGTGTGCACACACGCGAGTGTGCGTGTACACACACACACTTTTTTTTTTTTTAGCTGTTTTCAATTGAGAGAAGACAAGCCCTCACCTCCCAGCACCAGGATAGGAGCCCAATCAATGGGTCCTGCTGGAAACACTCCAGAGACCACCACCAAAGTTTGTTATTTGGAGGATTCTCTTTGGATTTTCAGTTCCTTACTTCACCTACTGCCTTTACAGAGACTTAGTAATACTGCACGGCGCGGGAAGAAAAGTTGACGTAAGAAGAAAGCTCCATGCTGCCTGACACTCTTTATTCAGACTGTGGTTGCCTCTCACAGGTGGCCAGGATGGGGTTATTTGCAAGAGGAGAAGGTTTTCCAGAAGAAGTTCTTGCAGGGCTTTTTGTCCCGGCGAGGGGGCTGCTGGAGAGGTGGGCTTTCCTGCCGCTGAGACAGCTCGCTGGCATCTGCTCCGATGGGGGCACTGGAGCTGGCTTGGGAGGTCCACTCATGCCACCAGGCAAGGAAAGTCAGGAGGCCATTTCCCTTGCCTTCTGCAGCACCCTGTGTTTTCAGAGAAGCAATGACAAAGGACAGCAAAGCAACCTATGGACTCACGCAGCATGCGGAGATGCTCGCCCTCCCTGCCAGAAAGCAAGCTGCTCCTCCACAAACCACATTTCCCTCTAAGGCTGAGTCTGAAAATCGCAGAGAAACTGCTCTGCAAAGGGAAAACAGACAAGTTAAAAAAAAAAAGTTATAATTTGGCCAGCCAGGCATGGTAGCGCGGGCCTTCCTCAGCACTCGTGAGCAACGGCAGATGGATTGTTGTGAGTTCAAGGCTAGCCAGTGCTCCTTGTCTCAAAATACAGATAAATTGCTACCTCTACCTTAAATCTTTGCTGATGTCCTCAGCTATGAGAGTAGGAAATCTTCTAAGGTGACTGACAGCTCAGATGCCCTCTTCAGACATCCTCCTGGATGCTCAGAAAGGCGAACAGACTGAGATGCTAAAGGCTGGTCTTTCAAACTCCTTGGGAAGCTTCTAGGAGCATTCTGATGATAAATGACCTGCCTGAAACTCATCTGGTAATTTCAGAGAAAAATCCGTTTCTAATGGTCAACTTTATGTACTCTTTCTTGGAACTTTTTCAAAATTGAAAAAAAAAAGAGAAAGTAAATCATTTGATGAAATTATAAATTTATACCACAGAGAATGGGATGATAGGAATTAATGTGAGTGAGTGAATGAGAGCATAGCTGTGTTCATAAATTAAGGCTCTGGGAGTCTGTGTGACCAATAACGGCAGGAGCTGGTCCACAAGTGCACTGTGACAGCCAGAAGTCCAGCCAAAGCAGATGCCAGCGGAGAGGAAGGAGCCCCGAACAGACACAGGTCGGACAGGTGAGAGCAAAGGGAAGGCCAGTGGACCAGTGGTCTGAATGGGACATTGTAGTGTCCTGGGGTTGCATACACGTGTACAGACACACACCTGGACACACACACACACACACACACACACACACACACACACACACTGTAGTGTCCTGGGGTTGCATACTCGTGTAGTACACAGACACACAGACACACACACACTGTAGTGTCCTGGGGTTGCATATACGTGTACACAGACACAGACACAGACACAGACACAGACACACAGACACACAGACACACACACACTGTAGTGTCCTGGGGTTGCATACACATATACAGACACACACACAGATATACACACACAGACACAGACACACACACACACACACACTGTAGTGTCCTGGGATTGCATACACGTGTACAGACATACACACAGACATACACACACACACACATACACGTGTGCATGCAGGGTCAGTCACTGAGTGATCAGAATGCCAAGAATAGAAAGAAACAGCAGTCTAGCCTACGCAAGAGTAGGGACTGTACTCACCACGCTCTCCTGGCCAGTGGGACCACTCTCCAGCGGAAGGGCAGAGGCTGAGGTCCCCCAGAGCAGCAGCAGCAGTAGCCCGAAGGCCGACAGCCACTTGTGTCCGGCACTGCAGCCACCCATCGTTTTTGGCAGTCCTTAAGTCGGCACTCTGCGGATGAGGGTCTCCCTTTGGAGCCTTGGTATTTTAAGCTCCAGGGCCAGCTGTTTTGGGGTCTGCACATGTCCATTGAAAACTTGCACGCCTCTCTACAGTCATGCGGTGACGCACGAGCTGGAGCAATCAGTTCTCACAAAATCATTTGTGAGGTTGGATTTAGCCCCTTAATTAAAGACTCGGGACTTTTCCTGGGCTTAGAGTGAATCTGCTCTTATTTTAGAACTCGAGCGTACTTGCTGTGAGGAAGTTCTGCTTCCTTGCAATTGTGCCTACAGCAAGCAGGAAGCCATTAGAACAAAGCCAAGCGATTTAACAGAATGGGAAATTAGGCTGGGGTAAAAAGCTTAGGATGTGGGATCTGACCCATATGAAAGCCAGGAGGAGGGCTGGGCTGCAACTCAGCACAGCACAGCACGTGCTTGTCATGTGTGAGGCTCGGGGTTCCGTCGTCAGCACCAAAAACCAAGTATGTCCGAGAAGTATGTCCGAACTGCTGCTATAAGCAAAAGAAACTTGGTGCAGCAAAGACTCAGGAGCAGAGGACAGCACCAGGGCTTCACCCATCACAAGGATGAACCGAGAGCTTGTCCCAGCACGACCCTCTGCCAGGGCCAAACCTTCATCTCACTGAAGGATGGATGCGGATGCAGAAGACCTAGGAGAACCAAGGGTCTTCTGCATCACGGTGGCACTGGACCATAGTTCATGGTCTAGGGCTTTCCAAACTCCCCATGTTAGCAAACGGTATGGTTTTTGTTTTTTGTTTTTTAATTAGGCCAGTGCGATGGTTCAGCAGGTAAGTCTATCACCAAGCCTGATGGCCTGTCAATCCCCTGGGACCAGCACAGTGGGGGAGAACTGATTCTTTCAACTTGTCATGAGTATGCATACCATAGTATACACATGTGCCCACACCTTTAATTGCAGCACTTGGAAATAAACGCCTTATTCTAAGATTGGAGGTACTTATTATTTTGGCCCAAAAAAGGAATTGCCAGCACTCGGGAGGCAGAGATAGGTGAAGTTCAAGGCCAGCCTGGTCTACAGGACAGCCAGGGCTACATAGTGAGCCTGTCTCAACAACAGAAACAGAATCTCCATGTTATAGGGTCAGCAAGATGTCTCGGTGCGTGAAGCAATTGCTGTACAAACCCAATAACCTGAGCGCCATCCCTGGGACCCACATGGCAGTGAAAGGTGAGGACACACTCAGCTGCACAATCAGGGCGAGAACACACTCACTGCACAATCAATCAGGGCGAGGACACACTCACTGCACAATCAGGGCGAGGACACACTCACTGCACAATCAGGGTGAGGACACACTCACTGCACAATCAATCAGGGCGAGGACACACTCACTGCACAATCAATCAGGGCGAGGACACACTCACTGCACAATCAATCAGGGCGAGGACACACTCACTGCACAATCAATCAGGGCGAGGACACACTCACTGCACAATCAATCAGGGCGAGGACACACTCACTGCACAATCAGGGTGAGAACACACTCACTGTACAATCAATCAGGGTGAGAACACACTCACTGCACAATCAGGGCGAGGACACACTCACTGCACAATCAATCAGGGTGAGAACACACTCACTGCACAATCAATCAGGGTGAGAACACACTCACTGCACAATCAATCAGGGCGAGGACACACTCACTGCACAATCAGGGCGAGGACACACTCACTGCACAATCAGGGCGAGAACACACTGCACAATCAGGGTGAGAACACACTCACTGCACAATCAGGGTGAGGACACACTCACTGCACAATCAGGGCGAGAACACACTGCACAATCAGGGTGAGAACACACTCACTGCACAATCAGGGTGAGAACACACTCACTGCACAATCAATCAGGGCGAGGACACACTCACTGCACAATCAGGGTGAGAACACACTCACTGTACAATCAATCAGGGTGAGAACACACTCACTGCACAATCAGGGCGAGGACACACTCACTGCACAATCAATCAGGGTGAGAACACACTCACTGCACAATCAATCAGGGTGAGAACACACTCACTGCACAATCAATCAGGGCGAGGACACACTCACTGCACAATCAGGGCGAGGACACACTCACTGCACAATCAGGGCGAGAACACACTGCACAATCAGGGTGAGAACACACTCACTGCACAATCAATCAGGGCGAGGACACACTCACTGCACAATCAGGGCGAGGACACACTCACTGCACAATCAGGGTGAGGACACACTCACTGCACAATCAATCAGGGCGAGGACACACTCACTGCACAATCAATCAGGGCGAGGACACACTCACTGCACAATCAATCAGGGCGAGGACACACTCACTGCACAATCAGGGTGAGAACACACTCACTGTACAATCAATCAGGGTGAGAACACACTCACTGCACAATCAGGATGAGGACACACTCACTGCACAATCAATCAGGGTGAGAACACACTCACTGCACAATCAATCAGGGTGAGTACACACTCACTGCACAATCAGGGCGAGGACACACTCACTGCACAATCAGGGCGAGGACACACTCACTGCACAATCAGGCTGCAGCACACGCGTGTCCCTCCCCCAGATACCTTTTTTTTAACTAAGGGTGCATGTGGATTGAAATGTACCAAGTGTAAGATGCCCTTTTTTTGTGTAGGTTACCGTTACCATCTGAGAAACCTGTACTTGGCCAGCTGAGAGCCCACCACTTCCCCCAAGACAGTGACAGTGCTCTTCATGGGTCCTCGGTTCAGAATTGTGGGGACAAATGCACAACCCCTTCATAGACAGACTTGAAAAACCCACCTCAGTCCACTAGAGACCACCACGATCCAAGGAAGGCTCACACCTAAAACAAACTGCAGAGCAGACGGCTTCTTCTGGAAGATCATGTCCCTATTCAACTTCTGGGAGTCTTCCAGCATGGGATTCAACTCAAGTCACCTTGCTTGGCAAATGCCCTTACCTGCTGGCCCCAGGAAAGCCTCTGTACCCCTACTACTCTAAGGAAAGAGCAGGCCCTGATCGCCTAGGCATCCCGTAGGACACCAGCTCACAGCACCACAAGTGTTTCACTGTGACTCCCTCCTCAAGCAAACTTCTGCTCAGGAAAGGCTTAATTACAAAATAGAGAAGTCACACAAACTGTGTTTCTGAGAAAGAAAAAAGCCATCGTTAAAGAATAAGAAATTCTAAGGCTGGAGAGATGGCTCAGTGGTTAAAGAGCATTGGCTGCTCTTCCAGAGTCCTGAGTTCAATTCCTAGCACTCATATGGTCTGATGCTCTCTTCTGGCATAAAGGCATACATGCAGATAGAGGGGGAAAAAAGAAATCCATCACCACCTTTCACTGATGATCAAGGGGTCACGGGTCTGAAAGAACCTTAGGAGCCAGAGCTAAGTAAACAGAGCTTTACTCACCATTCAGAGAGTCATTTGGCCTAGGAAATAAACAGTGAGAGATTATGCTTGTCCCCAAACACACAGCATGTCTAACTGCTAGCACGCTGTCAGCCTCAGCCGCTAAGCCACATCATGCCATCCCAACAGCACGGCCTTTCCATGCAGACGAAAGCACAGGCAGCTCTGCGGGGATTCCCGGCTCTTTCAGCCGTATCCGATGTCTTGAAGTGGGTAGCGTGAAAGCCTTGAAACATCTTTCCTTGTCCATCAGACCGCCCCTGGTGGTGTGTGCTTCTTCATGCTCAAACTGCTGGTGTCTCAAGGGGCCAGGACATAACTGTCACTGCTCACCCACATCAACATCGGGCTCCAAGGAGTCCTTGTTCCCATCCTCTGGCTTCCTTTTCTTCTTGGCCTTTCGCTCTAGGTTAAGCTGAGCAATCTCTTCATTTTTCTCGGTGATGTATTTTAGCTATGTACATACACAAAAAGCAAAACTATATTTAAGCCTTTCAATCTGTCTGTAAACTATTTTATTATTTATTTATTTTTGGTTTTTCGAGACAGGGTTTCTCTGTATTGTTTTGGAGGCTGTCGGTCCAGCCTGGCCTTGAACTCACAGAGATCCGCCTGCCTCTGCCTCCCGAGTGCTGGGATTAAAGGCGTGCACCATCAACGCCTGGCCTGTAAACTATTTTATAAACCTAAAAAAAAATCGCAGTAACTTATGCCTTCTCTAATATTCCAGAAGAACTGATTGGAAATTCATTGGCCGAGCTGTTTATCAGCTCTAAAACTGCCCTGGAGATGGAGACTGACACGGCTCAGAGTCAAGTCCCTGCTCTCGTGGAGAGGTCTCACAGGAAGGCCCAGACCCAGCAGGGTCACAGCATTAAGCCACAGTCAGGTGACCACCTCTAAGTGTCAAGTTTCTTTCTTCACCTAGAAAATGACAGCTTGGTCAAAATGATGTTTTAGATGTGGGAAAAAAAAGGAAAAAGAAATTGTGCTCTCATTTGCATAACCAATCTTACAGACTTCCATCCATGCCCGGCCATCAGAACTGCGGGTACGGTTGGGGGGCACACCTGTAATCCAGGCTACCAGGACACGGACACAGGAGGAGGGTCTCATGTTCAAAGCCTGCCTAGGCTAAAAAGTCAAGTTCAAGACTAACCCGTATATTCAGCGTGACCCTTGCTTTACCTCAAAACAAGAAATGGGACTGGAGAGACGGCTCAATGGTTAAGAACACCCGTTACTCTCTCAGGGGACCCAGTTTTGACTCCCAACACCCACCCTGCGGCTCACAACCACCTGTTAACTCCAGTTCCAGCATGTCTGACTCTCTTCTGACCTCAAAGGGCACCAGGCAAGCACATGGTAGATATGCTTACACGCAGGCCTAACACGTGCACACAGAAAATAATCAACTTTAAAACCAAGAAGCAGAAAAAGAAAGGGGGTACAGTGCAGCGGTATAGCGCTTATCCAGCATGCTTAAGGCCCTACTTTCAATCCTAGCATGAAGTGGGGCGGGGTGGGTACCACAAGGAAACCATCCCCATAGACTAACCCACGACTAGTCTGTGACATCATGCTGCAATGAAACATGGGACCAAAGTTTTGAGATATTACTAAAAAGGTAAATTATGGCATCCAGAGAGAGCTGATTAGAAAATTTCAAATTGGCCGTGCAAGATCCATCATAAAGAAAGGCGGACTATAAATCACACGCAGGTCTGAACGGTTCAACCATCTCCAGTTTTTAATGCAAGGTGCCCTGGAGAATAACTACACGCCTTCGAGTGATTAATTGGGAATAATGTATTCCGGTGGGGAGGGGCGAGAAAAGATTCATCTCTCACCAGTGAATTACTCCGCCTGGCTAAGAGCTTCACGTCTTCTGTGGTAATCGTGCTTCTTTTAGCATGTCTGCGGAAAGGGCAGAAGCGAGTCACCGAAATGTTTGCTGCTGAGGTGCTGATGACATATAGAAGTCCCGGGCAGACTTCAGAGGAGCAAGGAGGCCTAAGTGGTCCACGCCGTCAGATTCATGCCATTGGGCAACAACGACAGAAAAGTGAGTGAGGGTCCCAGCCAGGCACCAACTCCACAGAGGACACGGAAGTGAGAACCAAATGTGCTGGAGGGCAAAGAAGGGGCTAGAAGCCAGCTGAAGTCACCCTTGCTGTTGCGGTCGTCTGTGTGACGACAGACCACAACGCCAGGTGAGTACACAACACCGGTGAAGAGAAAGCAGCCCACGGTAGGACACAAGACCACACCACCCTGGGTGCTGGCTCCTGGAGCTCCTGTCCAGACTCAATTACAGACAAAGCACATGCGGCTCCTCCTGGAACACTTCCCTGTAAGCTCTGCGCACACACACAGACACACACACGCACACAGACATACACAGACACACACACACACACACACACACGCACACAGACATAGACAGACACACACACACCACAGACATAGACACACACACCTCCTGGAACACTTCCCTGTAAGCTCTGCGCACACACGCATGCACACACACACAGACATACACAGACACACACACACACACAGACACACACAGACATACACAGACACACACACACCTCCTGGAACACTTCCCTGTAAGCTCTGCGCACACACGCATGCACACACACACAGACATACACAGACACACACACAGACACACACAGACATACACAGACACACACACACACACACACGAACTGCTTTTTAAACTGGTTCTGCCTCCTGCTCCCAGCTTGGACCCAGGTCCTCAATGTCCTTCTCCAACCTTCACTAGGAAAGGAGGGGGCTGCAGAGAGGACTGCTCCCTGCTCTTACAGAGGACGGAATATAACTCCAGCTCCAAGGGACCCGCTGTCCTCCTTTGGACTCTGTGGGCACTCCTACTCATGACTACATATACACAGACATCCACATGATGTATCTGTAGCAAAAGATACCTGAGATAATAAGCTATGCTATTATTACTCTGATTATATCCTTTCCCACTATTACTAACTTCTAAGAACTTCGCAGGCAGAAATAGCTAGAACTGCGTCCTTAATAACGAGCTCAGGGGTGGGCACCGATCAGTCCTCACGGATGTCGGCTCACTCAGGTAAAGACAAGTCACACAACAATCACACTCCACTTAATGACCAGACTCATTCTCAATGCCCGGCTAAATGTGTTCACTCCATGTGTCATTTCATCCTAACAGACAACAGTACTTGTATGAGAACATACACTTTAAGATTAGAAGAGGGTTCCAGGCTAGCCTGATCTCCTCTACAGAATGAGTTCCAGGCCAGCCAGGACTAGACAGAGAAAACCTGTCTTTTTTATTACACCCCTCACCCTCCCAGAAACCCTGTCTTGAAACCAAAGCAAAACAAGATTAAAAGAGGCTGATACAGTGTCTCACTCTTAAAGAACCCAGGCTGGCCTCAAACTGGCAATCCCCCTGCCTCTGCCTCCAGAGTGCATGAATCACCAGGCTTGGCTTCAGCCTTCTCAGGATTTTCTTGTCACAGGAAAAAAGCAAACAAAACCCAAAAATGAAAACTAAAGGAAAGAAATGAGTATACAGCCTTTTCACCACTTGGAGTGACCATTTGGGGGAGTTTGTGACACAGCTGACACCCTCACCTCTCAGTGTGTACCTGGTATGAGTGTCAATTTTAATGTTCTCACCGTCCCGCTGGAGGAGCAGGTATGCTGCACACCTACCATTGCTGTCCTACCAGAAACTTCCCCAGGCAAGTCCCGACTCTAGCAAATTACTTCAAGGAAAAGACTAATGTTTACATAGGCTTCGTGTTGTGAGTCAGAAGGGGGCACCAGACCCTCGGGAACTGCAGTCCCAGATGGTTGTGAGCTACTGCGTGGGTGCCAAGAATCAGATGTGGAGACAAGGCTGTCTTGTGGGCGTAGGCGTCCCTGTACCACGAGGGCCTGGTGCCTGAGGAGGTTAAGGAGAGGGTGTTGGAACCCCCGGAACTGAGTTGTTAGTAGTTGTGAGTCACCGTGTGGGTCTGGAGTTGAACTCTGTCTGGTCCTCCGTAAGAACAAGTGCTCTTAGCCATCTCTCCAGCCCCAGTTTCTGGATTTTTTTTTTTGGACAAAAGCTTCAGTATGTAGCCAGGCCAGTCAAGTCTTGAGCCTGGACTCCTGGTCTCACTTCCCAAGCGCCAAGATTACAGGCGTGCCCCACCTGTGTTAATATTTAAGATATTTAAAAAGTCACTGACTTCCACGGCTAACACAGGAAGGGTCAGTGAAGGTGATAAATGCTTCATGGGACTTGGGGCGGGGCACACGTAAGCAGCAGCTGAATGAGCTATCAGCATCCCGTAATAGTAACTCGTCCCTCTCAGCTGAGCTGATGACGCCAAGCAGTTTTTTTTTTTTTTTTTTTTTGGTTTTTCGAGACAGGGTTTCTCTGTGGTCCTGGACGCTAAGCAGTTTTTAGGGTCTGGTAATGCATACCAGGAAGGCGAAGATTTAGAGGCCCCCCGGGAGCCCACTGCTTTAATCCACAGAAAATGTTCATCCCAGAACCTGAGTGCAGGAGAGCAAGGTGAGGAGTGTGGCTTAGAAACTGCGGGGTCACAGGCAAAGGACGCAAAAGCCCTTTCAGGCCTCAGCCATTCCAAGGGCTGCACGAAAGCAAAGCTTTCCAATTCCCCGAGGTGCTAATTGAGGAGACCACATAAATCACCTGTAAGAGCCCGGGCCTCGCCGGCTGAAAGCAAGCCTCCCCCACCTCTCAGGGAAATTATGTCTTCCTCATAGCAAATATGGAATAAAGGCCCCTGCCTGTCAGTCTCCGTACACCTGCAGGCAATCAGGGCTGCGGCACTATGGGCCCTCTCCACGGAGGGCCCGACCCCCCAACTTCCCAGAAGATCCTGAACAATCAAGCCTTCCCCAAGAAACAGTTTTTAAAACAGGCAGCCACGCGCTGCAGATCTGACCCTGGAGATGCAATCCAGACCTTTGCCGGTGAGAGCCTGGTAACTTGGAGACCTTCAAAGGACTCGGAAGTACCAGACCATCCGAACTGACGTGTTCAGACCAGATGTTAGCTCCCCACAGCATCCACCGTCATCAGTCACGAGCCCCCAGAAAACAAGGCGTCACAGAGCCCCTGAAATACACCACCAGATGGGGACAGTGACGTCAGCAGACCTCACATTACACAGCCAACTCCTCTACCCACCTGGCAAACATTTCAAGGTCTTTGGCAAAATTTTCTGAAAGAGAGCAGAAAAAAATAGATTTCAGCTGGGTTATTTCCACCTTCATAAGGAGTGAAACATTGGCTTCTGGTTGCCATAGAGACTGGGCAAGCCTTGAAGGTGAGCAAAGGCACCCAGGCTAAGAGCCACCCCAGGCTAAGAGCCACCAGCCTTTTTTTCCCTTGGGATAGGGTTTCTGTGTGTGACACTGCTGTCCTTGATTGTCCAGGCTGGCCTTGAACTCAGAGATCTGCCTGCCTCTGCCCCCTGAGTGCTGGGGTTAGAGGTGTGCATGTGCCTGGCACCACCAGCTTTTTAAAATCATGGCCTCACCCCATCCTTCCTAGCACCCTGCACTCTCCTCACAAGCCTCGTCCTGTGATGACACCCTCGGCAGCTAAAATCTGCTCCAAGTTATAGCTGGTAAGGACACTAATTTTCTCTTGCGTCAAGCAGGTGCCAGCATCCCTGGCTCAGCTGTCACATGCACTGTGGAGAGCATGGAAGTGTCACAGGGCACTGCAATGGAAAGTGCCCAATGTTCCCGTCACCATGGCCATCTAAACAGGAGACCTAACAGTCTTTCCCAAACAACACCCAAAGCTGACAGCCATGAGGTGATCAGGGATACTGTGGCCAGGGGCTGTGTGTGTGTGTGTGTGTGTGTGTGTGTGTGTGTGTGTTTGTGCAGGGGCGAGACACACCACAGCTCCTACCCACACTGGCCCCGGGCAAATCCCACAGAGAGAGAAAGGCAGTGGCCTCGTACCGCACTGTCGAAAAGTCACCTCCGAGATGGCTGCAATGGTCTGCTTGCTGAACTGCACCTGCTTATCCGACGCAACTTCCTGGCAAAGACAGCCGACGGTGTAGTGAACTGCAGCCTTCAGCCTCTGTGGGGAGATTAAAGTCCCTTCAGGGGCTGCAAGCAAGCGCTCACACACATCTTGACGTCTAAGACCAGGAGAGGGGCCGCCCAGTCTAATTCCTGCAGTGCATTCCATCACGGCTGAGTGACACCTAGGTACACTTGTCAGTTAATGACACCCTCTGGAGGGTGACTTGGGGGGGACATGACTTTCCAGCTAATGGTTATGATTTAGGTCACATAAAGATAAGAAACCATGATGGCCAGCAAGGGGAAATGACACCAGCACTTGCTGAACCCTTCAGCTACCGTCCAGTCCCTGCTCATCAAGGGCCATCTGGGGAGTACAATGAGAAACCAGGTTGCCGCCTTAAAATGGCTAACCAAAGACAGACAGACAGGTCCCGCCCTCCTGTTCCAAGTCCCTAGCAGCCTCAGCCTCCATGCACAGGTGACAGGACACTACCAGGACGGGCTGATGACCACACACCTGGCCACCCTTACATTCAGTGGGTTGCAAGCCACATCACCTGCCTTCCTGCCCATCAGGAGTGCCCCCACCCCGCCCACCCCCACCTTTTTGCCAGTGCTAGGGATCAAACCAGAACCTCACATGCTGGACAAATACCCCCACTAAGTCACACCCTAGTCCTCAGAAACCCCTTTAAGAACTGAAAAGCCTCACTCTTTCCTAGGCAGACGTGGCAAGGAGAAGCAGCTCAGGGCAAGCTCCGCAGCAGCCCCGTGCTGACTCCACTGACGTGTGAGCCCCTTCCCTGGGGAGGTGTAAACCACCATCTACCCCTCCTCACAGGGCACCAGCAAAACCAAGTACTGCCCACCCATGTCTAACCTGGAGACCCAATGTGTTTACTGGGCACACCCACAGAGCAGGGTGACCCCAAAGCAGCCACAGGACCCTTAAGGCCTTTTCAGGGGTGGGTGTGGCTGGGGACAGTACGCCAGAACCCATCTGGCTCTGGGAAGTCTCGTCTGCCTCTGTGGCTGGTCCATCTTCCTCTCTCCATGCCTTAGACCTTGGAGACTCTAAACTCAAGGGCAGGACCCTGTCTACCTTGTTCCATGCAGTCTACACGCCAAGAATGCGGTTGAGTGGGCGCTCGGGTCCTCACAGGTACCTCAGAGCAAGGTGCAAATGTGAGCTCACCTTTTGTTTTGTTTTGTTTTTTCGAGACAGGGTTTCTCTGTGTAGCCCTGGCTGTCCTGGCACTCGCTCTGTAGACCAGACTGGCCTTGAACTCACAGAGATCCACCTGCCTCTGCCCCCTGAGTGTTGGGACTAAAGGTGTGCACCACCAACGCCCGGCTTGAGCTCATCCTTACAGCCTCAATTAATCAGTAAGCATTTACTGTCTAAGAGCTAGACTTTGCTCTCAGAGCTGAAAACACAGAAACAAAAAGGCCCAGCAATATAGTTCAGGGGCAGAGTGCCTGCCTGGCATGCACCAGGCACCGAGTTTGATCCCTAGCATATCACACAACAAAAGGAACAACAATAAAATTAAGTAAAAATAAAAACCGGACTTCCAGATGTGGCGGTATGTGCCTTTAATTCCAGAATTTGGGAGGCAGGGGCAAGGGGATCTCTGTGATTCCCAGGCTAGCCAGGGTCACACAGTAAGCCGTGTCCTAAAAAGATAAGGGAGTATGTGTGGCACAAAGGACTATGGATGGATAAAGGTGCTTGCTACCAACCCCGCCAGCCCAACCCCTGAAAGCTATCCTCTGAGAGTACCCCATCAAAATAAATCATGAAAAGAAGAGTATAATAAGAACCATGGTCCCTTCTCTCCCACCCAACCTTGACCTTTAATGCACTCTTCAAAACTGTCAGCGTCACAGACAACAATTGCAGCCCAATCCTTGATCTGACCCTAGATGAAGGAGAAAGGAGAACTAAATCTTCAGGACAAATGGAGACATTTGACCTACACGGGCTGTACATCCAACTATGGAATTCCATTCAAGTTAGACTTCCCAGCTGTTCCAGGCCTGGAGGCTCCTGCCTGTCATCCCAGCGTGTGGGAGGTACACACAGATCAGACGTTCAAGGCCAGCGAGAGCAAAGGGAGACCCAGTCTCCAAACAACTAAACAAACACCAGGAAGACGTAGGGACAGGACACCCTACCTTGTCTGTCTGCAGGAGATGCGTGCTGAAATACACCACCCTGAACTTGACCTGTTCGTCCCAATGTAACACTGGCTAGCCTGGGACTCGGAGATCTGCCTGCCTCTGCCTCAGCCTCTGCCTCTGCCTCCCTAGGGCTCAGACCAAAGACTAGCACCACCATGCCTGGCTTCATCTGAACCTAGAGCCTCCAGCAGGCAGACACGGCTGGCAGCCCACCTCTAAGCAGGGTCAGGGCTTCAACACTTAAATAGGAGCCAACTACCTGAGAACAGCGCTTGCTACAAATGAAGCCAAGAAGCAGGCAGCTGCTGGAACTCAGAGCTCGCTAAGAAAGCCCAGCCTTAGCTCGCCGTCATCTCCAGCTGAGACTACTGCCACCGGGGTCTCGTTCTGCACCTCCAGGCAGCTCTGATTCCCCAAGCAACTGAATACTGGCTCTGACACCACCCCGAGAGGTAGTTATTCCTACCCCAGCTTTGTGCCACAGCAAGCAGAAGCTTGAGGACCAGAGATCACAAGCCACGCCAGAGGGTGGATTCGGGGCAGCCTGCGGGCGCTGAGTCCCGGCTCTGCAGCGCCGCTCTCTCCCTCTCTTGGCACGGAGCAGAGAGCATCTCTCAGGTCCCTCGGGGACTTTCACTGTGCAGAGTCTCTCTGGCTCTTTACTCCTAGGCTGGCCTAAGGCTCGGAGATCTGTTTGCTCTGACTCCCGGGTGCAGGGATAAAAGGCCCGAGCCCCGACGCCCTCTCTTGCTGTGTGAGTAGCTAACTGATCTGAAACTCACAATCCTCCTGCCTCCGCTTCTGAACCAACCCCAGTCCCTCCTCTCCCTCTCTGCGGTGTTGTCTCCCCTCACCCCGCCCCACCCCACCCCCAGTCTCCTTTTGGTTGGCCTCGAACTCGATTTGTCGCCGGAGATGACACAGCGCTGGGATGAGAGTCGTTCGCCGCCAGGCTCGGATTGTGCGGCGCTGGGACTCGAACCCACGGCTTCGCGCACGCTGTGCACTCTGCCAGCTACGCCACATCTCCTCCCTTTGGCGCCCACATCCCACCCTCAGCCCTGGGAAAGTCGGGGACACAGGAGAAGCGGGAAGAAGCCGCGAGGCTCCCAGGCGCTAACACCCCCCCCCCCGCCGCCCTAGCAACCCAGTGACGCGGAGACGGTGGACTTGGGCCTTTCCCTCCCCCGTTTATTTCCTACCTGCCGCTGACAGAATCGCTGCTGCTCCTCAGCGCCCACCTCCTCCATCACCGCGGAGCGCCCCGCGCAGGCGAGCCACTGTCGAGTCAGATTTTCCCGCTCTACGTCCGCGACGGGCTGCGCAGAGGGTCAAAGCGCGAAGCGCCTCCTCCCCGGTCCCGCGCGCGCCCCCTGGCGTCAGCTCGCGGAAGGGTCTTGCGGGCATGGGTGTGACCCCAGCACCCTGTGCCGCACTTCCTGACCATCTGTTGGAACGTGCGGGAGATAGCCCAGTGGTTAGCAGTGACTGAGAGCACCTGCTGCCCCACCGCGACTCCAGCACCCACATCAGGTGGCTCACAAAGCACCTGTAATCCCCCTAGAGGTGGTCTCCATGGGCATACACGCATGCACGTACGTAAATAATACCATTTTTAAAAAGAGCCAGGCGTTGGTGGCGTGCACGCCTTTAATCCCAGCATTCGGGAGGCAGAGGCAGGCGGATCTCTGTGAGTTCGAGGACATCTTGGTCTACAGCGCGAGTTCCAGGACAGCTAGGGGCTACACACAGAGAAACCCGGTCTCACCCCCCTCCCCAAATTAAAACGACTATGTATGTGCTGGGTATGGTGGTGACCTCTTTAATCTCAGCACTTGCTCTGTGAGTTCAAGACCAGCCAGGGCTACATAGTGAGGCCCTGTCTCAAACTAAAAAAACAAAACAAAAAACCCAAGCGTGTATTGCCCACAATGTGGTAGAATATGATTTTAAGGTGTGTTACTTTTGTTTATGCTGCATTTGCTTAACTCTGTGAAGCTGTGTTACTTTGCCTGTCTAAAACACCTGCTTGATCTAATAAAGAGCTGAACGGCCCAGGTCAAGGCAGAGAGAATAGGAGGAGAAATCTGGGAGGAAAGGAAGGAATGAGAAAGGAAGGAGGAGGACTTTGGAGGTCAGCCACCCAGCCAGACATGGAGTAAGATACACAGAAATAAAAGGAAAGCTCCCAGAGGCAGAAAGAAGGTACTCGGGTTAATTTAAGAAAAGCAGGCTGGAAGCTGGGCGTTGGTGGCGCACGCCTTTAATCCCAGCACTTGGGAGGCAGAGGCAGGCGGATCTCTGTGAGTTCGAGACCAGCCTGGACTACCAAGCGAGTTCCAGGACAGCCTCCAAAGCGATAGAGAAACCCTGTCTCGAAAAACCAAACCAAAAAAAAAAAAAAGAAAAAGAAAAGCAGGCTGGGAACAAGCAAGCTAAGGCCGGGCACTCATAAGAAAGGAAAGGCCTCCGTGTGTGGTTTATCTGGGAGCTGGGTGGTGGCCCCCAAAAGAGCGAAAACATTTGACAACACCACAATTAACAAACGATAAAACACGGGCCAGAAGATGGCTCGTGGGTAGCAGCACTTGTCCCTGGAAGCCAGGGGCCCCAAGTTTGATCCCCAGAGCCCACAGGAAAGAAGAACTGACTCCAAAGAGTCGTCCTCTGACCTCCACGGTGGGCTCACACTCGCACACACCGTACACACGAGCACTAACTATACACGAGCGCTAACTACACACGAGCGCTACCTAATGTTCGCTATGAAATGCAGTGCTTTCTATGGCGAACTCTGCACACATGCAACCTCGGGGTACTTTGCCACGGGTGTGGTGTTTGTAGTCCTTCCTCCAACTGCAGTGACCCAGAACCAGACTGAGACTATTGCCCAAACGCTACCCGTGTGGAGAGGAGGGTCCGCATTGCCGGGGACAAGGCAGGGAGTCTCCCTGTGTTGAGATGGGTAGTGAGACGGCTCAGCAATCGGTAACCCTGGACACCGCTGCTCTTACGGGGCCTGGGCTTGGTCTGCAGGATCCACTTGGTGCTTCACGTCTGTTTTAAGATTCAACACCCTCCTCTGACTTCCAACGGCACTAGATGCGCACACAGTGTACAAACATGCATGCAGGCAAAACGCGCATGCACATAAAATAAAAATAAATCAACAGAGGCAGGCAGATCTCTGTGAGTTCAAGGCTAGCCTGGTCTATAAGAGCTAGTTCCAGGACAGCCTCCAAAACAATCCAGAGAAACCCTGTCTCGAAAAACCAAAAATCAATTAATCAATCAATCAATCAGCGGGCTTCAAGGGATCAGCACTGGGTGTGAGGAAGACGAGGTTTTCATAGCTCAGGGCAGGCAGTTTCCAAATGGAGGAGTTCGCAGACAAAATAGGCAGGGTTACGGGAGCAGATCATAAGCCTAACAAGCTAGTCAGTCATAACAACCTCCTGAAACAAAAACATGGTTGTGAGGTGATCCAAACAAGGTAGCCAAAACAATCTTGTTTTGTTTTTCGAGACAGGGTTTCTCTGTATTGTTTTGGAGGCTGTCCTGGAACTCGCTCATGTAGACCAGGGTGGCCTCGAACTCACAGAGATCCGCCTGCCTCTGCCTCCCGAGTGCTGGGATTAAAGGCGTGCGCCACCACAAAGCAATCTTTTGAGACAAAGGCAGGGTTGCAAAGCGGTTATAACAACTTTTCGAAGCAAAGATACGGCTGCCATTCCTGGGACAAGTCACAGGTGGGGCCTAACCCAATCCTGGAGAAGCCGGTTTACTCATAAACAGAAACGACCTAGTCTGTCTTTAGTAGAAGACAGCTTTCAAGCCTGAGATGGAGGCAGGCTGGTTCATCAGCTACAGGGGGAGCGCTGGGGAAGCGTAGGGAACCCTGAAGCACCAGGGAGGTCCTGGGCAGTGCCAGAAAGAGAAAGAAGGAGCAGTTCCGAGTGAGGACCGGGGACTGACCACAGACCCCATGGCAGCTGTGGGGATGGCACTACAGGACAGGAGTCCTGGAAAGGAAAAGCATACACTCGCTTTCCTGGGGTGTCTGTCCCACTGGTTAAGCCTGAGGGAGGAGAGAAGTGTCTGTCTCCATCTAGAGGAAGATTCGTTCGTCGCAGCAATAAGACCACAAATCCTTGAGTTTGGATTATCCCTCTCCTTTAAGCCGCTGGAGGCCTTAATCAGCCTCACTTCCCCAGTCCCACAGCAGCCTCCCTGTGTGAAAAACCACCACGTTAGCCAGGAAGGTGGTGAGCATCCTAGGCTGAGGCAGCAGGACAGCGAGGTCAAGGCCAGTTTGGGTTACTGAGCAAAACTGTCTCAGAAAGAGCTGGGTGCAGTGGTCCACACCTTTAATCTCAGCACGTGGAGGCGGCGGAGGCAGGCCCGCTGGTCTACAGAACGAGTTCCAGAGTTCCAGAACAGCTCGAAAACGAAGAAAGAAAACTATGGAAACACTTACTTCTGTCAGTCCCCACTCTTTGCTCCCCGCATGCTGTCTCGTGCTGAAGCAGCCCCTTCCCAGGGCTAATGAACATCACCGTGGTGGCCTGTGGACTCTGAGAGTCTAAGAACGGGCTAGGTCTGAGGCAGCTTATTGCAGGGTGGTGGTCTACTTTGAAACAACGTGCACATGATGGTGCTGGAGCCTGTGTGGGCCACTAGATGTCACCATTGCTCCACTGTGGCCAAGGTCAGTGCTGCCTGGCTGTAAGACCACAGTTAGCACTGTGTGGGGCCTTGTCCAGCCCCAGCCCATAGGTGGTCATTTTCTCTCATCCACCCGGGCGTGAGCACCGGTTCACAAGCAGAAATAGCTACAAGCACAAAAGAGTTCTTCCCGGGGCTGAACTGCTTGCAAGCGGTGGAGGCCAGACTGGATCCTGAACGGCTGAGCCCTGGTGTCCCCACTCACGCCCTGTGGTCACTTCCCATCTTCCTCAGCACAAGTAAGGCGCGCATGCACAGGACACCACAAGTAAATCAGTTCAGCAGCATCTCTCATTGGCTTTCCCTAAACTGAACTGTAGAGCACGGTTTGGAAAGCAGTCTCCAGTAATGACTAACAAACCCCTCAGGGTTTGCGGCTTCTTCCTCTCGCCACGGCGGAACTGGCACACAGTAGGTGTGCAGTTAATGTGACAGAGGCCGAGAGAATGGGGTCTGGTTCATACATAAGGACAGGTAAGACAGTTTCGCTGGCTGGACCTTGGAGTCACGGGGCTAGGGCTCAAGTTCCTGCTCCATTGGTCGAACAACTTAACCTCTTGGGATTCACCGGGCAGTTTGAGATGATAACATGGCTGAGACCAGCAGAGGAGTAAGTTAACTTGTGAAACATTTAGGACGGACACACACTGTCTTACGTATGGGCCGCTTATAGGCCCTCAGGAAACCCCATGCAAGGTACAGATTTCCCATCTCTGCCACATAGCAAAACTTCCTCTCTAGAAGGTGTGTGTGGCTGGTGGCATTTTCTGAAGACTGCAGGATGTGTGCTCGTGACAGAGAGTTCTGGTCCTGTGTTTTGAGACAGGGTTGTCGAATGCACCTCAAACTGGCTATATAGCTCAGGGTGATCTTAAACTCTCAAAAAAATTTTTTTAGATTTACTTTTCTTTTGTGTGTAGGGGTGTTTTACCTGTATGTATGTATATGTTCTGTCTGTGTGCCTGGTGCCCTTCAAGGCTAGAATAGGGCATTGGATCCTCTGGGCTTCACACACACCTTTTAATCTCAGCATTTAGGAGGCAGGGACTGGTAGATTTCTGCAAGTTCAAGGCCTGCCTGGTTTATATTATATAGAGAGTTCCAGACAAGCTACAGAGTAAAACATTTTTTTTTTTTTTTTTTTTTTTTTTTTTTGGTTTTTCGAGACAGGGTTTCTCTGTGGCTTTGGAGGCTGTCCTGGAACTAGCTCTTGTAGACCAGGCTGGCCTCGAACTCACAGAGATCCGCCTGCCTCTGCCTCCCGAGTGCTGGGACTAAAGGCGTGCGCCACCAACGCCCGGCTCCAGAGTAAAGCATTCTTTAAAAAAAAACCAAAAACCCGCATAGGAAGGCAAAGCCTTAGCAGGATAAAGCTGGTACTGTAAATGCGATTTTAAAAAGAAAAGCCTTGGAGGACACAGGCGCTGGGGAACCTACCTCTGTTGTTTCACTACATAAACATGCTGTCGACTGTCTTCTAAGGGTTTATGTGAGCTCCCATGGGTTGTGCTGCTCTCAGCCTTGGTCAGAGAAGCTGCTTCTGAGTGGGCGACAGTTAACGCAGACTCCTAACAGTCAAAGAGCTTCTGTAAATCCCAGCAGTTAACACAGACTCCTAACAGTCAAAGAGCTTCTGTAAATCCGGCATGGGCCATATGTCTGTAACCCAACACTTAGAACTGAAGGTAGGAAGATAAAAAAATTCAAAGCCATCCTCAGCTACAGAGTAAATGTAAGGCCAGCCTGGAACACAGGAAGGATACTGTGTCACACAAATGACAAAATAGCTCAGCCTGTTAGTACCTGCTTGTCACCCCAGCACTTACGAAGCTGAGGCAGAAGGGTCAAGAGTTCTAAGTTAGCCTGAGCTACATAGAAAGGCTGCAAAAAAAAAAAAAAAAATCCCAGCTGGGCGGCGGTGGTGCACTCCTTTAATCCCAGCACTCGGGAGGCAGAGGCAGGTGGATCTCTGTGAGTTCGAGGCTGGGCTGGACTGACAGCCTCGAAAACAATACAGAGAAACCCTGTCTTGTAAAAACCAAAAAAAAAAAAAAAAATCCCAAGGATAAATAACAGAACGTTTCCCTCTTCCTCTCTCTTCCCCCTCCCCTTCTTCTCTGGCTTGTATTGCAGTGGCCCCTGGCCTTGTGCATGGTGGGCTAGTACTCTATTTACCTGGAAGAAGGTGAGGGGTCTTGGAATGTATAGGCTGGCCTTAAATTCTCCATCCTCCAGCTCCCTAGCGCCAGAGTTAGACACATCACGATGCCCAGCCCACGATGCACACTACGGCACGAGTGTGGTAGTCAGAGGTCAGAGACCGAACTCTGGTGGCCAGGCTGAGCCATCCTGTGCTGCTTCCTTCAGTGGTGCTGGGCTTGGCTTGAGCACATGGCTTCACTCATGCTAAGGGAGTGTTGTAACCATAGCCACTAAGCAATGGGGCGGGATTAGAACCCACGGAAAAAGCAAAGACCATCAGGCACCAGGCATGTGCTTGAAATCTCAGGCTAGGGAGGGAGGCAGAGGCAGATGAATCCCTGGGGGTTCACCGGCCAGCCCCCCTAGCTGAGTTGGGTGAGCCTTGGATCACAGAGAGCTGTCGAAACAAGGGCCCTCCACAGGCATGTGAGCACTGCGAGGTACCAGGGTGCGGGGGGGAGGCCGGCAGGACAGCTGACTCTTAACTACGCGGCCTTGGTGAGATGGAACACTAGTCCAGGGGCAGTTTTGCTTCTTTGGTTCCTTTTGTGTGGGTTTGTGCACGCACGCACGCATGCCCAGAAGCAAGGACACCGAGAGCTGGTTGGAAATGCAGAATGAGAGCTCCACCCCCAACCAGCACTTTCTGATTCTCTCCAGCGGGACATCACGCTGGCAGGACACTGGCCAGAGACCTGAACACCTGTACAAAGTGAACTCCCCACCAGTACGGCCACATTCCACCCGGCAGCTGCTGCTGCTCACTGGAGACTGTCTGACACGGAAAAAGCAGGCCATGGGCAGGAAATGACGCCCCAGTTACACAGCTAGTAGGAATGGGCTGGTTAGAGACCCCATCCTACCTTCCAGTTTCTCAAGGGTGAACCAGGAAGTTTCCTGTCTCTCCGCCATTTGTTTCCACCCCCAGCATCTCCATGGTTTCTCCTCAGAGTCCCCCTATTCTCCAAACGTCCATCTGCCTCTCTAAGGAGTGCCTTTCAGTCCTGAGTCTGCATGTGGGGGCGGGAGGGGCGGGAGGGCCTGGCCTCTCACATCGAGGAAGAGTCGGTGTAGGAATGCGCCCTGTACTCCAGGAGGCTTTGATGAAAGCCAGCTTTCCCACATCAGCTCTGCTGCTCCTGCAGCCGGAGACAGATGAGACATACCAGCTGTCCAAACAGGCGTTGTCTGCTCTGCTCTCGGGCCCCTCTTGGGACTGACTCAAACTTCGGCCAGAAAAATCAGCATGGAGCAGAGTTCACTGTTGGCCTAACTCAGTCTGATGGCCCCAGGCCAGGTAACTCTATCAGTGAACAAGACAAATGAAAAGCCTGGGTCAGGCCCATTCCCCCATGGGGTACTTGCTCAGCCTAAGCCCTCCCCCAATGATGGGACAGATTTGATGATCCCCCATGGAAAGCCTCTCTCCCCCTGGTGAGTGGATAGGGGGTGGGACAGAGGGGGATGGGAGAGAGAGGGAACTGGGATTGATATGTAAAATAAGATTGTTTTTTTGTTTATCGAGACAGGGTTTCCTCTGTATTGTTTTGGAGGCTGTCCTGGAACTCACTCTGTAGACCAGGCTGGCCTCGAAGTCACAGAGATCCGCCTGCCTCTGCCTCCCAAGTGCTGGGACTAAAGGTGTGCGCCACCAACACCTGGCTAAGATTGTTTCTAATTTAAATTAAAAAAATATTATTAAGGGCTGGAGAGATGGCTCAGAGTTAAAGAGCACTGGCTGCTCTTCCAGAGGTCCTGAGTTCAATTCCCAGCAACCACATGGTGGCCCACAACCATCTGTAATGAGATCTGGTGCCCTCTTCTGGCATGTGGACATACATGCAGACAGAACACTGTATGCATAATAGATAAATCTTTAAAAAAATATATGATAAAAAAAAAGCCTGCTGGGCGGTGGTGGCGCACGCCTTTAATTCCAGCACTCGGGAGGCAGAGGCAGGTGGATCTCTGTGAGTTCGAGGCCAGGCTGGACCGACAGTCTCCAAAACAATACAGAGAAACCCTGTCTTGTAACCCCCCCCCCAAAAAAAAAAGCCTGGTTCAGGAACAGACCGAGGGCACTAAAAATCCCATGGCAGACCAGGGCGGGACTAGACAGATTTGGTACAGGAGAGAACACACAGAGGACCAAGCCAGTCTAAAAAGTTTATTCCAAGTGTGTGATCAGGTGGGTGTGACATGAATAACCAGGCACCTGCTGTGCCCAGTAAGAAATGACACGAGATTCCCCGCCCACCTACTCCCTCCATGACCCACAATTTAATGTGTCCTGTGTTGTTTGGAGCTCTTAAAAAGAAAGAAAAGATAAGCCAGAGTCAAAATGAATAAGGCTAAGGGAAACAAATCAATCCCTATAGTGAACTCAGTGCAGACCTTCCTGCCAATGGAAAGGCAGCTGGAAGGTCCAGGTGCGCCCAGAAGCCAGTGTAGAGGAGTGCAACTATCTACGCTTTCACTGAGTGGAGGACAACAGAGCCCACACGCACGGTCCACGGTCCAGGTGGTACAATCCCACACACCCGTGCCCTCTGTGTGCCAAGAGCTGCAGCCTGTCTGACCCACATGGCACAGCTCAGTCAGGGAGCGGTCACGCAGAGCCACACAAGACAAGGTCCTGGGCAGTGTAGAAGGTTGAGGCGGGGCGCATGGCAACTTCTTCAGCAATCACAGCCGACACTTGGCTAAAAGATCTGGGCAGGAACTAGGACAAAGAGGAGTGCCTCGTACCACGGGGACTGTCCTGTTGGGGGGAGGGAGGGCGAAGCCACAGTCCTACTAGGCGTTGTATGAAGAGGATGACACACTGCCACCGTGGCCTGTCCAGTTGGTATGGATAAACTCTCCTGGTTTGGCTAAGAGTTCATAGGTGTGAGCCCCAAAGTAATCCCGCTGAGCCTAGGAAAGGAACGCAGTTGGTTGGTTAGGGAGATACGGAGGCACCCAACCCTCAGGAACCCGCCAAGTTCAGGCTTACCTGGATGAGGTTGGCTGGCAGCACCTCATGTCTGTACCCGTCATAGAAGGAGAGGGCAGTGGTGAAGCAAGGCATGGGGATGCCGGCTTGCACCCCAGTGCTGACCACCCGCCGCCAGGAGTCCTGAGCACAGACAGCACAAGGTCAGTGGCTGGGTGTGCCCAGAGGCACTGAGCTCCAGTCTGCAGGAGTCCCCACAGGAGACCCCACAGGAGTCCCCACAGGAGACCCCACAGGAGTCCCCACAGGAGTCCCCACAGGAGACATTACAGGAGACACCACAGGAGACCCACAGGAGACCCCACAGGAGTCCCCACAGGAGACACCACAGGAGACCCCACAGGAGTCCCCACAGGAGACACCACAGGAGACCCCACAGGAGTCCCCACAGGAGACCCCACAGGAGTCCCCACAGGAGACACCACAGGAGACCCCACAGGAGTCCCCACAGGAGACACCACAGGCACCAACGCTGCTAAATGAAACCCAGAGCCCAGCACCACCCACTGCCAGCTACGCACCTGGCAATTGTCAATTGCTGACTTAAAGAAGTCATCGAGCAGCAGGTTCTGAAGTTCTGGGTTTCGCTCAAACGCATCTTTAATTTTTCCCAGGAACACGCTGAAACAGTTTGCAAGAAACCAATCTTAGAAGAGCAGCAGGCTGAAGGTCTGGAAATACTACGTCAAGGCATCCTCTAGAGGAGCAAAGTCACAGTTCTCACCCCAGAGCTGGCAGAGGAACGAGCCATGAGATGACTCAGCAGGTAAAGGTGTTGGCCATCAAGTCTGACCAAATGAATTCATTCCTGGCCCCACACGGTGGAAAGAAAACGAATCCCCACAAACGCGTCTCCTGACCTCACACACAGCTGTGGCACATGTGTACCACCCTGGGCGGGCGGGGGTGGGGTTCTGCTTGCATGCATGTCAGTGCACCAGGTGCATGTAGTGCCCAGGGAGGCCAGAAGGGGGCATTATACCCTTGGGATCGGATTGTGAGCCACTGCGTGGGTGCTGAGCCTGGATCCTCTGGAAGAACTGCCAGCGCTCTTAACTGCCATAAGAATTATTTTAAAAATAATACTTCCTTTTAAAGTACAGAGAGTGAGGTGGAGACTGAAGAATCAATAGTTCAAGGCCAGCCTGGGCAATGTGAGACCCCCTATCAAGCAAAACCTGGAGTAGGCCCCAGGAGACAAGTCCGGCGCCAGGATACTTCCCACAGAGCTACTTGCAGTTGGAGAAACTGAGTGTCCCTCAAGTGTGGACAGGGGTGGGTTCACCAACATTCGTGGGTGCTCAAATCCTTCCTAGGAAAGCCTAGTGTTTAATGGGCCAGTGACACGGCTCAGCGGATAAGGGCCTACTACCCGAAGGACCCCCAGGTACCACAAGTAGAAGGAAAGTACTGGAGGGGAGTGTAGGTATGGTGATGGGCAGCAAGCGTGCCCACAACAGCCGACCTGTACGGCAGTGTGGTACATTTTATGGTGGCATGGCTCTTGTGGCCCTTTGATACTGGCCAATTGGTGGTGTTTCCAGGGATGGATAGAAAGAAGCAGAAGATTCTCAAACAGTGAAAAAAGGCCACACTGGATCCTAGCCAGATGGAATCTCAGCTCACGAAACAATTTCAGACCAGAGCCTCTTGAATGAAGGAACAGCCTTGCTCCAGCCCTTCCTCAGAGGGACCTACGCCTTTCACCAGGGTAACTGCAGGCTGGCGGTGGGGGGAATAAGACTTTGAAGAGACTAGTGAACACTGGTTCCAAACTGACATTAACTGTGGGAGATCCCCCAACTAAAGTGGGGCTGGTGGAGGTCAGGGATGAACGGGGTTTTGGTTGAAGTCAGACTCACTGTAGGTCCAGGGGGCCCTGAACTTATCCTGTGAGTTCCCAGTCCCAGATGGAAGATTGGGGTAGTTACACTCAGGGCTTGGCAGAATTCCCAAAGGTTCTGCTGACCCCCACATGCACGTGGCACCTAGAGTGTCTCCCCGAGAAATAAATGAAAGCTGTTTTAAATTACCTACAGAAACCCTGAATGTTTTAAGTCACTATGAAGTAAACGTTACATAAAGCAGGTTCACTGTACTGCCTAGGAAATATCTCTAAGGAAACAGTCTCCAAATGTTCAGAACCTTTATTTGGTGTGCTGGGAGGAGAGCCCAGGGCCTAGCAAGTGTTCTACACATTTTATTTTTTTTTAAAGATTTATTTATTTATTATGAATATAACATCCTGCCTCCATGTATGCCTGCACGCCAGAAGAGGGCACCAGATCTCATTACAGATGGTTGTGAGCCACCATATGGTTGCTGGGAATTAAACTCAGGACCTCTGGAAGAGCAGTCAGTGCTCTTAACCTCTGAGCCATCTCTCCAGCTCTGAACTACAACTGTTTTAAGATGTGGACTCCTATACTGAAGCGGGGCTGCATGAGACAAAACGGAGCTGTGACAATGCAGCCCACACTGCTGCCAGTATTCGGTGACAGGGAAATGCAAGCCCTGTCCGGCCCTGTGCCAGCTGCATGGGGTCACCTGTCACTCACCTTCTGATGATGCAGCCCCCTCTCCACATGAGGGCAATGGCACCATAATTGAGGGTCCAGCCAAACTCAGTGGCTGCCTGTCTGAGCAGCATAAAGCCTTGCGCGTAGGAGATGATCTTGGAAGCATAGAGGGCCTGGAAAGCGACACAGACTTCAGAGCTGCAGCTAGTGGGGCAGCCACACTCCCCTCCCAGCTTCACTCTCGCCCCAGAGACCCCAGAGGGCGACAGTGCCAGGAAAGGCTAGAAATGCGAACATGGCAGGGGTCTCTTTATCCAAGCTCTCCCTGGACCAGCAAAGCCCAAGGTTGGGGGCTGCCCACCTTTCGAATGTCCTCCAGGAATGCCTCCTTACTGTTGGCCAGCTGGGCTTTCTGAGGACCCTTCAGCATTTTGCTGGCCTGAACTCGCTCCTCTTTCAGAGAGGACAAGCACCGAGCAAAGACAGCTTCTCCTGCACAGGGAAGAGACAGTCCGTCAGAGATAACAGCCGAGACCAAAGGAAAGGGGTGTGCACAGGCGTAGGTCAGGTGCCAGTCAGAAGTCCCCAGGACTAATACCTGAAACCTGAGGACAGGGGTGTGGACAGGCAGAGCAGGGGAGAGAGATCCAGCCGCCACCAAGAGCTGGGCGCTTTGACCTTAGCTCCCAAATTTAACCTGGGTTAGGAACTATGAACAGTTCATTCCACAACTAAAACTCCAAGTTAGCCTCGCAACACAAATGCATCCAACCACAAAGACCAACCCAAAATTCAGAGGCAAGGCATGACTATATATAATCCCTCAATATTAACTCAAGAGTAAAACTTCAGTTTCTATTTAGAAGAAATTAATTTTGTTGTGCGATGGAATTTCATACAGTACAAGCTACCTCACTTACTGCATGGGGGAGGATAGCCCTGATTCCCTGGGCCTCCTGCCCCTCTCTGCCTCCCAAATGCTAGGAGTAAAAGTGTGTGCCACCACTGCTGGTGACTGTGCACCCCAAAGATTCATGACCAGGTGGTGACACCTTTAATCCCAGCAATTGGGAGGAAAAGGCAGACGGATCTATGAGGTCAGGGCCAGCCTGGTCTATAGAATGAGTTCCAGGACAGCCAAGGTTGTTACACAGTGAAACCCTGTCTTGAACCCCCCCCAAAAAAAAGCTTATTATTTTTAGTGTGTACGTTTATTTGAAACAGGGTCTGTCTACTTACTCCTGGCTGGCTGTTCTGGAGCTCACTCTGTAGAACATGCTGGCCTTGAATTCACTACCACTATGCCTAGCTCTATGTGAATGGGGGTTCTGCCTTCATGTGTCTATGCACTACCTGCATGCAGTGGCCTCAGAGGCCAGAGGGGGCATCAGATCCGTTGGAATTGGAGTTACAGACCCTTACAGACCACCACTGATAACCATGTGGGTGCTGGGAACTAAACCAGATCCTCTGTAAGAGCAGCAAGTGCTTTTTTTTTTTTTGGTTTTACGAGACAGGGTTTCTCTGTATTGTTTTTGAGGCTGTCAGTCCAGCCTGGCCTGGAACTCACAGAGATCCGCCTGCCTCTGCCTCCCGAGTCCAGCCAGCCAGCCAGCAAGTGCTCTTAATAGCTAGGCTATCTCACTAGCCCCCAGGATTAGTTCTTTTATTTCTGTAAGATTTATTTCTAACTGTGTGTGTGCACGTGTGTGCGTGCGTGCACGTCTGTACACACGAGTGCAAATGCCCTCAGAGCCAGGAGTCAGATGTTCCTGGCACTGAAGCGCTGGCATTACAGGGGGCTGTGATCAACCTGAGGTAGGTGCTGGGAAGCCAATCACTGGAAGGGAGGTCATGCTCTTAACTGCAGAGCCAGCTCTCCACCCGAAAGGCTGTTTTTAATACCCATAACCACTGGTTTCACAATGTCCCTCAGTACAGCACATTAAGACGTTTAATACTCTCATAATCCACCATTGTGGCAGGCTACTTGCCCAATTTATTTAGGATGAATGAATTTCCTTTCCCTTTAAATAAAATGGGCCGAATCTCTGGGACTAACAACACTGCACTTCAGTTTTGGGGAAAGGGTACCAGCCACAACTTGAGAACAAGGTGAAAAGGAGATGTCTTCTTACCCTTACTTACCCAACCCCTTTCCTTCCCTGCAGCATGACTTGACAATTGTGCAACAGCAAGTGTGGCAAACCCTCCCGGTCATACAGTGAGCTGGGCGGAGACTGTCCTCTTACTCATTAGGGAGGAAAGAAGCACATCCACCCAGCTCAGTGGGAGGGAACCCGGCTCTGCTACTGAGCACAGTAACACTGTTACATGTAGTCTGTCAGTGGTGGGCAGACGCTCCCTGCACATAGCACCACTGCGTTGACCAATGAGCAGCCAACTTCCTCCCTGTGCAGGAGTCACACACACAAGCAAACCCCTGGCCTGGCCTGCCCCAAATGTCTAACACAGGATGACGCATGACTAATCAGAAAATAAAGGAGGGGAAAGGAGAGAGAGACATCGTATCTGGAAAAGTAAACAGAAAAGTGCCCCAGTTATTACAGAAGAACCATTCCATCAGGAGCAAAGACTCCGCCAGCACCTGGCTCGCTTTTTCCAATCTTGGCAGAGGGGCACCGTATCCCTTAAGAAAAAAGACAGGGTTGGTAGAGCGCTTGTCATACAAAGTCCCCAACACCTGTGTAAAGTAACCAAGACGTGACCACATGTAACTATGACCACAGCCCAGGAGTGTCAGAGACCAGTGGTTCCCGTAGCTAGCTGGCCAGCTATTCTAGTCAATTAGTGAGGTCCAGGTTCAACGAAGAGACTCTTGTCTCAAAAATAAATAAGTAAATAGGGTAATTGAGGGAGACAGCTGACGCTGACCTGTGGCTTCCACATCTGTATGTATGGGAATGTCCACATGCCTGCGCACGCGCGCGCGCACACACACACACACACACACACACACACACACACAAACGAATACATATACACACCATATATACTCATGTCCAAGGTTCTAGGCTCAAGTGATTTTCCTGTCATAGTTTCCTAAGTAACTACAGCTACAGCAGCAGACTTTGCCTGTCTTTTATTTTATCCTTTTTTATTACATTAATTACATCCTCTCTCTCCCTTCCTCTCTCTGTGTGTGCATGCGTGTATGCAGACATGTGAATACTATGGCATTCATGTGGAGATCAGAGGACAACTGCAGGAGTTGGTTCTCTCCTTTTACCATGTGGGTCTCAGGGTTTGAACTCAGGTCATCAGGCTTGGTGGCAACAGCCTTCATCTGCTGAGCAACCTTACCAGTTCCCAGCTCCTTTTATTTGTCCCGTTTTGTTTGTTTATTAGTATTTCTTTCTTTCTTCTTTTTTTTTTTTTCTTTCAAAATAGGGTTTCTCTGTATTGTTTTGGAGGCTGTCCTGGAACTTGCTCTTGTGGACCAGGCTGGCCTCGAACTCACAGAAATCCACCTGCCTCTGCCTCCCGAGTGCTGGGACTAAAGGTGTGCGCCACCAACACCCTGCTGCTTGTTTGTATTTCAAGACAGTATTTCTCTGTGTAGCCCTAGCTGTCCTGGAACTCACAGAGATCCATCTACTGGGACTAAAGGTGTGCACCACCACCACCCCCAGGCTTTTAATTTTATTCTTAAAGAAGCAGTTTTTGCACTCAAGAGGCAGAGACAGGCAGATCTCCATGAGTTCCAGGCCTGCTAGGGCTACAGGGACACATTGAGACTCTGTCTCAAAACAACAACAAGAAACCAACCCACCACCAGGTTTTTGTTTCCTATTCTCTTGTTCCCTGGGTTTGGTTTTCTGCAGTGCCAAGGATCAAGCCCAGAGCTGGCCAAGCATTCTACCAACTGAGCCACATAACCCAGCCTTCTATCTTTGAGTTGGATGTGTAGTCCATTAATAGTGACATGGATAGTGGTTTTCTTCTGAAGGAGGAACCTAGGTTATACCCTATTTTTCTAGTATCTGTGGACAGAACCTGTAAAATATTAATAAATGTTGAATATACAAACAAAATGTGTTAGTCTGTGAACCTTTGTTACTGTATCCATTACAACAAACAAGTCAAAAACGCCAGGCACGCCTGCGTCCCTGGCACTCAGCAGGCTAAGGCAAGAAGTATATCCAAGGCTAACCTGGGCTACTTATCAAGACTGTCTCAAGAACCAACTGGACAAAGGTCGTCTTAGGTTATGGATTGGCTTGAGCCAGGTGTTAGAATATCTCAAAGTTAAAACCGCACAGAAAGGGCAGTAGCCACTTCATTTACCTCAGAGCCCACAAGAAGACAGTGTCCCATGTGTAGAAAGAGGAAAGGGGCGGTGACAGCAGGGCAGGGCCAAAGACTGTCTCCAACACCCGTCCGGCGTAGACTTCCAGAAGGACACCAGGACCAGAGAGCAGTGGGACCCAAGGCACAGGTGAGAGGTGCAACATTACCGATGAGGGTGACGGGCATGCCATACTCCAGCGCGGAGACGGCGGTCCACTTCCCGGTGCCCTTCTGCCCAGCGCTGTCCCGGATCTTCGGTAACAGCTCTTGGCCATCAGTGTCCCGGAACTTGAGGATATTAGCAGTGATCTCAATCAGGAACGAGTCCAGCTCTGTCTTGTTCCATTCCTCAAATGCCTGCACACAGAAGAAAAAGCGGGGTGGGTTCTCTGGGCACGCTGGCTCGTCAGCCGTATCCCTGCCCTGTAGCTGGTGCCCTCACTGATGAGCACATGGGGCCAGCAGGTGCTCCTCCTGGCGGCCTGTGGACTCCTACTCCTGCCCACTGAGTCACACTCGCCAGGTCAGGCAGTGTCTGTCTGGTACTTTAGTTTCTCACCACTGGAACTGCCCTCTCCTTGGAGCCAAGCTCATTTCAATCGGGTCTATGCGCGTTGTCACCTTCTTGCCCTATTGAGTCCATCTCTTGGACTGAGTGTGGCTCAGTGGTGGAACACAAGCTTAGTGAGTATGAGGCCCCGAGTTCCATCCCTGTACCACAAAAGTAACAATAGGAAGTAAAATAAAACCTGTTGTTAGGGCTGGAGAGATGGCTCAGTGGTTGAAAGCACTGGCTGTTTTTCTGGAGGACCCAGGTTTGGTTCCCAGCACCTACATGGCAGCTCACAACTGTCTGTGACCCCCATTCCAGGGGACCTGGGCCCACTCACACAGACATACATGCAAACAAAACAAAGCAAAACACCAATGCACATAAAGATAAATCTAAAATCTAAAAACAAAATCCTGCCTACTATTCCCAGCTTGCTTTTGTCTACAATAAGGATTATTAATTTTAAACTCTATAGTCACTATTACTGTTTGTCTTCAAGCTCCTGAGGCTAAGACTGTTACATGCTCTCATACGTAGCAAGCACCTTCCGCTTGATAGGCTACACACAGCCTCTGAGTTATACCAGCCCTTCACGGTCTTACACTTAGAACAGCATCTTCATACAGGAAAGCACTCACTTCTGTGGTAGGACTATATTACTATGGAAACAAACACAAAAATAATGAAAACTAAGTTAAATGTTTTAGAATGAACAAGGCCAAGCCAGTGAGACAAGGAGCTGCCAGGATAAATGAGGGTCAGGACTGGAGGTAAAACTCAGCGACAGTCCATGAGGTCCTGTCTCTCTCTCACACACACACCTTTGACTCGGTATGGGAACGCCATGGTACTAGGAGCTTGAAGAGCTGGTCACATCACAGACACAGCTAAGGGCAGAGTGAGCCGAATGCAGACGTGCTTGCTTGCCTTCTGGCTCAGATCAACTTTTCTACTCTTAGTTCAGGACACCAGCCTAGAATGGCTGCTACACTCACGAACTTAATTCACTTTTCACCTGTGCAAGACCCACAAAGTTGGCAAAATCAGCCAGTACTCCAGCAGGCAGCAGTAGGTCAGAATGAATGAATAAATAAATATATATGGGAGGGAGAGAGAGAGAGAGAGAACACGAGAACATGGGGAGGAGGGGGGCATCATGGAGGTGAAGGGTGTTGGAAGGGGAGTAGAATGGGAAGGCAGGGGTGAGTATGATCAAGGTACACTGTATATGTGTATAAAAGTGTCAAAGAACAAAAGTTTCTTTTTTTATTTTTAGTTTTAGATTTATGTATTTGCTGGGCGATGGTGGTGCACGCCTTTAATCCAAGCACTCAGCAGGTATAGGCAGGCGGATCTCTGTGAGTTCAAGGCCGGCCTGGTCTACAGAGCGAGTTCCAGGACAGCCTCCAAAACAATACAGAGAAACCCTGTCTCGGAAAAACAAACAAACAAAAACCACGCTTGCCTATGTTTGTAATTAAATGTTTATCTAATGGTGCTACATTGGGGAAAAGGCCCTGTTTCCTACAGGCTCCTCTGGAATGTCTCCATGCAGGATGAAACAGTACGGGGAATGCAGTGTAATGGTAGGATCCAGGTGGAGTGCACACATGTGTAGACAGTGAGCTTCTTCAGGGTTTGAATATTTTCATAGTAAAATGTTGGGAAAATGCTTGTGCTTCCCCACTGGGATGAATTTGAATTTTTAAAAGATTTTTTATTGTTAACATATTTCTTATGTGTTTGGGTGCTTTTCCTGTGTATTCATATGCACCACCTGTATACAAGGCCCACAGAGGTGAGGAGAACACATCAGACGCCCTGAACAGGAGTTATGGATGACTGTGAGCCTCCACATGGGTCCTGGGAACAGAACCCCACCCGGTCTTCTGCAAGAGTACTAAGTGCTCTCAGCGGTTGAGCTATCTTCAGCCCCTGGGATGCACTATTTTGATTAAGTTTCAGAGCTCTAATTCCCACTTGATCAACAGACGGCTACTCAGCTCCCTTATGGAGCAAAGGTAGGAGGAAGACAGGGAATAAGAACTGGGATGGGCTCCGTGACAGAGAACTTCCTGCCATGCCTAGGGCCAGGCCTTGGTTCCATGGGGAGGGACGTAGATGAGGTGACACACACTGTGTGACAAAGCATGGATCACTAACTACTGACAGAGATTACTGCTTCATAGGCAGCTATCACACTTTATGACGCCATTACCATAGCTTCCCTTACATTAGGCTGAGTCCATGCAGGCCACCAGACAGCCAGGCAAACAGGAAGGAGGAAGTACTAATTGTCAGTAGCGTGTTCTCCCTCATCTGAGCAGTGATTACCCAGGCGGAGACAGTGCCCGGGACTCACCTTGGCCATCTCCTGGTGCTGCATGCCCAGAACGTCCTTCATCAGGTGGTAAGCCTCGCAGATCAGCTGCATGTCGCCATACTCGATCCCGTTATGCACCATCTTCACATAGTGCCCAGCACCCTCGTCTCCCACCTGTCAGGGCAATAAGCAACAAGTGGCCTTCAGAGCAGTAGACTACAAAAGAGACGTCTCAGAAGACTCCAGAAAGGCTCCGTCTCATACAGAAATAACACGAGAAACAGTGCCTTTTAACAGGAACCTCCCATCACGCCCAACCTCTTCAGCCTGCATTTCCCACTGTAAAAAACAGTGCTCTGTGCCCCATAATTTAAAGTCTCCATGGTCCTGAAGTTACCACATTTCTAGCAATCACTGGTTAAAACAAATAACTTGCATTTTCCTACAAATGCAATACTGCTCCTAACAGCTACTAAGGGTAAAACACCCTTATATCAAGGTATCACCTTGACCTTTTAAGTTCAGAAATGCATTCTCTCGTGGCCCCATCACTGGCTAAGCTAGTAGGATGTATGCAATTTATCAGTCTATCATGGGGACTTTAAGGAGGGTCTTTCGGTTGTATTATTCTGAGCAAGACAGTCTGCCCTCTAGAAAAGCCACCTGGGAAGCCAGGTCCTGAGAACTCTCTAAGGGACTGGGGGCGAGAAAAAGGTCAGCAGAGTCCAGCCCTTCAGTCACGTCGGCTGTCTCCACACAGAGCAGATGGCAGGAACGACAAACAACAGTCTACAGCAGTCGCTGCTGTACCCAGGCTGCGATCTTCTACAGGACAGAGGCTTTCTCTGTCGCCAGCCTACCCCTTCAGTTTGGACACTTAACTGTGCAGTCTGAGGACATCTTACTTCACCCTTCCTCTTGCTCCAGCATTGCATGACCCTAGGGTCACCTGCTTCCTGTCTCTATACCATTTATTCTTACGGCCTGAACCCAAGCTGCAGCCTCTGACCACCCTTAGCAAAGGATGACTGAACTTGGGGAAAGGCAGCCACCAAAGTGGGCAGGTCGGTGGGAAGGTTTCTCTTGTGCCCACTGGGTCTTTATGTTATCCCTACTCTTAATTATACACATTACTAAAATACTAAAGTGAGCCTATAAAATAACAGGTGTAAAAAGAGGAGCTAGGTGTGGTGGTGCTCAGGTCTGTAATTCAGGAGACTGAAGAGGGGGGATTGAGAGCCCAAGGCCTGCCTGGGCTACATAAGCGTTGAGGGTGGTCGGATGGTTCAGCAGGTGCAGGTAGGACTGAGGAGCTGCTTTTAACACATTAGCCTCCAGGCCTCAAGGGTTGGAGAGGGTTCAAGGACAGACAAACAGACAGACAGGAATGTGCTTCAGGCACCAGCTGGGCAGTGACTTAGACTGAAAAGCTTATAGCACAGAGCTAACCACTGGGAGCAAGGTGGTCTTTCTTCAGCTGTGTGCTTTGTCAAAGGGGAGCCCAAACTTGCCCAGTCACAGCAGGGTTCTCCAGTGCCCACTTTTGCAGCGATGGCTTGGAAGATCGTCTTGATGTGGGGCCTGTGGAAAGGAGAAGTACACTTCAGCCAACCAGAAGACTGAGCATTCAGGTCAATGCTCATGGACGCTGGTCTAAGAGTAACGGATGTGCTCAACTTTCCAGAGAAACCCAGGTCCTGACTGCTGACAAGTGCGCACTTCCATACCCTGTGTGTGGGCCTGGGGGCGGAGGCTGCAGAACCCCGGAGTCACACGAAGGGAAAGGCAGAAGAACCACAGAAGCCCCACGAGAGGAGCAAGAAACTGACTCAGTGGTAGAGCCCACATTTAATGCGTACGAAGACTTGGGTTCCATCCCCAGCATCTCGCTATCCCGATCCCCACAAAGCACCAGAAGAGTCTTCCAACCCTTTAACAGAACAGGCCATGATTCCAACCCAAGCAGCCCAAGAGCACCTTCAAAGACCCCTTCCCATGTGGGTGTGTGTTAGCCGGCGCACGACTGCACATGCGTTCAGAGACAAGAGCACCTTCAAAGACCCCTTCCCATGTGGGTGTGTGTTAGCCGGCGCACGACTGCACATGCGTTCAGAGACAAGAGCACCTTCAAAGACCCCTTCCCATGTGGGTGTGTGTTAGCCGGCGCACGACTGCACATGCGTTCAGAGACAAGAGCACCTTCAAAGACCCCTTCCCATGTGGGTGTGTGTTAGCCGGCGCACGACTGCACATGTGTTCAGAGACAAGCCAGGCTCTCACAGTGCACAAGGAGACGCTCTCATCAGGAGGAAACCAGCCCTTCTGTCACCTCACCCTCTCAGCTCACAGTGACCGCGAAGACCTTCCCCTCACAGTCTACCTCTACCAAGGAAAAGTGCGTCTTCTGAAAAACTCTTTGGTATAGATTCCCAAACCTGACACCTGCAAAGTCAGTGCTTAGGACTAGGCTAAGGTACCGCTAGCTTCCAAACTTCGTGACGTGTCTCTGACAGGACACAGGAGAGGAAAGCAAGCACATACATGACGTAAGGACAGAGTTTCTAGACTAGACAGCAGAAACGCGCCCGGCGTCTCCCAGCTCTAGCCCTCCACCTCCACAGATCAAGGCTGGGCCCGGGCTGAAACGCACGTGGTGCTGGTACTCACCAAGCCTCTTTGTTCCCTCCTGGCATGAGTGACGGGCCGTACCGAGCCCCTTCCTCACCACCACTGACTCCACTCCCCACAAACAAGATCCCCTTGGCCTTGAGGTCCCTGCATCTTCTCTAAAAGAGAGAGAAACTATTTTAGGGTTTTCTCACAAAAATAAGTTCCTTTTAAGAATGAGAAGAGGGGTAGGGTCAGCACAGAGAGCTCATATTTGCTACTAAATGACCCAATGAACTAGGAGCAGCCAACCATTTGAGACAGTCTATACATTCAATGTAGATGTACCAAACCTTCAAAAATGACTCCTATACGTCAAATACTCGGGAGCTACAAACACAGGAGGATTCCAAGTTTGAGGCCCTGACTTTTGAGATATCTACACCATCCCCGAAGGGGACTCCTGAATATGCACTCCCATCTTAATGGACAAGATTTACGGGGTAGAGTTCAGTGGGTGGTTTACACACTTCACACTTCAGGCCATGTGACTTGCCTCGGCATCTGCTCAGTGAGGGCAGTGCTTCCCAACCTTGCTGCACAGCGGCGTGCCATGCACCAGAGGAGGGGGAGACTATGCAAAAACCGCTCTCAGCCTGCTGCATCTAAGCCATCGTCGCTCGAATCACATACACTACGAGTCTCGTGCGTCAGGGTCTCAGCAGAAAAGGGCTGAGGCCTAGCCCACCGGTACCAATCCCCAAAGGCTCATAAGACAGTTCACTCTTACGTCACATTTCAATGCTAATAATTCTTTCTAGTATGTTCTCAAGACCTGAAAGACTCTGAACTGAAGAACACTTACTGTCGTATCCCGGTACTCAGAATTTCCTCCATCAATGATGATATCACCAGTGTCCAACAATGGTACCTGTAATCAAATACGAACTTGGGGTGAACCAAAGACAGAATAAGACATACCTGGGCCCTAAAAACAAGAACTCATCCCACATAAACAACGGGAAAGCATTTACTATGTAGACTGCAATGATCCTCTCTGGCTATAACTGTACCTTCAAGTTGGAGGCACAGACCCACCCACAATATACTGTCTCTCCCTCTGCTTTGCCCCTTCCTTCCTTGACTGGTTCTCACAGTGAAGCCCTGGGGGGCCTGGAATTTGCAATGGCCTCACTCCAGAGACCCACCTGCCTCTGCCTCCCGAGTGCTGGGATTAAAGGAGTGCGCCGCCACTGCCTGGCCGCAAGTTTTACTCCATGGTTCAGTCTCCCCTTCCAAAGCCCCACTTGACATCACTTTAGTACTTTCCTAGGTTGAATAAAAAGCAGCCAGCTTTCCACCCACTACTTGGGAGCTAGCGTTGGGCAGGCTGGTATCACGCTCACAGGAAGCTCAGTATGTCCTTTATTACAGCATCCTTCCTTCCTCAGCCGCCTATTTAAGCAGCAACGAACTGGCTACAGTGTCTCCTCTCTTGGAAACAAACCTGATACCAATGCTCTTCCTTAGTCACATTATTTCTAACATCACCTCTAAAGCAGTGCCTTTCCCTCCCAGTGGTTATTGCAGTTATTTCTAGAATCTAGATAACTTTTTCTATTTGTTCTCCTTCACTCATAAACATAATTTTTCTCTAAAAAGATATTATTTTTAAAACCAATAAATTGGTACAAGGATGTAAATAAAACAACTATTTAAGAGAATTGTTGGCCGGGCAGTGGTGGCGCATGCCTTTAACCCCAGCACTTGGGAGGCAGAGGCAGGCGGATCTCTGTGAGTTCGAGGCCAGGCTGGACCGATAGCCTCCAAAACAATACAGAGAAACCCTGTCTCGTAAAAACCAAAAAAAAAAAAAAAAAAGAGAGAGAATTGTTGTTTTATAGGCGTACCAACCGATTTTGGACACTATGGTTTACTAGTGAGTAGCACTAAATGTTCATAAACATTACAATCAACATTGCAAGACACCAGAGCTGGGGATATATCTCAGTGTTTAGAGTGCTCAGAAGGTGAAAGGCCTTGGGTTCTATTCCTCAGGACCAAAACAAAAGCAGAAAACCCGGGCAGACATGATAAGTGGTTAGATGGTGACTATAATCCAGAAAACCCGGGCAGGCATGATAAGTGGTTAGATGGTGACTATAATCCAGGCACTAAGTAGACTGAGACAGGAGGACTGTCACGATTAAGGCCAGCCTGGGCTGTTTCATAGTAAGTACCAGGGCAGCTAGAAATAGAAATACACAGCGATGCTCTGTCTCAAAATAAAGAAAAACAAAACAAAAATATCTAGGATGTGGTTTCAGCAGTGTGTTTGTGTGTACACACACTGAAGCCAGAGAAACACAACAGCAATGCAACCAACCGCACACGTCAGGACAACACAAGACTGTCAAATCAGATAGACATTAACAGACGACTACTGTTCAGATGCTGTTACTCTTCAAACTCAAATGCCCCTGGTGTCCCAGAAGTAGGACCACCCAAGAATATAGCATTACGGAGCCAGCAAGATGGCTCAGTGGGCAAAAGCACTTGTTGACCCAAGCTTGATCCTAGCAGCCCAAGAAAAACTGGAAGAAGCTGGTTGGTGGCACACGCCTTTAATCCCAGCACTCGGGAGGCAGAGGCAGGAGGATCTCTGTGAGTCTGAGGCCAGCCTGGTCTACAGAGTGAGTTCCAGGACAGCCTCCAAAACAATACAGAGAAACCCTGTCTTGAGAAAAAAAACCAGGCTGGAGAGGTGGCTTAAGGGCACTGTCTGCTCCTGCAGAGGACCTGGGTTTGATTCCTAGCATCCCCATGGTAGGTTCGCAATTGCCTACTAACTCCAATCCCAAGGGAACCTGGCACTCTTCTCTGGCCTCCTCAGGCACTTCAGGAATGTGGTGCAGTCACATACACAGGCAAAACATTCAAATGAACATGAAATCTTTTTAGAAGAAGAATACAAAGAGTTACTATTGTGCAAGTTCGTATCGGGAAACTGAAAATAAAAAGATCTCTGAAGTAGGACAGTTGGGGGGGAAGAGACAAAGGCTCTGAGGTGCTGGCGGAGTCTGGAGAACAGGGCTGGCCTTACCAGTTTCTGGATGAAGTCATCGACAGCTTGCCCAGCCTTCACAAGAAGTATGACCCGGCGGGGCTTCTTCAGCGTGGAGACCATCTCCTTCAAGGACTTCGCACCAATCACTTTGGTTCCCTTGGCCTCATTGGCCAAGAAGTCATCAACCTTGGAGACGGTCCTATTGAAAGTACAGACCTGGAGGACAGAAGGCCCACTCAGAGGGTCTGGGACACACACGACCTTCGGGTGGTGGGTGCAGAGCCACCAAATGTCTGGTCTGCCTTCTCTGTTTCTTAAGTGCCAGCCAATCCTTGCAAAGTTAGGCCACAGCAGCAAAGGCCAAGGCAACTTGTTGCTTATCAGGTTGAGCTTGTCACTGCTGCCTGGCCTTTTGTCTGGTAATCCTGGCATCTCAGCCACGTTACCATTAAGAAAGAGCATTCGGAGCCCACAGGCAGGAGGTTCCTGAAGTCCTGGCTACTCAGCAGGCTAAGAGTCCTGAAGCTGAGACTGCACTGTGGCAACACCTCGAGACTCTGTCTACAAGGAGAAAGAAATCCCACTTTCATCTGGCCAGTCTGCCTAGCCAAGTGAGCCCCGGTTCGACAGCCTCTAAGATCTGGCTCTCAGTGGTTCTCAACCTTTAATACAGTTCCTCGTGTTGTGGTGACCCCCAAGCAATAAAACTATTTTTGTTGTTTTCATAACTGTTTCGTGACTGTAATTTCGCCACTGCTGTGAACCGTAATGTAATCACTTTTGGAGATAGAGGGTGGTCAATGGGGTCGTGACCCCACTGCTTTACATTCCAAGGAGGCGCTTCCGTCAACTACAGGGACAGCGCATCTAGAGCTGCACTTCTTGCACAAACACGAGTTTAGCAACAGCAGGGCGTGCTGAGTGAGAAGCACCCTCCAGCCGCCCTGGGATCTGTGAAAGACATCAGTTGAGGCGATGCTCTCCGCGGGAGGGCAACGCGTCCGTGCCCACCACTTACCACAAATCCATGGTCATTCATGTTCAAAATCAAGTTCTGGCCCATGACGGCCAGTCCAATCAGTGCAATGTCAGCTCTGAAAGGCCGGGAAAAGAATAGGGAAAGGGTGTTAGTGCCACTCGATCGCTTTTAGCGGGCCAAGGAGCCCGCACCTCCTGTCTGCGCTGGCATGGCGTGCACCCGGGACCGTGTGCATCTGGGACCGCCCGCCCCCTGCAGCCTGCAGCCCGCTGCTCCACGGGCCTGGAAGTTCCTTTCCGATGGGCGTCCGGGCACACCAAGTCCCTAGCGCCCTGCCCCTGGCCGTCACCCCTGCAGGCCTGGCCCTCAGGAGGGGCGTGGGCCGTCCCCCACCCACCGCGGCCTGCCTAGCCCGCCAGCCCGTCGCAGCCGCGAGCTCCCGGGAAGGAAGGGGCGGCCGGGCTCGCGCCGCCCACTGCGGGGACCCCCGAGGGGCTGGGAGAGCGGGGAGACAAGCGGGCAGAGCCCCGCCGTCCCCACGCTCAGCCCCGGAAGTGTCCCGGGCCCGGCTGCGCGTGCCGGTCACTCACTGGGCCATGGCGGCGGCGGCGGCGAGCAGAGCGGAGGCGACCAGGAAGGAGCACGAAGAACGGAGCGCTCCGAGGCAAGTGCGGTGGTGTCCGGCTCCCCGGCGCCTCAGGAGCCTTACCACGACACCGGCCAATCAGAAGGCAGGGGCGGGGAGACGCCACGCGCTATTGGTTCGCTCCGGCGCCTGTTACACCACCTGAGGGCGAACGGGCCCGCCCATCCCCGGGGCCGGATCTGTGGAGCGCCGAGCAGTCGATGGCTCCGGAGGAGGCGCGTTTGCGGGTCTGGTGGCCTCGCGGGCTGCACGCTGCCTCCTGCACGCGCTGGGCGCTGGGGTCTGCAGAAAGAGAAGGCGGCCCTGGGCTCCGTGCAGCCCTAAGCGTGTAGTTCCGGTCGGCCCACCACACTTTACCGTTTCCCAAGCCCACTGGCGCGCTTGGTCCGTGGCGGCTGCCTCCCTTCACTAAGGCATCCTTCCGCTCGCGGCAGGGATTCTGTCCGTTACTCCCGTGGGAACCCAGTGTGGTGGTGAGCGCGCACCGCTTTTGCAGATTCTTGTTTGTTTGGTGGGTTGGTTTGTTTTGCTTTTGATTTTTTTTGAGAGAGGGTTTCTCTGTGTACCCCTGGCTGTCTTGGAACTCACTCTGTAGAGCAAGCTGGCCTCGAACTCAGAGATCTGCTGCCTCTGCCTCCTGAGCTTTGGGATTAAAGGCACGCGCCACCACCGCCTGGCCAGCCTGTGCTTTTTAATCTAAGCTGGGAAGTCATGGCGTAGCGTTCAGTTGACAGAGTGCTTCCCGACCATGCACTAAGGCCTGGGTTCTATCCTTAGCACCAGGCGTGGTGGACACCCATCATCCCTGCAGTCGGGCGTGGGTCGTCGCTTTCTTTGCTGTTTTCCCCTTTGCTGTCTGTGCCTCCCTTCTCCATATAGGAGCACTGGGGTTACCGTCCTGCTCATGCTCTGGCTTCACATGGGTCCTGGGGATCTGAACCTAAGAGTAAATGCTTGCTTAACGAAGGCTTTACTGTGAGTTTGAGGCCAGCCTGGTCTACAGAGCGAGTTCCAGGCTGGTCAGGGCTAAACATGAGATCCTGTCTCAAAAAAAAAAAAAAAAAAAAAGTCCCGCCTTATGGTTTTACAGAGCATGTCCAGGTCTTGGCACTGTCAGTCTACAGTTAAGGCCCCCAATCCAGGGCCATATGCAGGGTCTGTGCTTTACCATTGAGCACATCTCTAGCCCTATTGTGTGGCCCAGCACATTCATATTTGTATTGGTGTGTGTGCTTGTGTGTGGAGGGGCACAAGTCAGACTTGCAGGGGTTGTGTCCTCCTTCTACTGTGTGGTCCTGGGGATCGGGCTTGGCAGCAGGTCCTTTTACCTGCTGAGCCATCTCATTGGCCCTAGTCCTGAGCTATTGCTGTGTGTGTGTGTGTGTGTGTGTGTGTGTGTGCGTGTGTGTGCAGGTTCCTAAGGAAACCAGAAGAGGGAGCTGGAGTTGTGTGCTGTTGTGACCTGCCTAACAGGATGCTGGAATCCAAACTCCTGAGCAGCCCAGCGTGTGCATGCTCTGGCTGGTGAGCCAGCTCCCCAGATATAGTTACTAGGTTTTATTTGTTTTGTTTTTGTTTTTCCAGACAATGTTTTTCTGTGTAACCAAGCGCCTTGGCTGTCCTGGAACTCATTCTGTACACCAGGCTGGCCTTGAACTCAGAGATCTACCGGCCTCTGCTTTGAGTGCTGGAATTAAAGTTGTGTTACTACCACTGCCGGGCCAGCTACTACTCTTTGTTTGTTTTTAATTTATGTATTATTTTACGTATGGGTGCTTTGTGTCTGCCTGCAGGCCAAAGGGCGCCAGATCTCATCACAGTTGGTTGTGAGCAACCACGTGGTTGCTGGGATTGAACTCAGGATCAACTTGTAGGACTGGCTACATCTGTGTATTGCAGAGTTTAGTTGACTTCAAATGGAAGCCTGTATTGAATTTTCAATGAGGAGTTAGGGAGAGCAGCCATTTGTAGGAAGCATGGCTCTTGTAAGAGCGTTGGTGCAGGCACACCTTTCAACTTCATGTCTTCCTCCTACTTCCAACAACAGTCTGCAGTCAGTTGTTGCAGGAACAGATTGATTGCTCTAGTCTGAGATTTAACAAAGGAGGAATTTTTGCTGAGTCAATGTGACTAAACATCTGGACTTCCCTAGGTTACCAGTGAACAGACATTGCTTTATGCACACATACTTAGAGATCAAATACCTGTTCTTAATTTACTATAGTGAGACCCTTACTTGGATTGTTCTGTGTTAAGGTTCTAAGGGGGGAAATTGCTGCTTCCTAGGGTTGTTGGAAAAGGATAGTAGAGTGGCCAAGGCCAGTGACCCTGGGGCACCAGTGACATTGACAAGTATGCTGTATGAGATGCTTAAGACTTAATTCACTTGGGAAACATATTTTCTGGCTTGACCTAACCACATCAGGAAAGCTCAGAAACAGGCAACCCTCAGAAGGCACAGCAGGAGTACTGAGAGGCCAGCCTGAGCTCCAGAGACCTCGCCCCCCCCCAGAAATAAAGGGCTGGGCATGTAACTTTGTGGTACAGCATTTGTCTAGCAAGTCCAAGGCCCTGGGTTCAATCCCTAACACCTCAAAACAAAACTACAAAACAGCCAAACACCTCACTCCCTTGGAGCAAATCCCTGGGCGGAGCCCATGATTAACTTACATAAGAGGGTGTGACTCTCTCTCTCTCTCTCTCTCTAAGTGAATATGAATCTCAAAGCCGGAAGGCCGAGCTTGTGAAGTCCTCACAAGCCGTGCTCAGGGTTCTACCGGGCTGAGGCGGTTACATAGGGAGAGTGTGAAATATCATCCAATAGAAAAAAATGTAAAGAGAAGACAGAAAACTGGGCAGGGCTGTAGCTTAGTTGAAAGTGTTTGCTGAGCAAGCCTGAGGACCTGAGTCTCAGCCAGGCATGGTGCATGGTGATTTGTAATCCCAGTGCTGGGGTGGTGGAATCAGGCAAATCCCTCGTGCTTCCTGGCGAATCAGTTTAGCCCATTCAGTGAGCTCCAGGCCCAGGAGAGACCCTGCCTCAAATAAAATAAATAAATAAATTAAAAAGTACCTGAGAAATGACACAGGAATGCACACACCAAAATAAATAAATAAAGGCCAGAAAACTAAAGAAATAGAAGAAACATGTAGTTCCATGAGGCAGCCTGGCTCTCCTCATAGTGTGGAGAGAGACAGGGCGATCTTAGACAAGATGGAAGTGAGGTAACCACCTTTGTTTTGCTTTGTTTTTCGAGACAGGGTTTCTCTGTATTGTTTTGGAGGCTGTCCTGGAACTCACTCTGTAGACCAGGCTGGCCTCGAACTCACAGAGATCCGCCTGCCTCTGCCTCCCGAGTGCTGGGATTAAAGGTGAGTCCCAGCTCAGTAACCGCCTTTATAAGAACAAACTGAAAGATGATTATTCAGTCCAAACTGGAGCCTGGCAGAGTTGAAGGGATGCACGGCCGACATTATAGCTAGTGCACACAGGCAAGCCTCCATCTGAAAATCGGTTCTTCCCTCCAGGCTCCCTTTCCCCCTCCTAGTTACAGTGTTTCCTTTCTCCCTTCTGCAGTAAAACTCTCCACAGGAATGCCAATAACCCTGAGCATGGAGCACACACCTGCAATACACACTGAGGCTGGGTGACACAGACATGTAGGCCAGGGAGCCCGGAGATGGCCCAGCGATTAGGAACACTGTTCACTTCCCAGCACCACATAAAGCCAGGCATGGTAGCCTACAAGTGTAATCCCAGCACTCAGAAGATAGATGGTGGGTCAGAAGTTCAAGGTCATCTTTGGGCTGAAGAGATGGCACAGTGTAAAATCACTGACTGCTCTTCCAGACAACCTGGGAACCCACAAGGAAGCTCACAACCCCAGTCCCAGGGGATCTGTTGCCCTATTCTGGCCTTATCAGGCACCAGGCATGCATGCAGTACAAAAAATAACCAAACCAACACAATACACGCACTCCCCACCCAATCTAAACTTTAACAGGATCCTCCAAGTTCCAGAAGTAAGGGAAGGGCACAGGGCACAGCTCAGTTGGTGACATTGTTTGCTGAGTTCACACAGCCCTGGGTTTGGCTCCCATACCATGTAGATTAAGCAAGGTAATGCAGGGCTGAAGTCTAAGCACTTGAGAGAGGAAGATATGGAGTTCAAGGCCAACTTCATCTACACAGCAAGCTCAAGGGCAGCCTGGGGCTACAGGAAACCCAGTTTCAAAAGCAAAACTAAGAGCTGCTCCATGCCCTCAACTCCTCAGCTCCCGAGGTTCAGGTTCAGATGAACTGTATCTGCCCCAGACCTAATTTGCATCTTCTAATAGCTGTTTTATTAATAGTAACAGTGACTAAGGCCAGCAGGATGGCTCAGTGGCTTAAGGCACTTGCTACCAGACCTGAAAACCTAGAATTTGATGCCTGTGAACCATGTGGTAGGACAGAATGGACTCTATTCTTACACCCCCAAACAAACGACAAACAGAATAAAAACACAACGATGTGGTCTCCATCTACCGTATTCTTTTTCTCAGTTGGTTCTGAAATGAGCAGTGGTGGTGCTCAGTGACTCCCTTTCCTGTTGCCCAAACCTGTGGTCATTGCTCAGTCCTTGTTTTTGGCTCATTAACCTCACAGGATGTGGCAACTGAATCCTTCCTCTTTGATACTTCCTCCCTCTGGTGGCAACACTTTGGAGACCTCCGAGCCCATTCTTCCTCCTCACTGTGGGACCTTTAAAGGTACTGAAGTCCTCTTGCTGACCTCTATGGAGTGAGGTGCTCCGAAGCTTGGCTCTGGCTCCCACCAGCTACCTACTGCCCGGGTCTTCTTGCCTATCTGGAACCTTTACCTCCACAAAGTCCTGCCAGCAACACTGCCTCAGGAAGCTGCAGCGCCGCTGTTCTGTGGAGGCGCATGCCCAGTGAGCGAGCGTTTCTCTGCTTCTCTCCAGCTCCATGCAGATTTTCAGCAAACCTGTTCTTTCTCGTTTTGTGATAAAATTTCACTACAGAATCCAGACAGGTCTCAAATTCAAAATCTTCTTGTCTCAGCCTCCATACATATTGGGATTACAACATGAACCATCATGTCCAGGCCAACCTTATTAGAAAACTAAATTACATTCATTTTGTGTGTATGTGTGGGCACGGGTGCCGGGATGGGCACGCAGAGGTCAAAGGACAGCTTGTAGAGTCATTGGTTCTCTCCTACTGTGTGTAAAGCTGGGGACAGAACCTAGGCCATGAGGCTTGGTGACAAGTATCTTTACCTGCTGAGCCATCTTAATGGCCGAACACATTCAGCTTTAGATGAAATGCATGGCAGTTCTGTCTTCAACATGTACTGAATCTGACCCCATCTCTCTGCATATCCTGCATACCCACAATACCTCTGGAACACAGGGGCCCAGATTGTTTTCATCATGCAAGAATACATCACAGACTTCACTAGTTTCCCAGTGCACTCTAATGGAATTCTGAGTCCTTAGCCCTCTCTCACCATGTCCTAGCAACTTCCTGGAAACTCCTGTCAGTCACTCTACCCTTTGGCAGCCTTCACATTGGAGGCCTTGTCCAAAGGACTTGCATTCTTTTTTTTTTTTTTAAAGATTTATTTATTACGTATACAGTGTTCTGCCTGCAAGCCGGAAGAGGGCACCAGATTGAATTGTAGATGGTTGTGAGCCACCATGTGGTTGCTGGGAATTGAACTCAGGACCTCTGGAAGAGCAGGCAGTGAAATTAAGTGCTCTTAACCTCTAAGCCATCTCTCCAGCCCTTATTCTTACTCTTAATAGCACCTCTCTAGGTTTTTTAAGGCCCCTTCACATTTGTGCCACTTATGTGCTTGTGAACAAGCAAATGTACACACACACACACACACACACACCCCGTTTTCTTTCTAATGCTCTCCCTCCCACTTCATGGCCTGACCTTGGTCTTGAGACCTTCCTAATAAAACTCATTCCTGAAAGATAATTCTGTGCGGACTTCCCTTCCTGACTGACCATTGCATTAAAATATTTAACACCTTCCAGTGGAGACCACAGGCATATTCACTTGCAGTCTGTGGTGGAAATCTATACTCAGACAGCACACAAGGTGCTGGATGGACACCCACATGTCCACTCAACACATCACTGGTTTTTGTTTTTGGTAGGTATGCTGGCCTGGAATTGGATAGGCATGAACTCCTCATCCTTCTGCCTTTACACTTCCTGGGAGCTGAGATCACAGCTGTGGGCCACGATGCCTAGTCTATGTGTTGCCGGAGACTGAGTTCAGGATTTTGTGTATGCTGAGTCAATATTCTATCAACTGAGCTATACATTCCCAGCCCTGGCCTGGGACTCTTGATCCTCCCGCTCTAGCCTCCCAACTACTGAGACTACGGATGTTCACTGCCACACCTGACCACGTTACTGCTTTTGCTTAGGTACAGTTTTCCATGACCGTGGTCCCTTGCCTGTGCTCTGCTTACAAGGGGAAGCTCATGGCAAATTTCAAAGTACTGCCCTCCCTACCTTTCCCCAGACTCCAGTATTGTACTGGAGTACCCACTTATCATGGGTAGTTCTGCAAAAGGGGGCTTCAGGAGAATGCCCACATCTTTTTTTTTTTTTAATATTTTATTTATTTATTGTGTATACAGTCTTCTGCCTACTGCCAGCAGAGGGCACCAGATCTCATTCAAGGTGGTTGTGAGCCACCATGTGGTTTCTGGGAATTGAACTCAGGACCTCTGGGAGAACAGTCAGCGCTCTTAACCGCTGAGCCATCTCTCCAGCCCGAATGCCCACATCTTTTAGACAAAATAGTTGCTCACACGTTTGGCAGAAAACTCTTTGAAACAATAGCACCATATATACTTCTCTAGTTATGTCACAAAGGAACCTGTAGGTCACACCATGGTTTTCATTTTAGACACATACCTTTAATACCAGCAACCAGGAGGCAGAAATAGGCAGATCTCTGTGAGTTTGAGGCCAGCCCGGTCTATATAGAGAGTTCCAGGAAAACCAAAGACGACACTGTGAGACCCTGTCTCAAAAAACCAAAATGAACTAATAAATAAAATAAGCCAGGTGATCATGGTGCACTCTGGAGGCAGATGCAGGTGGATCTCTGAGTTCAAGGCCAGCCTGGTCTACAGAGCGAGTTCCAGGACAGCCAGGACTACACTGAGAAACCCTGTTTTGAAAAACCAAATGAAATAATAAATAAAAAAGAAAGAATTATCAGTGTAAGAAGCCTTCCCAAAGGGCACAGGAGTAACAGGAGTCATTGATGCACTGGCTGTACTTTATTATTTTTACCTCGTTCACTAGCAGCTCTGTGATGCAAGGCTACCATACACAGTTAGATAATGTCTGCATTACACATCTAAGGCTATACAGCAAAAGAATCAACATTAGTACAAATACAAGAACTGTATTTACATTTTGTATACTCAAGCTCCAAACATCAGATATTTACAAAATAAAACATGAAAATGAAATCCAAAATTAATAATGTACATTGTTGCTTGTGCTCAACTCCTTCACTGGGGAGAGATCAGTTTGCAAAGTCTTGGTTCAAAAAGGCCACTTATGCTTCATGGGTTCTGTCACAGCATGGGGATGGTGACGAGAGACTTGACTCTCAACAGATAAGTACTTTAGAGCCACAAAGTCTAAGACAATGTGTAACCATGAGAAGGCTGGTGGATTCCTTAGGAGAGCTGATGCCAGAATACACAGCATGGGAAAAATGACAATTAAAGACACGACAAGCAACGTGTAACATCCAGGCTTTGGCAGGAGACCAACCTGGGCCTGGACTCTGTCTGAGCAGCTGTCTACCGGGAGGGTTTGTCTCTGATCTGCAGTACCGGGGACTGAATCGAGGGCATCACACAGAACTGCCAAGTGCTCTATCACTAAGCTATGCCCCTAACCTCTGCCTGTGAGCTTTTAACACCAGCTCTGTATCAACTCGTCACTTCTGTACGTTAGTTGGGGCTTTCTTAGGATTTTATAGAGCTCAAGTACCTACTTCATAAATGGCCTTTTGAACAGTAACAGCAATCATCTCTCAGCTGATGATCTGACCTCCTCCACAGTCATGGTCGTAACCGCTCTTGGCGGATACTGGTTATGGTGGATGGCTGCAGCGCACAGCACCAGAGTTTTATTCAAATGCATTCAGCGGACCTTCTAAGAGCAGCAACAGAGTTATCTTTTTTTCTCATAGAGCAAGTCGAAGATTACAGTTTCAAAAAAGAACCCAAATGAAAAGTGAAGAACCCATGCCAAACCAACACCCAGCCCCGGTATTGTTCAGGAGAGCCAGAGCACAGCCTCCAAGAGGGAGTGCCAGAGTCCCAACAGGCACCACCAGGGTAGATCATCTCATCAGTCCAATGTGCAATTCATTACAGCTGTATAAATATACAAACACCTTACAATATCAAGTTTCCCTGTAAACTAGACAAGCAGCAGCAGTTAATGAAGTCTATGCTTTCAAATACATGCCAGACATCATCAGTCCCTAGACCCCAAAGACCTTTCCTGATCATCCTTCACTACTTCATCTAAACAAGATGAAAAAACAAACTTGAAAAAGTATTAGATATATTATAGATCAATGTAGCTGGAGGGGAAACTAATGGTTTCTTAGTTGATAAACCTTCTTCCGCCCTTGCCTCATCAAGCTTCTCATTTAGGGCTGGAGTTCAGGGGCCTGCTCAGAAGCAGCGGGCCTGTGCTCCTGCCTGACCTTGTGCAGGGACTGCCTGGTCCCACACAGTCTGGGCCTGAGAGCTGACTGACTCCCAGGTAGTGTCCCAGAAGCAGGCAAGGCCTGAGCACTGGCCAGGGGGTAGTTATGAAGCTATATTTGCTTGGGAGAAAGGAGGGGGCAGAAGTAAAGGAAGAGGGAGGATAATTACTTTTAGCTAGCACTCACTTTCTGTAATTTGTATATTTTCACTCAAGGTTTTTTTGTTTAAAGGAGTGCTTTGAAAATTAAAAAAAATTAAAAGGTAGTTTTCTTAAGGGCTAGTCATCTTAACTTTCTTACTACCATGGAAACCACAAAAATCTCACCAACTGGTCTTTCCATAAACCCTTCAGAGCTTCAAGGCAGAGGTGACCCAGTCTGCAAATGGGACATCAGCCCCAAACTGCTCAGATTCCAGTCTGAGCATGGGCTACAGCAAGAGGGGGCGCCAGCAGTGGCAGACAGAAACACACATGCCCAAGTTCCAACCCCACGTTTCCTGGCCTCCTGATAGGCCGCCTTATCTGGGCATTTGTGAAGAGTGGTCCAGTCCATCCTAACGCTTGATATTTGCAAAGCAAAGACTCTCTACACCAGTGTTGTGTGAATGAAAAGAAACACAAGTCACTGCAGGGTTAGTGCACCGCACAGTTTCACTCTCCCTCAGGGTTCGCACCTCACATCACAGACACGGATCCTTCCATCTCACTTCATAACAGCAGCAACATCAGTGATTCAGTTTGAAAGTGACCTTTCATCTTCATTTCCCTGAAATTAGATTTAGTTCTGGCCCAGGAAGCTGTCTCCAAGCACAGACAGAGCCTGCTGGATTTGAGTATACACCAGAGGGGCATGTTGTATCCATTAGACAACAGAGACTTCTAACTACATTAAAAATCTCATACATATGCTTAGAAAACAAGTAACATTACAGTTAGTGACCTATGCTTGAAGGAGAGAAAGAAAGTTTTAAAAACCCAAAGTATTTGTTGCTCATTTTTTAGATAAAAACAGTCTGATTCTGACCTTCCTTTCCTTTATGGTCCACTTCTCCTTTTCTTTGCAAAACAACAGTAACAAAAGGAGCCGAGAGTCCTTTTCTTCAGATAAGCCCCTCTGAGAGGTCAGAAACAAGGGCTTCATGCCCATATGCCTCCCTGGTAGCTGCTCTGCAGTGGTGAGTGAACCAAACAGAGACATTCATCCTACCACTGCCCTCGGGTGGAGGCCCTCCCAGAGTGGGGTGAACAGACGCCTTCCTGGGTAAACAGGCTGGCAAGCAAGACCTGTACACGGCAACATGAACGAGCCCCAGTCACTGGCAAAGCAACCCCAGAAGCCAAGCCAGAGCTTTCTGTGCCCTGCTCAGTCCCCTAACGCTTACGGGCAGGGGAAAGAAGAGACTATTTTCTGATGGTCTCTTGAACCCTGGCCTGGTGTGTGAGAAGTCACAGAAACCAAGGGACAGGACGCTCTTCTGATTTCTAAGGGGGCATTTCCAAATCACATGGGGGACAAGTCAGGATCCAACAGCAAACCACCAGACAGCTGGGGATACTCCTTCTCATTCCTAAGTGTCTTCTGATTTGTTTGGAATGGTGGCATCCAGAAAACACACCCTGCCATGTTTGTTTATAAGGGACAAGCATTATTGGGAATGGCCGCTGGATCCCGATGGTGACTTCATTCCCAACGAGGAGCAGAAAGTCTGCAGGTTCTGCTGTGAGCAACCATAGCCATCATCTAAGGATCACTCTCATGACCCACTTGTCCAACCTACTGCAGCAGCCTGGCCGTAAAGGGCAATGGTAGCTGTTGCTCAGGCCTATCACAAAGACCCTCTGTCTCTTCTGCTCTATAAATCCATGCTCGAAGCCCTGATTTGGACAGAGAACAAAATCCCATTTCTGAGCTTTCCACAGCTTTCCCTGAATGGAAATGCAGGGATTTAGTCACACACACACACACACACACACACACACACACACACACACACACACACACACACACACACACACACACACACAAAGAGAGAGAGAGAGAGAGAGAGAGAGAGAGAGAGAGAGAGAGAGAGAGAGAGAGAGAGAGAGAGAGAGAGAGAGAGAGAGAATGAGGGAAAGCAAGTGTTTTGTTTTTTTTTCTCAAGGGCTCACTTGCCAAATGTCTCCTCCCATAGTCTCTAAGCCACCCAGGGAAAAGCAGTAGTATCATAAATAGAATAAGAGAAACAGACAGACAGACAGAAAGACAGACAGACAGACAGACAAAGACAGACAGACAGAGAGAAGTTACCCAGAAAACCAGAGCTATACAGAGACAACAGACAGACAGGGATTAGGAAGGGGATCTACCATTCAAAATGAAGCTGAAGTACACTGGAAAATAATTTGGAGATTTGTTGGATCCCCTCAGGGTTTGTATGCAAGGGTGAGTGTATATAAATATGTGTAGTGTTTTTTCCCCTTTTGTTAGGCCACATGCTACAAGTCTTAGCACAAGAAAAAGAAGAGTACAGAACCATGGAGATAAGGACCAGGAGAGCTAGAGAAGTGCTGGATGAAAGAGAAAAGTAGTTAAGCCACAGGATTACATACAATAATAACCGTTAAGAATCACAGAGAGAATGAGAGGTAACACTTTCTTTATCAGTCGAAGGCGAGCAAGGCTCAGCAGAGATGCTTAGTATTTCGGCTGGCTCGGGCATCTGCGAGAGAGTTTTGACCTGAGGGAGATGGGAGGCAGGGTTAGAAAAATGATCTGGTCTTCTCACAGGTGATGCTGCAGATGCAGCTTTCTATGCTCGTAAACAAATGGCTAGACTGTGGTCTTCCCTACTTTGGGATCTCTGTGAGACAAGCCCCTCAGAAACAGAGCTGAACTGTGGGAGTCCATTAAAGCATGCACAATGGCTTCCTAGAGCCAGGTGTGGTACTGTAACCCTAACCTGTCACTTGGGAAGAGGTGGAGAACCTGGAATCTAGTGTGGGCTATACAGTAGAACCGTCTCAACAAGACAAAGTGAAACCAAAGAACAGCCCCTTCTTTACCTTATTGTGCCAGCCAGAAGAGGGTTAAAGGCATATAACCAGTCACTCAGGTCCTTGTCGTTGAGAGCTTGCAAGAGGACCCCGCGGTGCTTTGTGCACACAGCAAAGGTGTTAGGTGTCTGGAGATGAACAGGAAGTAAATGAGAAAGTTATTGTAGAGGATGAAAAATGGGAACCATCATGCCATATTCACAGGGCGCATAGCACTTCAGACAGAAAGAAAGTTCAGGCAATCCAGACATAAAGTTGGGCCCATGTCACAGACCAGAGCGCCAAAGCTGTAAAGGGAAGGACACAGGTAGCAACAACAATCAGAGACAGGACAGACTGACCTTCACCATGGCCTGCTGGTCCTCACTGTACTCCACCTGTGCTGTAGACAGGTTAATGATGCCACGCTCCACTGGGTCTTTGTCACTGTTATAGATGAAGACATAAGGGCGGCGAACCACAACGAAATGTTTAGCCCAGTTGCTGGAAAGTGGCTCCTTGAAATGCAGGTATCCCTTCTTAGATACCACTGACCTAAGGGAGTGTAAAAGAAATAAGTTTCTCAAAAGCAAATGAGAGTAAGCTGAGAACCATCAACATAGCTTCCACTAGGCAAGCCCTCAGATGCAGCAGGACATGCAAATGGTCCACTTGGCCTATATGCTCACTGGTCAGCGCGACACAGAAAAAGAGCAAATGCCACAGCATATATGGAGTGCCAGGCTCCGACACCTGGTGCACACAGCAGGGCGAGTTGGTGTACTGTAGGCTGGGACAGACCTGCACACAAGCACCAGACAACCCACTCCGGCTGCCTGTCTCTCTTCTTTGGCAAGGCTGCTTGTCACAGTACTCACCCTGCTCTAACTTCTTCAATGTCTGGAACGAGATTGAGAAATTCATTTTTTCCTGCTCGGGCCAAATAGGGTGTCTCCACAGTTGGGATGATCTGAAACTGTTCAAACTCTTGGCAGGGACTAGAGGCACGAGAGTTGGCTTCTGGGGTCCTTACAGGGGAAGAAAAGGGTAAGAAGCACTTCAGGAAGGTCAAAGCAGGTGGACACCACTCTACCAGGACACAGTGCCTCTGCCCAGGTACCAGGACAAACATCAGCTTCAGAGTTTAGCTAAGACAAGCTGGTGTCACAAAGGTAATTCTCAATTCAACTTTATGCTTTCTTTGCAAAAGGACACTGGGGACCACTGAGTCACAGCCTCTCCTGCTATTCTATGAAAACAAGCATCTGAGTATAAACTCTACTCCCTTGTAATTATCTTATCAGTCTCATGGTCAGACCTGAGGCAGCAGTTCTCAAAGTATGGCACTTGACTGACAGCAGCAGCATTCTCTGGGACTGGTAGACTTCACAATCAGAATCTCAAGGGAGATGCTTGGCCATTGTACTCTAGCAAGTTTCTAGGGGATTTTAGTAAGTCTGCCATCTTAGGGGATAGTAAAGAAGGCAAACAATGAGAAGCATCTAGCTTCCTAAGACCATAGGAGCAAGGTGGTGAACTGGACCATTCTTTAGGTCTCTGTTGTGGTTGTGTTAGGGACCTCCTAGAACAGCTTAATTTGATGATACTGTATCTTTCTGATTCTAAAAATCCTTTTTGTTATTTCATGTGTTTGTGTGTGTGTGTGTGTGTGTGTGTGTGTGTGTGTGTGTGTGTGTGTGAGCTCATGCATGCAGAGGCCACAGGTCAACACTGGATGCCTTCCTCTATCATTCTCCACTTAACTTTTAAAAGTTTAATCTTTTATATAGTGTCCATTTATTCTTTGAGAGTTTTACACCTGCATACAATGTATTTTGATCATCTCTACCTCTCCACTTCCCTCAACTCCCTCTGACTCACTAGCAGATGCCCTTCCAATTGCATGTTAATAATGAACTGAGTTCGTCAGTGCTAACTGTACTCACATAGGTGTGCGCCATCGACTAGTGGCCACACACCAAAGAAAAATGACTTTCCCAGCGGCCGTGAGTTGCCAATGGCTCCTCAGCTAGGAAAGAGCCTTGTGAGCCCTACCCCTACCCATGGTGGGACTGTGCCTGGCTTCATCTTGTGCAGATCTTAGGCAGGCAACCTCAGCTGCTGCTGAGTTCATGAGTTGCGATGGCCATGTGATATCCAGAAGACAGCATTTCACAGTACTCCTCCCCATCTCCCAGCTCTTAATTCCCTCTGCTCCCTCTTCTGTGATGTTCCCTGAGCCTCAGAGATGGTATTTTTGAGACAGGATCTCTCACTGAATCTGGAGCTCAACAACTTTAGCTACACTAATTGGCCAGCAAGGCCCAGGACCCACCTGTCTCTGCCTCCTCAGCACCAGGATTATAGGCATGTCCCACTGAAAACACTTTTTACATGGGTGCTGGGGATCTAAACTTGGGTGCTCATGCTTGTACGGCAAGAACGTTACCATATGAGCCATCTCCCCAGTCCTCTGTGTTTTATCACTTATTGAACTGGGATGCAGCTCACATTTAGTTGGTGTGCTTAATTGGCTTTTCCTTTCTTAGAGGCACATATAACAATTTCATACAGTTAATAACACTCTAAATTTATTTATTATTTATTGCTTTGTTTCTCAAGACAGGGTTTCTTTATGTGGCCCTAGTCATCCTGTAACCAGGCTGGCCTCAAATTTAGAGATCTGCCTGCCTCTGTCACCTGAGTGCTGGAATTAAAAGCATACGCCTCTACTACCTGGCCTTAAATTTAGTAAGATTTAATGAAAAAGCGCCCAGACATTTCTGAATGGTCTGTAATAGGATAGTGATGCTTTACTGAGAACCAGAACAACAGGAAAGCTGGCATTTTCTTTTCCTGTGTCTGTGAAAGCTGACTACTCACTTCTGATCCATTGAGTTGCTCCTTGAGTCCACCAGGGAGGGGCACGTGGAGGAGGGAGTGAGGGTAGAGCTGCTGAAACTGGACACAGAGGGATCCCTTCCAATTGGAGAGACATCAGACAACTAGAAATAAGCACATCACCAATGGCATTCAGCAGCAAAACAACAGAGCTCAACAATGTTAGCTACGTGGGTGCTGGGGATCTAAACTTGGGTTCTCATGCTTTTATGGCAAGAACTTTAGTTCTACCTCTGCTGTAGATGGCACCAGAAGTTGTCCAAAACAACCAGTGCCTCATTTTTATTAAGCTAATTCAAAACTCATTAAAGACGACAAACCTCAGCTGGGCGTTGGTGGCGCACGCCTTTCATCTCAGCACTCGGAAGGCAGAGACAGGAGGATCTCTGAGTTTGAGGCCAGCCTGGTCTACAGAGCAAGTTCCAGGACAGGCTCCAAAGCTACACAGAGGAATCCTGTCCACAAAAATGAAAGGTAGACAGGGCTAGGAGACAAGGAGAATTCTGGGAAAGGTAGGCAGAGAGAGACCACAAGGGGACACCATGTAGAGACTGGGAAGATAGGACATTCCAGGCATTCTCTGGTAAGATAAGGCCACATAGAAATACATAGATTAGTAGTTATGGGTTAATAGTTAAGACAGAGCTAGCTAAAAAGAAGCCCTAGCCATCGGCCTACAATTTACTAGTTAATATAAGTCTTTGTGTGCTTATTTGAGGCTGAAGCAGCGATGGGACCTGGCAGGACAAGAAACTCCAGCAACACTGTGTGACAGCGACCCTAAGCATCGTAGAGGGAGACTGCCATCTTTAGAAGTACAAAATCAGAAGATACACCAGAGAATAATGTTGTATACTTTCGAACACAATCTATACCCACCACAGGCCCTAAAAGCACAAAAGCTGTGATAGAAATCTGGACAGCTGGGAAGGAAACAGTCATCACCACCATGGTGAAGAGACAACAGCCTTAGTATGCTCACCTTACAGTCACTGATGCTGCCATGCACCTGGTTGAATTCTCGGTTGAAAGTATGGGTGAGAAGCTGCAGGCACTGAAAAGAGAAAGACAGAGGGTGAATTGGTTAAGGTTGAACAGAAAACTCCAATGGCTAAATGAACCCCTATATACAAGGAGAACATGTCCTACACCTATGCTGGAGCTCAGATGTCCCTCAGAATAACTAAGACTATGCTGAGGAAAGCCAGCACATATCTAAGTAAGGTCATAAAAAACACGAATGGTTTAAACAACACACACATACTATATATATATATATATATATATATATATATATATATATGTATATATATTTTCCCCCCATACAGGTATTCTTTGTGTAATCACCCTGGCTGCCCTGGAACCAGCTCTGTACACCTGGCTGGCCTTGAAATCACAGAGATTCACCTGTCTCTGCCTCATGAATGTTAGGATTAAAGGTGTGCGCCACCACCAGGATAAACAACCATTCTTAATACAACCAAAGCAAATTCCTATAAACATAATAGCTTAGAAGTGCTTAGGGCTCAAGTGTGCTGGGCCATGACAGCACTCAGGAAGTCGAGGCAGGTGGATCTCTGTGAATTGAATTCAAGATCAGACTGGTCTATATAGCAAGTTCTTAGACCAGCTAGGATTATATAATAGAGAGACCCAGCCAAAAAGAACGTGCTTAGGAATATGGTAGCAAGACCAGGCATGGCAATATATGTTTCTATATTGCCTCTAATTCTACCACTCAGCAGACAGAGCCTGGAGGGTTGCTGCAAGTTCAGGGCTAGCCTGATCTACATAACCAGTTCCAGGTCAGTCAAGGCAATACAGGAAGACTCTTGCTTCAGAAAACCCAAAAGAATTGACATCCCTTTATTTCTCAATTCAATAAAAGACATGGACACAGGTTGGGAATATAGCTTACTGGGTAGTGTTTATCTAGCATATATGAGGATTTAAGTTCAATTCCCCACACTGGAAAAACAGAAACATAACACCTCTTGTTGAATACATTTTCCAAGAGCACTTGACTAGTAAAATAAGACAGACACCCCTGTCAGTTTTCTATTTCCTCTGTCACCAGTTCCTGAGCAACTACAAACCTAGGGGTAATCTTCAACAACCCTTTGCCTTCTCCCATGTAGACAGAAGTTTCTGTTCTGCTTGGTCCAACGGCCATTTAGTCCCAAATAAACACACAGAGGCTTATATTAATTATAAACTGTTAGGCTGAAGGCTCGAGTTTCTTATTGGCTATACCTCTCTTAATTATTAACCCATTTCTATTACTCTGTGGTCTTGGCTTATGGGTGATGCCCGGGGCACTTGCTTCCTTGGCAGCTACATGACGTCTTCCTGACTCTGCCTATTTCCTTTCTCTATCCCTGTTTGGATTTCCTGCCTGGCTAAATCCTGCCTGTCCACTGGCCAAAACAGCTTTATTCATCAAACAGTAAGAAACATGTATTCACAGCACTCAGAAGGACACTGCCATCACTTGCACCCACCAGAGCCCCTTCTTTACCCTCTTAGAAAGCTTCATCTTTCCTTCCCTTCCTGGATCCCTGTCACAAGGAACTAGCTCTGTCCTCTGCGCCTCACAAAGCTATCCTTTTTATTTTGCTAGAGAAAAATTTTATTGCTGTTGTTTAATTTAATTTTTTGTAGAACTTAAGGTCAAACTCAGGGCCCTGCACATGCTGGGTAAGTACTCTATCACTGAGTTATATACCGTTATTCCTAGTAAAGAATTTTAAAATCGTGTTCAAAAAGCACAGAAACAAATTGCATTTAAAATGTTTCCATCACTCCCAGGATCCACTGGGAGGTCTTGGATGCTCTTCACTGGACCCACTCCATTCCTGTCCCTCTACACGTGAATTCCCTAAGCCACTAGACACCTCCTCACACGTACTTCTAAGGTCGGTTCACAACACCACGTCTATGATATGCTTGTTACCCAGTCTTAAGCTTCAGGGCAAGAACTGGCCCTTATCGTTTCTACACGCAGTGTTAGTATCAGTGTCTTCAAAGAAAACTCTGGAAATGAAAGAACACAGGAGGAGCTCTAATCAAGAAGGAAGGGACTCCTCACCTTTGTAGCCAGTTCTTTCTCTCGGTCTACTAGGCTTTCAATGTCTGCTGAGTCATAGCCACTGCTCTCACTAGGTGTGATGGCGCTTTCAAAGGTGGTGGTTGAGATCTGAGAAGACATACTGGTAGAGGTACTGAGGGTCCCACTGCTGAGGCTGGGGGACAATGAGTCACTCAGAGACTTGGGTATGCTGTCACCAAGTCTATCCTGAAGCAGCAAGAAGTGGCGAGTTTTTTCCACCTGAGAATATGAACATCATTTAAACATGCAAATCATTGTGCTCTCATATCACAGTAAGCCAACAGGCTGAGGGGTCACGGAGAGAAGGCAGGGTAGGACTGGGTGAGCCCTGGCTACCTCATGTAGCAGCTCTAGCTTCTCCAGCTCCCACTGGTGCTCCAGGATGAGGCTGTCTCCACGTGGTCGCCAGCCTGCGAGGTTCTCTTCTCCCCGCACATATGCTACGGAGGTGTCCAAGACTTTTCTTCTCCGCCTCTGCATGCCTAACACAAGAGGAAACTTATCTTTTGTTTTTTATTCCCTCAGAGAAAAAATCCAATTCCAATTTAAGTCAAATAAATTGCTAACTCTTATACATTTTTACACGGCAAACTAAATTTGGCCTTAACATCAATGAGATTTTAATTTTAATTTTTCAAGATAGGGTTTCTCTGTTTAACAAGTCCTGGCTATCCTGGAACTCACTCTGAAGAACAGACTGGCCTTAAACTCACTGAGCTCGGCCTGTCTCTGCCTCCCAAGTGCTGGGATTAAAGGTGCCACCACTGCCCAGCTAAATCTATGAGACTTTATTAACAAAACTGATGTTGGGAATGGTGGCGCTGCCTTTCACTGTGGCACTGAAGGGAAGAACCAGTTAATCTCTGAGTTTGAGGCTAGCATGGTCTGCACACTGAGTTCCATGACAGTCATGACAGTGAGACCCTGTGTTAAAAAAGAGAAAGAAAACCAGGTGATGGTAGACAATGGCTTTAATCCCAGCTCTTGGGAGGTAGAAGCAGGCAAATCCCTGAGTTTGAGGCCAGCTTGGTCTACAGAGTGAGGATAAACCCATAGCATTTTTCCAAGAGAGAGAATGAGGATAAACCCATGGCATTCTTCCACAGCTATTCTCCGAACTGGTTTTTATTTGAGATGCTGGGCTCAGACCTAGGGCCCTGTGCATACTAAACAAATGCTCTGCTGCTATTAGCCTGTGTCTCAACCCTGACAACGAACCTCTGATGATGATGATGATGAACCTCTGATGACGTACCAGGTAAAGCTGATGCTACAAGCTCAATAATGCAAGGCTGGCAAATATTCTTCGTTAAGGCAGTATACTAAGCAGCTGTGAGGTTTTCTGAACAGCCAGGCATGGTGGCTCTGAGGTTTGCTGTAAGTTGTAGGCCAGAACAAAATCTGGTCTCAAGGAAAGCTTCCTAGGGCTGGAGAGATAACTTAGTGGTTAAGAGCACTGGCTGCTTTTACAGAGGTCGTGAGTTCAATTCCCAGCAACCACACAGTGGCTCACAACCATCTATAGTGAGTGAGATCTGGTACCCTCTTCTGGTGTGCAGGCATACATGCAGACAGAACATTGTATACATAAAAAACAAACCTTAAAAAAAGAAAAGCTTTCTAAGCCAAAGTTATTCTAATTCTCAACAAGTTTATATTTCACAGCCTAGCATATCTTGTTGGACATCTTTTTTTTTTTTTTTTTTTTTTACGAGACAGAGTTTTGGAGGCTGTCGGTTCAGCCCGGCCTTGAACTCACAGAGATCCACCTGCCTCTGCCTCCGGAGTGCTGGGATTAAAGGCGTGCGCCACCACTACCTGGCTGGACACCATTTTTATAATCACATTATGCATAATAAATCTTGTATTTATGTATCTAGCCCCCACCACAAAACTGGTTTATAAAATACACAGTTTCTAAAAGACTTCCCACCTTCTAACATGAATAAGACTCCACTTTAAGTAACACTTTTGAAGCATATGGTATAGTAAGAGCTTACCTGGACTACCAGTATCTGCCATTTTGCACAAGCTCAGTTCATAAATTCCAGTAACTCGGTTGCTATTTAAAAATAAAGTAGAACAACTGCTGAGTTTCTTGTAACACTGAAGTAAGGAAAAGCTAGATTTGCTTACTTAAGAAAGAGTGTGCCTCTCAAGGCACTACAATTCCACAATCAGATACACACACTTCTTTTTTCATTTTTACTGTGTGTGTGTGTGTGTGTGTGTGTGTGTGTGTGTGTGTGTGTGTGTGTGTGTGTAGGTTGAAGGACAGCTTGGGGAGTCATGTGGGTTCTGGGGCTCAAACTCAGGTTTCAGGCTTGATGGCAGGCCACTTTATCCATGAGCCATTTTTCTGGTCGTAGCTAAGACACTGTTTGTTTTTACCAGTAACTGTTTGTCTGTTTACTTGTATTCTCTTATGAGGAGCTTGTTTTCATTTTAATTCTTCGACCACTGTTACTTCAATAGGATGAATAGAATAGGATAAACTAGAAAATTTATAGTATAAATGAGAAAAGTAAAAACTTCTTGACACAAGAGAAGATAGGAAAATGTTTGACTAGATGGAATGATCAACAATTCTGGACACTGTGAACAGGAAGGAACATTCAACCTTTCATTGTATTACTGTAACTTAGTTTATTCATTAAAGCTGGGTGGTTGACATTCATGTATCCATGCCATATACTCTCAAATGCATTTGTATGCCTTAAATGTGTACAATAACCCACACTCCTTCCCTTCATCAATTCATGCATCCATTAACACTGTATGACAGCCTGACTGTGAGTCATCGCATCTCAGGTCTCAGTTGCCTGCATGGTCTAAAGATGACTGACTGGCAACAGCAGACGGGTATTCTAAGGGCTGTTGTTTCTTTCTGTTGGACTGGGCAAAGACTTGGAAAATAAACTTTTTCTAAAAACTTACGAGTCTGGTGACTTTGAGTAACCACTACCAAAGAGACTTCGCAGAGAACGTGGCGGTGAGATCTTGGCATCTCGGGAGTAGAAGACCATGCACACATCCTTGGTGATGACAGCCGGCTGGATACAATGATCCAACTGCAAACAGACAAGGTAAGGTGCTGACTGGATGCTGTACAGAAGGGTTGAAAGCTGGGCCCAGCTATGGGGACAGGCAGGCTTTTGCTTCACCAGTGATGTCAAAAGCCACTCAACAGATAGGAATGGAAGGCCAGGTGTATTCTTATGAACACACTTATTCTCCATCGATGAAAAATGCTATCATTTCATGCTGCTTAAAAATGAAGAAACTGAGACATGGAGAGAGCTTATCCAAGGACATCCGGGCAGTAAGTGACAGCACAAAGATTAGAACTCAGACTTGCATCAGGCATAGTGATGCATGCCTGTAATCCCAGGATCTGGGAAGTGGAAACAGGAGCACCAGGTCACCATCAGCTACACAGTAAGTTTGAGGCAAGCCTTGGACACATGAGACTCTGTCTCAAAAAATAAAATTAACAACAGAAGAACTCAGGTTTGTTCCAAAACTTAGAACTATTCATTTCTGTTATCGTCCAGGAAAGCCTGGTATAAAACTATCTTAACTGCTGATTCTGTTCCTGAACCTAAAGTAATTGAAACAGTATGCTACCTTTTATCTAAACAGAGCCCTGGAACAGAATCTAAAACAATCAGAACAGTTAGCAAAGTACAATCAAATAAACAATGTAAGGATATGGAGAGAAAAGAATAAAAATGAGTTGAATTTTTGCTGACGGCCCCCTGTCACTGCTCACTTCTCAGGGCCTGCTCAAGTTCTGGGTCCCTCACCTCCAGATAGGCGGATAAGGTCATGTAGATCTTTTCTCCATAAGGTGTCACTCGGTTCAGAAGGAGGGAGTTATGTAAGGAACTGTCCCATACAGCCTCAAAACGGTAGAAGGTCCTGAGGGCAGAAAGACAAAGGGTCAACCCAAAGTCGCTGATGCCACAGCAGCAGAGGGACTGCTAGTGTCAAAGTCGCTGATGCCACAGCAGCAGAGGGACTGTTAGTGTCAAAGTCGCTGATGCCACAGCAGCAGAGGGACTGCTAGTATCAGGGATCCTAAGGAACCCTTTGTCACCACTGCACTCCTGTTTATCACACTCTAACAACGAGGGGACCTTATCTCCTAGAGGAAGGGGCAGGTGCCCACCCATCATTTAGAGACACTTAGTTGTGCTCCCATCCCTGACTTTTGATAAAGTTTTTGCCTTACAGACATGAAGACAGGGACAGCACTGCCAGGGAAGGTGGCACATGGCTGAAGTCCCACACTCAGGCAGAGTCAGGACTGCTCAGTCTGAGACTAGCCTGGTCTAAATACCAAGGTCCAGGCTGGCCAGGGCACAGCACAAAGCTTGTTCTCAAACAAAGCAAGCCCTACCAATAACATAAACCATAAGAGCATTCAAAAGAATCAAGAAGAATGTGAACAGAGTCTGGAAGACAAAAAGCCAAGTGAGCTGTCCTGTCTGTTTTAATAAGATAAGAAGTAGGGACTCAGTAACTGTGTCAGCTCTCACATCCAGACTCCACAGGACAGTTCTGCTGACACTGAGAATACTCTGTGGGATGCTTAAAGGTAGAACAAGCAGAATTTAATTATGGAGAACGTTATTTCAATGAATGAATACAAAGTGATATACCAATAGGAGTAGTTTTACAAAACTAGAGGCAGCTGATTATCATCCATTCTTTCTAAACATACCTGAAAAATAACCTTATATTTAAGAAATAATCATAAGCTGAATTTAGCAGACATCCACCACCTCGTTTGTTGAAGTTCTTCAAGCATTAGTTCTTCTTACTAGCAAAAATGACACCAAGGTGACACTGGTGGGGCTACAGATGAGTTCCCAGCTCTGTACCATTTCCTTCTTGGAACTCTGACACTTCACAGGGGAGAGGCCTCTTGCAAGCCCACACCCTCACAACACCAATTGTCAGGCAGAACAGAGTTGACCTAGCTCACGCAGAAAGTGTTTACAGTGCCCTGTTCCCAGTTCTGCTTGCCTAGATTTCCAACGGCTGTCAACAGGCATATCCTCTGTCTAAGCACACCCCCATGTATCTTCCTCCAGAAAACACAAGCAGAGAACTTTCTGAAAGTGAATGCCCTCACCACCCCGAATCTTTCCAGTGCACAGGTGTGAGGTGTGACCACTCTCCTTTGTAGCTGTTCTTACTCAGTTCTTTTCTAGAATGTGACTGTTTCTCAATGTTGAGTTTTGGAGGCAATAAATAAATGTGGGTCAAGAAAATTCTCTGTACAGACTCAGAAGGCATTCAGAGCAACAATTAGTGAGATGGGCATCAAGTAACCCAAAGTGCAACAAAAATGCTCTTTTTTTATGGCTTACAGATTCAGCAGAAAACCTTTATGCACCCCAAATCCTGTTTAAAGTAAACATCCTTATTTGAATTTGGTTTAAGAGAAGCTCTAATAATGGGAGATGACACTCAGCAAAAGAACTCTACCATGCTGAGAGCTGCTCTTTTATTCTGTCCCTACTAGTCAGCTGTCTGGGATGGGACTACTTGTCAGCTTGCCAGGGCTGGGGACACACATGCTAAAGTAAACAGAGACTGCTATGATAGACATTTCTATCACAGTTACCTGCCCTCAATGCTTATTCATTCAGTCCCAAACCCTCACCGACCTCCACCGAGACCACTCCTGAGACTTCCCAGCTGATTCTTCCAATTGAGGCAATGTTTGTAACCATGTAGGAAAATCTTTTCACACTCCAAGTTAAGATTTCACTTAATCTAAAGCAAAAAATGTTACTAGTACAGGCCTGGCTAAGACAAAGGGGAATTTTGTTTCTACTTTAAAAAAAAATCTTTATTTTGAAATAGTGTCTCACTATTTAGAGCTGGATAGCTTGGAACTCTATACAGACCAGGTTAGCATCAAACTTACAGAGATTTGCCTGCCTCTGCCTCCTCAGTGCTGTGCTACCAAGTGTGGCAACACCAGCTTCTTACATTATGGTTACACTGCATGCTGTGTGTGTGTGTGTGTGTGTGTGTGTGAGAGAGAGAGAGAGAGAGAGAGACAGACAGACAGACAGACAGACAGACAGAGGAGAGTCTGGTGGGCTACTCTCCTGTCAATGATAGACCCTGTTGAATTCACTCGGAGACTCTCTATCACTGGTGATATCCAGACTAAGATCTGAACTCATTATATTTATACATCTGCCAGATAACAGTCTGGACCACCTTTTCATGTGCTGTTGGAACACAGTTTAGGGATAGAGTTGTGTGAGGAGAATTCTGAGTGTTTGTGAGAAAACACTCCAAGAAAGCAAGAGAAGATTCTTGTGACCTCAGTTTCTTCAAAACATAGAATTGTCCTTGGAATGTGTTTCTGTGCTCCTCCCAGGTGTATCAGGCATGAGTGAGTCATTTCAGATTAGTCACTACAGCTGGCCATTGTTATGTGTTCATGTGCCTCTATGGAAAATGTGGTTTTCCACGTGCAGCTTGTCCTTGTGACCACACACTCCTCATGCGACTCCTCAACGCTGAGTTTGAATGTCTGGTGCTCTGAATAAAGGTGGCGACTGCATGAGACTTTAGTCCACTCATTGTTAGGCTGCATTCTCCCCAGCTCCACCGCCTTCAGAGCAGCAAACAATGTATCATCATTTCCTTCAGTTTTCCTTCCTAAATCAAAGAAATAGGAAGACACTCCACTATCAGGAATTTTCCTATTCCAAAAGGACGTTTTTTTTCTCATTCTAATTTTTTTCTTTCCCCCAAAAGAAAACCATATTAAGACATACAGATAAAAAAAAGAAGAATTTTGAAAAGAAAAGCATATTGAGACACAGATAAAAAAAGAAGAGTTTTTTTTTTCCGAGACAGGGTTTCTAAAAAGAAGAGTTTTAAAACACATGAAGCTATATACAGCAGCACACCTTCAACCCTGACATTCAGCAAACAGAGGCAGGAGGATCTCTGTGAGTTTAAGGCCAGCCTGGTCTATACAGCAAAACTCTGTCTAAAAAGAAAAACAAAACATAAACTAGCAAACAAACAAACATTTCTTCTTATAAACTCAACTACCCGAAGAGCCAATTTGGTCTCTGTGTGGCAGGCGCAGAACAAAACAGAAAATGAGAGGGCTCTGCAAAGCTGCAGAGCAGGGAACTCTCCAGCTTTCAAGAGAGGTGGGGGTGGGGAGAGGGGAAGGAGGAGGGAACGACTGTCGGAGAACAAAGCCTGAAGTTTCATATGAAATGTGAAATATTCTATCTGGGGATGTAGAAAAGGACAACATGAAGATGTGCTGAAATTTTAGTAAATGGAATGAGAAACTAATTTAGAGCACTAAGCCATTTGAGAAGTCACACACAAAACTGTACACACATCAGAAGAACCTAAGGTGCCAGCAGCATTCTTAGGTTGCAGAATAAGGTCTTGCTCTGTTCTAGGTTTACACAGGGAATAAGCCACTGAATCAAAAAAGCAACCAAAGGAACACAAGACAGACAGCACTCTGGTAACTAGAGTCTCTATGTGCAAAAAAGCAGTACCTAGGAATATCCTTATCAAGAAAGAGCCTGCAAAAACAGAAAGGTTTTTATTAGTCTGGTAACCAAAAGACAATGAGAGAGAAAACAAACACATAGAAAGAAACACAGGAAAAATACGCTAACAAGCAAACTGAACTCCCCTGGACAAAGGGTGAACAGAGAACTCTGGGACACAATCTGATAAGGGACTGACAGTAACATGGACCCTTCTCCTGAGACTTCGTTAAGAAAAAGATGGATATACAAGGAAATATGGAGATCAGATCTATTAATCCCCCACCACCACCGCCATGGGGACCTTGTACTGGACATGGTAAAAAAAAAAAAAAACTGCTGTTGAGTTAAGAGAAAACCAAGGCAACTGGTTAACCCAAGTGTAGGGGTTGGAAGAAAGGGAATTGGGATCTTGTTGATTATTCTCTACTATCATGGGTTAGAAAAGTTCTCTAAGACACATACATGGTACTGCAATCTATGCATTCAATTTAAAGGCTAGCCCTTAGATAACTAGAACATGAGCCCTCTTAGTCAAACTCACTTAGCAACTCACCATACCAACCTAGGAGCCTGTAATGGTTAAAGACTGTGTCAACTTGACAGGGCCTAGAATCGTTAGATCTGTGGGCACATGTGTGAGGGCTTGTCTAGATTAGTTAACTGAGGTGGGATGGGTCTCCCTAAAGGAGAGCTGTGCCATTCCATGGCTGGGGTTCCATACTGAATGCAAATAAGAAAGAGAGGTGAGTACCAGTGTTCACACTATGTGACCTGCTGCTCAGGCTCCTGCTGCCTCACCATGACAGAGCACGCTCCTTCCTTAAACTGCTTCCCCAGGAATTTTGTTACAGCAACAAGACAAGTAACTAACACAGCTCTCAATCTCTCTAAAAGATAAACATCTGAATATTCTGAACTAGAGAGGTGTCTCATAGCCTAGGGTACAGGAACTGGAGGTACAGACAGTTCTGAGTAGCTATGTGGGTCTGAGAAGCCAATCTGAGTCCTTCAAGAGCCGCCAGTGCTCTTCACTGCTGAGTCATTTCTCCATCCCTCCTAAATCTTTTTATGCCAGCTGCAATTATTATTATAATCATTTAAATTTGATTCAACATTAGTCATATCAATCAAATATGAAGGTAGAAAGAACTTTCTGTGAAGACCAATTTAAATGATTTTTTTCTAATGTGAAAATTCTGATTTTTAGGTTAGATTTTTTTCTTTTAATTGGAGATAGGTTTTCACTATGTGACTTATAATGGCTTCCCAGTTTAAATCCTCCAACCCTCTTGCTCAGCTTCCAGTTCTTGTCCCATCAACTAGAAAATTACATCATCCAATGTGAGTGTGATTTTTACAAGAAAGAATCAAAATTCTAACAAGTGACCCAATAATTAGATAAAAGACTTCAACCTATAGCAAGAACTTGATAATGAATGAGTACACACAAAGATTCAGTTGACACAGAATGTTCAGGCTGGTGAGACAGCCTGCCCCGAAGCATCATGACCTGAGTTCACTTCCCTGGACTCTCACAGTAGAAGGAGAAAAGTGACTCCAGCAAGCTGTCCTTTGACTTCCTAAGTGCACAGTCTCACACATGTATACAAAATAAAATATAAAAGAAAGAGATCAAGATGTGTATCTTTCATTTGGGTAAGCATTCCTAAATTTGTATCATATAAACTTGACCTGCTGCTGCCCTGGGTCTGAGGACTTTGCAAGGTGACCTTGAGCACAAACACCATCTACTTAACAGCCAAAGGAAATCAAACCCATTTTTCAAAGTCCCAACATTGTAGTGATGAATGCCAGCTGAATGCTGGCTATAAATGCCTGGCAGGAGAGGAGGTCATGTGGTGTCTCTGCTGACTTCAGAGACATGGTGTTGTTTATGGTTTGCCCAGGAAGAGACAATGCTACCCTCCTCCCCGACACAGCACCCCTTCAAACCCACTCTGTTCTTTCCACAGGCTATGCCTATTCTCCTTACATGCAGAAAAGCAAGCACAAGCTTGTTATTCTTATTTTCCTAACAAAACTGTAACATAAGGAAAAAATAATAATCATGGTCCAAACCTTTTCATTCTACTTCTGCCTCCTGTCTTATCCCCACCCCCTCCATTTTCCAACACACAGATGAGCAAGTTTTTCAGCATAGAGAATTAATTCCACACAGCGAAGGCAGTGTCCCCAGCCTACAGTGGATGTGCATGGGTTCTTGGTTCGAAGCCCTGCCATTTAAGGAGATGGATTATCCGAGACAATAACCTAACTTTTTCTGGGCCCAGGTAAGTCAGACACCCAAAAGACTTAGCTCCAGGCTAATATGGAAAGGTAAGGTTGGCTATGTACTTTCTGCACTGCCTGTCACACTTGAATATATAAAAGGAAATTTATGGAGAAACCAGTTTAAAGTTAAAAATAAAACCCATTACTCATAGGAGCAAATGTTGTAAATAACAGTTTATATTAAATCATCTTTAAGGCCAGGTATTGATGGTGCACAACTTTAATCCCTGCACTTGGGAGGTAAAAACAGGAGAATCTCTGTGAGTTCGAAGCCATCCTTCTACAGAGTGAGTTCCAGGACAGCCAGGGCTACACAGAGAAACCCTGTCTCAAAAACCAAAAACAACAACAATTAAAAAAGGAAGGAAGGAAGAAAGGGAGGGAGGGAGGAAGGGAGGGAGGGAAAAGTGAGAAACAAAAACTGAACACACATCTTCAATTCTTTTTCTTTCTTTTTAGGCAGCAGGATGGACAAAGAGAGAAACAGATTTTTATTGTAAGATTTATTTTTTAGTATTTTAAATCATGTATGTGAATGCGCATGTTAGTGCAAGTATCCACAGAAGCCAGAGGCATTGGATCTCCCTGGAGCTGGAATTGCAGACTGTTCTAGAGTCATACGATATGGAACTGAACTTGGGTCCTCTGCAAGAGCAGTATGCACTCTTAACCACTGATTCATCTTTCCAGCTCTGAAACCAGAATTTTAAAATTTCTATTTTAATTAATTAATTAGAGACAAGCTCTCTCTATGCAGCCCTGGCTGTTCTGGAGCTTGCTCTGTAGACCAGGCTGGCCTTGAACCCATAGAGATCGTCCAGTCTCTGACTCCCAGGGCTGGGATTAAAGGTGTACACCACCATACCTGGTCTCAAAAGCAGGATTTCTGAAGTAAGAAGGGAATTCCTTTCTTCATCTGCACCAGGACTCTAATGTGAGACTATCAACAACACAGTGCTGACACTTCTGTGTCCCAGGGTATCCTACCTGCTGGAGTTGTGGGAGGACTTCAAGGACTTAGCAGAGATGATGTTTAGGGAAAGGATAGCATCAACTGCAGCTTCATCAACCTCAGGTTTATTCCTAATCCGACCTGAAAGAAGGGATAAGAAACCCAGAAGTGGGCATATAAAAAACAGACATCACTTTGTTAAGTCAAAAGGTCTGGTGGCACAGGCCTATAATCTTAGCTAGATAGCAGAAGGATCAGGGCCAGCCTGGGCAATTTAGTGACATCCTGTCTTAAAAAAAAAAAAAAGGTATAAGGAGACAGCTTACTGGTGTCACATATACAAGACCATAGGTTCAATCTTTAGTACCATATCTCAGTGGAAGAACATTTGCCTCTCTCTTGCTGTCTGTCTGTCTGTCTCTTACACACTTTTTTTTTCTTTTTTGAGACAGAGTTTGTCTGTGTATCCTTGGCTGTCCTGGAACTCACTCTGTTGACCAGGCTAGTGTCAAACTCATATATCTGCAAGCCTCTGCCTCCCAAGTGCTGGGATTAAAGGCTTTGCCGCCACTGCCCAGCCACACACACTTTTCAATCTCTGTAATTAGGTGCTTAGAGATCATTTGGATAAGTGTAGGATCCTTTCTCAAGGTTGTCTCGTTTTATTTTCCTATGCTACGATGGAGATCAGAGCTTTGAATATGTTAGGTAAGGACTGTGCCACTGAACCATGGCACTGATTTATCTAATTATCTAATTCTACACCCAATTAACTGCACATTCAGAATGAGCGGAGATTTCATGATCTTCTCATAACCTGTAGCTCATATCCATACTCACAGTTAACAGTAGGATGGCAAAGTAATGGTAACTAGGAAAAGGAGTCTCTTTTCTTTTTGCAGTAGAGGGAACTGAACTAGGTTGGGACCATGCATCTACTAGGCAATCACTCTACTAAGCCACAACCCCAGCATTCAAGACAGCTTGAAACTCTGGGATTTTATTTTTCTCTACTCTGTGTTCTCCACATTTCATTTTTTTAAAGATGTATTCATTTATTTACTTTATGCATATGAGTGCTCTATCTGCATGTATGCCTTTATGCCAGAAGAGGGCATCAGGTCCCACTAGAGAAGGTTGTGAGCCACCATGTGGTTGCTGGGAATTGAACTCAGGACCTCTGGAAGAGCAGCCAGTGCTCTTAATCTCTGAGCCATCTCTCCAGCCCGTTCTCCACATTTCTACACCTCCCCTGCACTCAACAAGGAATGATGACATTTCTAAAGAGTCAGGCCGGCCTCAGCTGATGGATACACTCACCTACCACCAGTTCACGAACATCTTTCCAGTGGAGCTCGCTGCCCTTCTCATGGATAATAGTCACTGTGATCCGGCGCTGGATGCCCTACGGAATGCAACAAGATTACAATTTAGAAGAATGTGTTAGAAACTTAACAAGGTAGATGGTGATGTGGTTTTAAGAGATGCCTTGTAGGGCACAGTGTTTCACACCTCTAACGACAGCATGAAAGTCTAGGCAAGAGGAATTCATGCTTCCTGGGAGAGAGACAGGGAATGGAAGAGAGGCAGGGGTGGGGGTGGGACAGACATACAGACAGACACACAGAGGTGGGGGAGGCATAGACAGACCAACAGACTGATTGAGACCCTGTAATATGCTCTATGGGAGTGGTTCTCAACTTGTGGGTCTCCACCTCTTTGTGGGTTGCATATCAGGTGTCCTGATGTCAGATATTTACAGTAAGATTCATAACTAGCAAAATAATAGTTATAAAGTAGCAAGAAAATAATTTTATGGTGGTGGGGGTCACCACAACATGAGGAACTGTATTAAAGGGCCACAGCATTAGGAAGGGTGAGAACCACTGCTATAGGGTAGGAACTCCATGCAACACGACGGAAACCTGAACAATAAGTTGTTTTGAACAAAGGCTAAGTTTTTCTTTTTCTTTCTTTCTCCTATCTATCCATCCATCCATCATCCATCCATCCATCCATCTATCTATCTACCTACTTTGAGGCAGGGTTTCTTTGTGTAACAGCTCTGGTTGTCCTGGAACTAACTTTGTAGATCAGGATGGCCTAGAGTTAAGAGATCCACCTACCTCTGCCTCCCAAGTACTGTGATTAAAGGCATGAGCTACCACCATTACTGGCCTGGCTAAATTTTTTTTAAAAGATGGGATCGTGTTATGTAGCTGAAACTGGACAGGAACTTACTAAGAAGCCAAGACTAGCCTTGAATTCCTAATCCTCCAGCCTTCACCTCCTGGGTGCTAGAATTACAAAAGTGTAGTAGCATACTGGGCTTTGAATATAATTTTACCAAATGAGTAGTATCCATTTATAAAGTGTACTTTTAATTATTCAAATTTTCATCATCTACCCCCATAAGAATTCCTGGCTGGGCTGGGTGGCACATGCTTGTAGCCAAAGTACCTGGAAGGTTGAGACAGTACCAGGTCCTTTTTGTATACCAGGAAGATTTGTCACTCAGACTGGTTTAATAAAAATCTGAATGTCCAATAGCTAGGCAGGATTTCAGGGCAGAGAAGATGATGGGAAGAAGGGTGGAGATGCAGAGAGATGCCAAGAGACACAGAGGAAGCAGCATGGGCAGTGCACAGGAAAGGTAGCCGAGCCACGTGAAAGAAGGAAGATTAAAAGAAATGGGCTATCCTAAGTTATAAGAGCTATTTAAAAAACAAGCCTAAGTTATCAACCGAGCCTTTCGTTGCTGCTGTTTTTGTTTTTTGAGACAGAGTGTCTCTGTAGCTTTGAAGGTTTGTCCTGGAACTCGCTCTGTAGACCAGGTTGGCCTCGAACTCACAGAAATCTGCCTGCCTCTGCCTCCCAAGTACTGGGGTTAAAGGCATGCACCACTACCACCTGGCTCCACCGAGCTTTTATAATTAATAATAAGACTCTGTGTCATTACTAGGGAACCAGTGGTCCCAATAAAATAATTCCACCTACAAATGACGCCCAATCTCCAGCCATGTATATCCACGTAAGACCTGAGAAAGCTTAAAAAGAGGTTCTAAACACACAAAAATAGAGCCAAACACAGCTTCCTAGTCTTGTGTCTCTCAAGCTGGCTGCATTTCAGAGACACATTTCCAAGCAGGTGCCTGCATGCTTGAGCCAACGGTTTTGCTCATGCAGACAGAAAAGGTTACAGATATGCAGTATATAGCATGTTAAGATAGAAAAAACACTAAAAAGGTTATAGTGTGCTTAACAGTATGTGTAGGCTTAAGAAAAAAGATGAGTATAGACAATCATAAAAACAGTTTAAAGGCCAGGTGGTGATGGTGCATACCTTTAATTCCAGCACTTGGGAGGCAGAGGCAGGTGGATCTCTGTGAGTTCAAGGATAGCCTGGTCTACAAGAGCTAGTTCCAGAGGAAAACCTGTCTCCCCCCCCCCGCAATAAAGCTTAAAAATAATAAAATCTTTAACTAAAGATCCAAGTGTTTTTTTGTTTGTTTTAATGAGCCATACGAAGATGAAAAATACACAGGGAGTCTGGATTATATAAGGTATATTACTAACTTTTGAATTTTTTGAATGCTGTTACAAAAAAAATAGCTACTGAAAGATATTGGATTATGAAAACTGCTAAATTAAACCAACCTATATGCTTTAAAAAGGTCTTAACTTCAAAATGGAAGTCTGACAATGTGTTGTGGTGGGAGAGAGGTTATGCTTTTGTTTCCACTAAAAACGAAAGTCCATGGATTCCTTCTAGATTGATAGAGATCAGATTTGACAGGGGGTGACCTCCTGAGTATCTTGGCTACAGACATAGGGGAAGAAGCCAAAAAAGACTACAGGACAGGTGACATGTAAGCTGATGCCTGGACATGGGAACAGCTCTGAGATGAGATGACACATGATAAATCTTGTTGGCTATGTGGAGTCCTCATGACTTATTATTACATGCCATCCTTTCACATGGTATAGAGAGATTTACGTTACAGTTTGATTACATAGTCCAAACTGACTTAGAAAACTGACAGATGCCTTTTACCTTCTAAAACATAAAACAAAAAAATCACATTTAACTGACTTGTGTATACTGCATAGTCCATACTTGTATGTTACCTTTGAAAGTTTATGTTTTTAGAGCAAGAGGACCACACCTTCTGCTGGAAACTTCTAGAAGAACATGGAAGAAGGAAGCCTCACCCCACCAGCAAATCCATTCCTTCACTGACATTAGAACCTACTTCTTTGGGACTCCAGCATACATTAAAGAGCAGCTGAGACACCAGCCTCATGCATTGAACAACAACTGGATTCTTGCACCTTCTGTTCACAGGTAGTCATTATTGGACTAGCTGGACCACAGCCTGTAAGTCATTCTAATTAAATTCTATATAATATATATGTAATAAGTTATTTTCTAGAGAACCCTAATACAAATAGAAACAGTATTTAAAGTTTTGTGTTCAATTCCCAGTCATTTTCTATCCTGCAAAAAAGGGTCAGGACAAAGCAAAAATGTCCTCCCACTTTACCCCCTTCAAATAGAGATGAAAAGTTGAGAAATCTGTTCTTATCTCTCAGACTTCAGTACCTGGTGCAGCAAAAATGTCCCCTGGCAGGGTAAGCCTGCTGTATGGTCAACCACAGCCGGAATATACCTGTAAGAGTAAAAACACAAAAGACAGAGGTCAAGGGTGCGTCACCTACCAAATCACCCTGGGTTTCTGTAGCCCTGGGGATCTTTGTTTTTCTACACTGGATTCCACGTCTGATCCCAGGCAGGCATTTCACCACAGACTTGCATCTGTCACCCTTTTCATGCATCTGTCTCTCATGTCTGTATGACTCAAGTGCTAAAAGAACAGGGTTTTTTTTGTTGTTGTTGTTCCATCTTTGTCCCTTGCAAAATAATTCAGTAAATAATGTATAATTGTTATAGAACTGGGCAGAAATAAGAAGCAGATAATTTCAAATTCTAGATATTTTAAGCTCCAGAAAGCAATTAATTCAATAGAAACCATCACTGTAATTACTTCTTCATAATGCAAGCTAGGATAACATTACAGATCTGTTGATGGAAAGTCACATTCTTCAACGTGACTGACAACCGAGGAGTTACAGAGCTATATTTAACACAGGGCGGTATGCACAGCAGACACTTGCCAATGGTTCATGCGCTGCTCATCGATGATGGTGGTTTGCTGCTTTACACACAGAGGAAGGCTACACAGCACTGACTCCTCAATCTGTGTTAACTGCGTGCACTTGCTTGCCTCTTTCAGGAATAGGATCTCTTTTGTGTTCTTCCCAAGGTATTTTACAAACAACTATACACAATAACTGCATTGATCATTTAACACAGCTCATAAAGACAAGGAAGCCTGTGTTCCTGTTACTTCAGGAGAGTGGCTCTTTTCCAGGGTTATCTTTGGTCAGCACAGCTGGAGAGAGGCGCTACTAGCCTCTCACAGGCACAGGCCAAGGTGCTGCAAAATACCCTTCAGTGACACAGGGGAATATAAAGTGGTCTCCTACAGGGGCAAGGTTGAAATTTTTTTTCCTTTGTTGGTTTTTCTAGGCAAGGCTTCACTATGTAGCCTTGGCTGTCCTGGACCTCACTAGGTAGTCTTGAATTCACAGAGATCACCACACTTGGCTAAGGTTGAAAATTTTTTAAGATGTATTTATTTACTATGTATACAGTGTTCTGCCTTCATGAAGAGGGCACAAGATCTCATTACAGATGGTTGTGAGCCACCCTGTGGGTGCTGGGAATTGAACTCAGGACCTCTGGAAGAACAGCCAGGGCTCTTAACCTCTGAGCCATCTCTTCAGCCCCAAGGTTGAAAATTTTAATTCAGGGAAATATCCAGAGGCCCCCACTGCTCTCACTGAGATTAGTACTCTAATGAATATTACATTTATTTGTGTGTGTGTGTGTGTGTGTGTGTGTGTGTGTGTGTGTTGTAACTGACCATGGCACATGTGTGACCATGTATGTCCCACAGTCAAACTCAGACTGTGGGGCATGGCAACACGTGACCACATCTGCTGAGCCATCTCACCAGTCCCTAGTAATCTCCATCTGAGCCTGGAGCCCCGACCTTCACAGACCATGTAGTCCTCTTCCCTCAGAACCATTTGGTCTCCATCACACTGCTGTTGCTAACAAAAGTGTCAACAAATCTACTGGATGGCCACTGGTAGATATTTATAGATACATAGCATGGCACCAAAATTCAATACAAAAGAGGAATTTGACAATATAATTGCATGAGCCAAAATATGCTCAAAACCATATCTCTTAGTTCTGAAATACTTTATTTAAAAAATTTAAAAATTGGACTTACTCTCCTGTAGGCTCCAGTTCACTGATCTCAAACCAAACCAGAAGGTCATACTTGCTCATGCTCTGCCCAAGGCTGGTTTTGTTCATGGTATTTAACTTGGTAGCTGGAACTTTAAAAAAGTTTGTATAACATGTCAAAATCTGTTCCAAGTTCACTCAGCAAAAGTATAGGCATCTTGATTTTTAAAATTATCTATTTTTATTTTATGTACATTGTCTGTATGAGGGTGTTGGCTCCCCTGAAACAGGAGTTGTGAGCTGCCATGTGGGTGCTGGGAATTGATCCCAGGTCCTCTGGAAGAACAGCCAGTGCTCTTAACCATTGAGCTGTATCTCCAGCCCAGCACAGGCATATTTAATGTCAGTCTTTAAGAGGACAGATTTCAGTGTGGGAGTTGCAGAGAAGGTTAAACACTACCTGTGTCAGTGCCTCTAATCCAGAGGAAAGAAAAAGAAAACTGGTGACTGTCCTGATTGTCATCTAGGCAAGCAAATCTCAGTACTTAGGAAAGAAAAAGGGGAGGGGAGGGGATAGAGAGGAGGAAAGGAGAAAGGAAAGAAGGGGAGGGGAGGGGGAAGGGAGGGGAGAGGAGGGGTAAGGACTTGAATGTAGTTCAATGGTAAAATGCTTGGTAACAGGCACAAGACCCAGGGTTTGATCCCTGACACTACAAACAAACAAAATCCAACTACTAGTTAAAAAATCAAAATAAAAAATACTATTGCAAAAAATAAAAACTAAGAAGTATCAGAAGGGGTGGAGATGTAGCTGAGTAGGGAGAATGCTTTCTCTAACACCCCATAAACTGGGTATGATGGTATATACAGGTACAGGAACACTGGAGATGAGACAGGAGGGCCAGCAGTTCAAGATCATTGTCAACTATATAACTAGTTCAAGGCTAGCCTGTTCTAGAGACCTCATCTTAGGAGAGAGAGACAGAGACAGAGAGACACAGAGAGAGACAGAGACAGACACAGAAATCAGGACACCCCATCCTCAAAGAGACGGAGGTGAAAAGGTGTTCCCTACAGTCTTCCTGAGGGAACTGTGATGTGATCTTGACAACATGCAGAGATCTACAGTAAGCCAGGGGAACACACATAAATCTTAGTGCTTTATCTATGGCGAATAAGGTCTTAGGAAAACTGCCTAAAGATGCTTCTACATCTAAGGCAGAGCTAGTTTAGCTAGTAACCATATCGCCTGGGCACCCTTTCAGTCTGGAAGCTGGGAACTGGCAGACAGAGAAAAGGCGGCAATGAATCAGCCTCATTCTGGAAGGTGGCAATGGCAGAGGAAGCTAGCACATTGGCATGCTCAGAAAGCGTGTCCAGCACATGCACATTCACACAGCCAGACATGAGAAACCGTATCAGCTCAATCTTTCTTTCAGGGTCTGAAGGCCGACAGGGATGGGGAACAGAGGGAGGAGAATGAGTACAGGGCGAGGGTGGGAATTTGGTAAGTGGGCAGTAAGGAAAAAGGACAAAAGTAAAGTGAAAACAAGATAAATGAAGAGAAATTCTGGTGTTCTGGTGTATGACAGGTTATCTATGATTATCAATGTTAAAATGCTACAAGAAAGGATTTTGAATATATGTACTACAAGTGAGAAGTGCTTAAGATACGGATATACTAACTACACTGATATATTCATATGTTCCTCAAAGCACATAGTTACAAATGCATCATATTACATTGTAAATATGTAATACGTGTCAATCAAAAACAAAAGTCCCAACAACAAATAATAAATTTAATGTGCAAAGAAATGTTAAGTGAAGCGACAGAACTAATTACATACAAAGCACAGAGATTAAGGAAGAAGAGGTTATCAAGTCTGAATGAGAAGCAAGAGCCCAATTGTTTCTGACTTCCATCTCAGATCAGGAACCAACCATTCTATTCCTGGTAGAAATATGTAAGAGGAACAGGAACACATAAGGACACAGAGAAGGAATTCCAGTGTGAGTCTTGTCTGGAAACCATTCAGAAGATACATGTACATCTGACATAGTATAGCTGCTGCTCACCTGGCTTGGAGAGAGGCATGGGTGGTGGGAAGAATCTTCGAGAAGGCTGGGGTGGACTGCAGAGAAAGAAAGAAGCATTCATTAGGACTAAACAAAGTTAAGAGTTGACATTAGTGACATGTATAAATCTTTGTTTTTTTGGAGACAGCATTTCTCTGTGTAGCTCTGACTGTCCTGTAACTCACTCTGTAGAACAGGCTGACCTCGAACTCACAAGAGGTTTTTGTTTTTGAATATTTAAGTCTTTTTAAGAAATAGAAATATGCTGGGGCAGTGTGCTTCCTCATTAGTTATGATGACTCCACCCTGAGTTTCTACTTCTTAAAGTAAAGGTGTCAGAAATTATTACATGCATGTTCTAGCTCTATTGCACCAACTTCCTACCCTATTAAGAATTTCTTCTTACAACAAGCCGGGCGTTGGTGGTGCACGCCTTTAATCCCAGCACTCGGGAGGCAGAGGCAGGTGGATCTCTGTGAGTTCGAGACCAGCCTGGACTACCAAGTGAGTTCCAGGACAGCCTCCAAAGCCACAGAGAAACCCTGTCTCGAAAAACCAAAAAAAAAAAAAAAAAAAAAAGAATTTCTTCTTACAACAAAAAGAAGGTGTTCAAAGTCATCTGGACAAAATTCAACTTGCTGTATGTCAACTTAAGTGATTAGGTTAGCTACAAGAAGGCAGTGACATTTCAAGAGTAAGAACAGGGTAATGTATGAATCTACTACTCAGTTGTCCCTGAAAAAAGTTTTTTTCTTGTAATATGAAAAATAAAAGACCCAGACACTGATATTGGGGTTCAAACTTCAAGTTGAAGAATAGAAAAGCAAAGCAGCCAGCCGCTAGCTCTTACCACTACCTCAGGCTGAATGGGCTGACCCTGTTGCCTCTGCTCAGCATGAGTGGAGAATGAATGCTCCTGTCTTCAGTGTGGCTGGAGAATAAATGCCTCCTACTGAATACTGAAGTCCCTGCTTCTATCTTTTATACCCCTCTAGTTCTGGGATTAAAGTGTGTTACTCTTTCAGACTGATTCAATCTCGTGTAACCCTGGGAGGCCTTGAACTCAGAGAGATCCATCTACCTCTTAATCCTGAGCCCTAGGATTAAAGGTTCGTGCCACCACCTCCTAGCTACTGGCTGCTGGAAGAGGCAGGAAGACAGGCAGGACTAGGAGATAAGGAGAATTCTGGGAAAGGTAGGAAGAGAGAGGCACCGTGAAGAGACATCAAGTAGCTGAGGAAGGAGTAACAGGTCTGGACCCTGCTCTAGCAAGATAAGACCACATGGAAATACTTAGATTAACAGAAATGGGTTATTAATTAAGAGAGCTAGCCAGTAAGAAGGATGCCACTACAGTTGGGATTAAAGGTGTGTGCCTGACTTCTATGGTTTGTGGCTGACTTTGCTTTCTGAATCCTCAGACAAGCTTTAATAAATTATAAATATCACCACAAGTCCCCTTTTTTGTCTAATACAAAAAGAAGAAGTTGACATTTGAATCCCAGTACAGTCTCAGGGTCTTTTATTTTTCATGTTATACTTTTCTAGGAGATAGGAACTAAAAACCAATACAGCAACAACAATCCAAGTCTTGGCTCATTTTAACTCAAACCTGTTAAGATCTTGTCCTTGTAGATGGAGTGGGTGCTGCTGGTAATGCCCAAAGACCTCAAATACAATGGGCTTGGTTCTGATGTAGTCCACAAATGACTCAGTGACCTCCACTGCAATCTGTAAGAAGAGAGTCAAGTGACACTGGGGTAGGGTTGTGACAAGAAAGCACACATTTGTGCTTTCAGCAGCCCCTCAGTTTTGGTAGACATCCTGTCCATGCTGGGGGCTCCATACACAGGCCTCCTGCTCCACAAGTAGGTTTCCTTTTGCTTTTCACTCTAATGTGACTTTACGAAGCTTCACCATTCTAGACCTTCCACAGTGTAGCAGAAGTGACCTCACTCTGTTTCTACTCTTTATTTCAAGACTTTTCTATTGCTCTTTATCTGCTTTTTCCTTTGTTATACCTCAGAAAACGTCCAAGCTGCAACTCTGCTGGGAAAGCCTTCCCCCCAAAGCCCAGGTGAATTAGTAGAAGAGTAAGAAAAACAAGTTTGACTGTGGACTGTGAGCAAGCTACAATGCCCAATATGATACACCCTTTCTTCTCTTTCTATTTATGCTACATCTTTTAGGAAACCTACTTCTTTCTTCACAACCATTCTCCCTCAACCAAGTAATTTAAGTCTTTGCATATGGAATCATTCCCTTTTGAATTTAATGAATACCATTTTCATGTCCCCATACTCTGTGACTACATTTATCCTTAATTCTAAGGTCCTTGGGAACATCTGTGGTTTCATGACTCAGTGGCCTGTTAAACAGCTGGCCAGCATTTATCAAACACATATTTTATTTCTAGTTATAGATATGTACATATGTCTGTGTCTGCTTGGAATATATGTGCATGTTGAGTAGGTGAATAAGCACCCTCAGAGGCCAGAAGAGGGTTTTGGATCCCTTGGGGCTGGAGTCGTATGCAGTTGCAGGCTGGGGAACTAACTCAAGTCTTCTACAAGCGCAGTACACCCTCAACTACTGAGCCATATTTCATGCTTTACTTTGAATTTTATTCTATCTTTGATTGCCTTTTCCTCTTTCACGTCACATATTTAAAGTTTGCTTTGTGCTAGAGCGCCAGTGCAGGCCTCACGCATGCGAGGTAAGCACTCTAGCAGCTCAGGCCCCTTTCTCACTTCCTAGAGTACACGCACCTAAGAAAAAGAAAGGCAGTTTCATGAAGGCAGGGAAGATTCTGGATGCTACAGCCAGGCTTCTTTGTGTCTAAACTCTAGCTTTGTAATTTGGGGGAGTGGCAGGAGCTGCTTGGGTGCTCTCAGCTCCCTCCACTACAGGATAGGGTGTAACAGCCATGGTGCAGAAGTCAGGGCTCAGCGGTGCAGAAAATGGGAGAGGGCCAATGCAAAATGAATTCCTAATGAACATCAGTATTAGGATGAAGACGACTGGTTTTTATACTTAATTAATGTGCACAATGTTCGTGCTACGGCATCCGCACGTGGGAGTCAGAAGACAAGCTGTGGGAGCCAGTTCTCTCCGTCAGCAAGCTCATCAGTAAGTGCTATGTCCACTGAGACATATCACAACTTCCTCAGGATGATTTCTGAATCAAGTTTGAATGAAGTATACAAGCTGGAAAGCCTACTTCCTTGCTGCATGTATGAAGGCATCTATTCATGTAAGGGAAATAAATAGATAAATTATAGCTACCAGGGAAACACTCTGGATCTTAGTTACAGATGGTATTTAATATTTTCTACATTACTTGTAAGCAATAATGTAAATACCCCAGAGTTTACTGTGCTAACTCATCAAAAATGATATTAAATATGCTAATTTTTTTCTAGGGTAGAATTTTTTTTTTCAAGACAGGGTTTTTCTGTATTGTTTTGGAGGCTGTCCTGGAACTCACTCTGTAGACCAGGCTGTTCTCGAACTCATAGAAATGCACTTGCCTCTGCCTCCCAAGTGCTGGGATTAAAGGCGTGAGCCACCAGTGCCCGGCGGGTAGAAATATTTTTTAAGAACTAACTCATATTCAAATGGATGGAAGATTTCAGTGGGAGACTAGACCATACTCACTGGGCCACTGTAATTCAGTAACAGACTGACTACTCCTCCCCTGAAGAGCATCTCACTGCCCTGACCACCATCTCTATTGTTCATTCTTTCTGCAAATTTTCCTCATCCGATCATAAAAGACAGCTCACACCTCACATGAACATCCATCCTTAGCCAGCAAAAATCAGGATACATAAACCTGAGAGGTATATGGCAAAATGTTGAGGCTACTCACATTCTGTACATGATAAAAGCCCAGGGGGCTTCCTCTTCCATTGTTTTTGAGGGGTTCAGTGGAGAAGGCTTCATCATGCCGATGCAAAAAGCTTAATAAAAAGAGACAGATGAATAGTCCATTAGAATTCATCAGATCTGGTTTTGTTTTGCTTTGATGTAGTCTCACTATGAAGTCCAAGCTGGCCTCAAACTCACAGAAATCTGCCCGCCTCTGCCTCCTGAGTGCTGGGGTTAAAGGTGTGCGTCACCACCGCCCAACTTATTTATTACTTTTTTTTAGGTGTATTTTAAGTGTATGTGTGTTTTACTTGCATGTATGCATATGTACCACATGTGTGTCTGGTGCCTGTGGAGGTCAGAAACCATAGACCATACACCTTTTCTCACTTCATACAGTGGTTGCTTTATATTATGTAATTTCCTTTTTCCAAAGTGTTAAATATGTAAAACTGTTGGCTAGACAAGTTGTTTAACTGTTGTTTCTTAAGAAGACATTTTGTCATGAAAAGCACTAAAAGCTATATGTTTATCTGAATCAGATACTATGTTCCTGGAATAAGGGGGACACTACAGAGTCCTCTAGCCTTGTGTGTTGTAGGCACCTTGAGGCATTCCAGTGCAGGGCTTTGATTTCTAGTCTCATCTTGAGTGCAGAAAGTGTTCTTTCAGAGACTTGCTGGCTCTTATCTCTCAAGAGCCTTAATTTCACATATGGAGAGCACTCTACAGCAAGAAAAGATCTCTGCAGCTAACAACTAGCTATGGACAGAACAAAAGGACAGTGTGGTTTTTCTGAATGGGAAATGTCCCCCATTGGTTCATGGTTTTAACACTTGGTTTCTGTTGGTAGTTGTTTGGGAGGTTATGGAGCCTTGAGAAGTACATCATTGTGGGTAGACACTGAGGGTTTACAGCCCCGCCCCACTTCCTCCTGTTCTTTCTCTCTGCAACCTGTGTGTGAATAAAAATGTGATCGGTCAACTTCCTGCTCATGTTGCCACGCCTTTTTCTCTGCCACGATGGACTCTAATGCTCTGCAACTGTAGTCTAAATTAACCCTTTCTCTTTTCTGAGCTGTTTTTTGTCAGGGTGCTCTATTACAGCAACAGGAAAGTAACTAAGACAGGTGGCTTACTTGAACTGACAAAAGATGTCTGCATACTCTGGAAGGATCCCACTGGCCTGCAGCACAGTGACTCGGAAAGTGAAGGCACTGCCCAGTTTCAGGTGATTGCCAATCTCTTCAGAAAATCCTTCCATCACCATCTTCCCATCCAGCAAAGTGCCTGACTTCAAATCTAAAGATTTAAATGACACACACTTGGTTTCTGTTTCTAGTTGAACAAGTCAAATATGTTTTCCCCTTGAGAGTCTCCTCAGTGAAAGGAATCTGCCTACGTACCCAAATCATTTATTCGATTGACTTCTTCTGGAGGAGTGATAACTTCAGAACTCTGACCCTGTCCTTCCACAATCCTCAGCTCCTCCAAAGACAGACCAGAACGAGTCATTGCAACAGAAGAAAAGTCACTCTGAAAATAAGACAAGGCTAGGTAAATGGCATATTCTTCCATTTCTTTTTTTTTAAATTTATTTATTGTGAATACAACATTCTGCCTCCATGTATGTCTGCATGCCAGAAGAGGGCACCAGATCTCATTATGGATGGTTGTCAGCCACCATGTGGTTGCTGGGAATTGAACTCAGGACCTCTGGAAGAGCAGTCAGTGCTCTTAACCTCTGAGCCATCTCTCCAGCCCTTCTTCCATTTCTTGATTTGTTTTTATTTGTACAAAAATAATTATTTGTATAAAATAATAAGTGGACTAAGAATTGTCTGAGAAAAGGCAATAAGTTATTTATTTATTTATTTATTTTTGGTTTTTCGAGACAGGGTTACCCTGTGTAGCTTTGGAGGCTGTCCTGGAACTAGCTCTGTAGACCAGGCTGGCCTCGAACTCACAGAGATCCACCTGCCTCTGCCTCCCGAGTGCTGGGATTAAAGGCGTGCGCCACCAACACCGGGCCAAGTTAATACATTTTAAACTTTGTAACTGTTAGACATGACCCATATTTTACTGAGTAACTGTGGGGTAACCAGTATCTTAAAATTGCTAACATTCTAGGCAAAGGAATTAGGTACCAGCATTGGAAATTTTCCTCATAAATCCATTTACTACCTGTTCCTTCTTTCCCAAATACTTACCTGATGAAAGTGCTCGTTATCAAAAGATATTTTAGCTGTTCCTGATTGCCGAATCCCAGAGCCGTAATCAGGGGCTTCTTCATCCGCTAAACAGAGAGAAATCCAGCAAAGACTAAGTGACAGTACCCATGTGGGTACAGCTCTAAGCGGGCTATACCATTAGGAGGAAAGACCTCAGTATAAGAATGGCTCTGCAAAAAAGTGACAGCTCCTGCTTCCAACTCTTTTTGTGGATTAACTGCCTCCCTCTGCTCAGATGAGAAGAGTTAAAAAAAAAGAACTGGTTTTAGTCTTGAGTTTGTTTTTAATGACACACCTAGGAATTCTTTTTTTTTTAATATTTTATTTATTTATTATACAATCTTCTGCATGCCAGCAGAGGGCACCAGATCTCATTCAAGGTGGTTGTGAGCCACCATGTGGTTGCTGGGAATTGAACTCAGGTCCTCTGGAAGAACAGTCAGTGCTCGTAACCGCTGAGCCATCTCTCCAGCTCCCACACCTAGGAATTCTGACCCCTTAATATCTTAGTAAGACTATACTCAGTAACAGCTAAAGAAGATTGAAACATTATACTGACTTATGGAAGAGACTTCTATAAAACTCAGTGTGGGTGACTATGTGACAGTTTTCCATGGAATAAAGGCTGAGAGGTCATTGTACAAAACCCAGAATTTATGAGTTAAGACAGAAAATGGCCGATGTTGGCACGATCATGGGAAGTGGAAAATATTTGATTCATGTATTACATTTAGCAGTGAAATAAATGCTTTCTGTTTTGAGACAGGGTCTCTCATACATGAGTCCAGGTGGGCCTCAAACTCATTCCTGCCTCCACCTCAATTCTGGGATTACAGGTGTGTACCACAATGCTTAGCTGGGTAGAAAAGTCTCCTAGAAATACTCTGAGAGAAAACTAGGCCAGAACAACTAAATTCCTTTGTTGTTGTGACACAGCTAAGATATAGTAGTTCAAAGATCATCGTTTAGGTGTGGTGGCTCATACTTGTGAGGTCAGCACCTAGGAGATCAAGGCAAGAGGATTGCTGAGTTCAGGGTAACCTAGACAATTAAAATACAAAAGTAAAATGTCCAACATTTGAGCCAAGCACTGTGGTGTATGTTTATACTCCCAAAACTTAGGATGCTGAGGTAAGAAGAATCTGAGTTTGAGATCAGTCTAAGCTATGCAGCAAAAAACCACTATCTCAAACGAAAAGATCCTGTGACGTTTTTCCCCCAAGAGAGTGGTGTTACTATGTATCCCTGGATGTCTATGTAGACCAGGCTGGCCTTGAACTCATAGACATCTGTCTGCCTCTTGAATGCTGGGATCAAAGAGGTGTGCCAACATGACTGCTTTTTTTTTCTTTTTAACAATGTCTTACTATGTGGCTCAGGCTGGCTTCAAACTACACAATCTACCATGTTTGTCTAAATTGCCCATCACTATTACAAAGTCAATCTAAGAGTTATTCATGTTACACACCACTTTTTCCCAAACAGCAATATCCCAGACTGAAGTGAAATCTCCTTATGACACTTGTGGTAGCAGGGACATAGACAAAGTGCAGAAAGGAAGCGAATGGAGCCTCCCCAAGCTGAGCAAGCACACTATCATTCATGATTATGATGCAAGTGTCACCACAGGGAGCTAGTCTGTCTTTTCTTTTTGTTTGTTTTCTGTTCTTTAAGACAGAGTTTCTCTGTAGCTTTAAAGCTTGTCCTGGAACTCACTCTGTAGACTGGCTGGGCCTTGAACTCACAGGGATCTTCCTGTCTTTGCCTCCCAAATGCTGGGATTAAAGTGTGTGCCACCACCACTCTGCTAGCCTGTCTTTTCAATGATTTCTTTTTTTAAAAAAAATTTAAGTGCATTGGTGCTTTGCCATCATGTAAGTATGAGTGAGGGAGTCAGATCCCATGGAAATGGAATTACAGACAGTTGTGAATTGCCATGTAGGTACTGGGAATTGAACTAGTGTCCTTAGAAGTATTCTTAACTGCTGAGCCATCTCTCCAGCCCCTATCCTGCTCTTTTTCTATAGGAAAGAATCCACAGGTTTCATTTAGAAAAAGGTCACTTACCTGCAATGGCCTGCACAGCCACACGCAGAAATCCCCTCACTTCCCCCTTCTCACTGACAATGGCCACCCTGTGAATCAGGGGCACTGGATACAGCAGGTTGCTCAGGTAGACAAATGCCCTATAGACAGAAACCCAGAGAAAACATCTGAACATTGAGAATATTTCCCCAAACAGAGCTGGCTTCTGGGCCCTTTAAGATTGCCTCAGAATTCTGACATCTTAAATTGCTTCCAGCTGCTTTTTCAAGTGATCACTACATAAGCAAGTGTGAAGACCAACTTACACCAAATTACTCTCTTAAAAAAAATCCCACCATAGGTATAAGAGTAACAATTGGAAGTAGATGTTCAAGGGCTGTGATTTCTGTAGAGGAAAGGAGTGCACTGAAGAGCTTCATCTCCAGAGGTTAGGATGGACCAAGAGATCTGGCTTCTTACCATACATAAAACAGAAACCAAGAGATTAAAAAAAGGCAGGGAAATGTGACTGAAATACAGTTACTAGTTCTAAGTGGACTTTACATCATGGCATCATGAGTCTTTGTTTTACTTAGAGGACTATTTAAAAAGTGAGACAGAGAGGCTGTGTAACCAAGAATTTCTGAATAGTGAGCTTGCAGGAGAATGGGTATTAAGAGAAAGGCTAAGGGAGAGGACCCAACCAGACCCTATGGAGCTGGCCTTTGCTGCTCAAAGTCACAAAGGGGAAGCTACAAGTCTCTCCAGCCTCCTCTTCCATTTTCTTTCTTTTGTGGTCCTGGAGGAGAAACTCAGCTTCATATTGACTACACAAGTCCTCAGCGTTCAACTACAGCCCAGCCCTTCTGAGACAGGGTCTCACTAAATTACTCAGGTTGGCTCTGAACTCACTTTGCAGCCTAGGCAAGCATTAAAAATCTCTGTCCTTCTGCCTCAGCCTTCCAAGCAACTGAGATTATAAGCCAGCACTTAAAATATTTCTAACAAACGAGGCAAGTCTTGTCATGTTTGTGCTTTTAAAAGGCTCCTTATTTTGTAGATATTTTTATTTAAAGTGCTCTCACTAGACTATGTGTGTGTTGCAGGTGAGGGGATGGCATGTTCCCAGAGTGTGGGGGATGAAGGACAACTGTGGAGGAGTCTGCTCTCTTTCCACCACGTGGGTTCCAGGATCAAGGTCAGGTAGTCAGGCTTGTGGTAAGTGCCTTTGCCCACCGAGCCAGCTCACCTGCCCCTGTTCATTTTTTGTAAAGGAATTAAAACTGGTAATCACAAATTAAGAGCACTCATTCCAATGATTAGAAAGAAAAGTGGAATCTAGTTCCTACTGTTACTCCTGTCTTCTCACTTGGTATAAGCTGATCTTTGTACATAAAAGACAAAGAGTAAACATTACACCAGGAAACTAAACATAACTAAACCTGATGCAAAGGACTGTTTGCTGCATTTCCCAAACTGGCATTTACATTGCAAAGAGAGAAGAATGAAGGAATGGACAACTTCAACTCAAAACAATAAAAGAGATTATGAAAATAGGTAAAATGTATTACATTAATAACATTTATGAACATAAATGAAGTACAAATGAAAAGCAAACAAAATAACTTCAAACGAACAGGAAATTGTATCATGATGTCTAATTTCCCTTTCAGTCTGCTACAAAGCAAGAGAGGGAATATTAACACAGAGGATTAAACTTTGTTGAAGAGAAACTTATACATGAAAATGTAATCTAAAGAAGACTGATTGCCAGTAGGATCAAATACCACTACCATGACTGAGTTTTAAAACCTAAGAATTTGGCATATAGAAACCAAATTTCACTCCCAGAGACAGCACACACATAGATTGCACTCCTGCCTCAATGCCATTCTAGTTGGACCTGCCCACTTTCCATGTCTGGACCAATAAGAGCCATCACATGTCTCTTCCTGTAGTCCTCTCTGCACGTATCCTCCATCCCATGCTTGGGTTTCACATCCTTAGGTCTTATTGTAAATGCAGGACAGGTCCTCACAACAGTATATGACTCGAGTGACACACACAACCCTCTCATGGTGGCTATGATTTGCATTTATGTGATCAGTGTCTTCATCATTCACCAGACTATAAGACTGTGAGGACAGTTGGGTTTACTCAACTATCTGCAGAGGCCTGGCTTACAGTGAATGCACTCAATACAGATAAGTGAATGTCCATGTATGTTAGAACCCAGAAATGTGACCCACCCTTTGTCTTTACATAGAAGTGAAAAACTTTTCAGAAAAAATGGGTCATACAAGGGCATAAAAGCAAGCCATCTAACTTTACACTAGTTTGACTTATGCAAACTTAAGATGGAGATTGACTATATAGAACACTTAGAGATTCTTACCGTTATTTAATTTTACTATGTTAACTATAATTATTAGGAAAAAATATAAACCACTCTAGTGCATGTGTTCTTTAGGAAACTGAGCATGGTATTCAGTACCTTGACAAGTTAGGCAGACACTGTACTGCTAAGCAGTGTCACCAGCCCAAGAACTACTAGTTTTTAAAAACATATATTCACAGGCATATCATCATAAAGTAATGCTGTATTTGCACATGAAAGGTAACAATTCCTTCTGTCCATGCAAAGGCTTTTCTAAACATAGAGCACTGAAGGCATCATTGTATGCTTCCATTTTTAGGAAAGAGTCTATGGCGAGGCAGAGGCATTGTCTCTGTGACACATGGATCCACTGACTAGACAGCTCTCTGTTGTGTTACCAGAGTATAGCCTTCAGCCCAGTGCTGTATAAAGGTGCGCCTCAGGAGCTTCTAAACTAGAATTTCATGGTTGACTCTGTACTGAATGTCCTTATACTTTGACCTAGCAGACTGAAGGAGAACAGGAATGAGAGGGGGAGAAGATGTAGAAGACACATTAGCAGAAAACAACGTGAAGTTACATGTAAGAGAAACTATTTGTCAACATAAAGAAAATCATGGTGATGAAGAAGGATGTCAGGTTAGGTACCTGAGAAAGGTCACAGAATAACCATCTTTGCCCCCTTTAGCCCAGAAGACTAACATATAGTTTACATTTCATCCCAAGTTATAATGATGGTTTTTAACACCCCAACATGCCATAAGAGAATAGCTAAAGGGACAAGCTCTTTTACTATTGATACAAAGATTCACCAGAGGCAGCCATAGCCAAGAAACAAACCTACAAATGGAATTCAAAGGAAACATGCAAATTTTACAAGTGAGTTGTATTTATAATAAAGTACCAATAGAGAAATCTAACTCTGCACATTATAAAACAGGAAAGGAGTTATAACTCTGACATGTCCTGTCACCACTACAGAACTGGATGATATTGCTCTTTTGGACAAATGTGGCTGAGGGCAAAACTGGAGAGCTATTCTTCACTTTACAGACAGCTATGACTTCACCTTTTCTTTTTGTTTGGTGATAGGATTTGAACCCAGAGAAATCATCACTGAGTTCTCCCAGCTCATCCCAACACCTCAGTCCCCTTCTTATGAGGCAATGTTAGTTCTAGAACCCAGAAATCCAAACTAATGAAAACATCAATCCTGAGTGTAGCTCCACAAATACTCTAGATGAATATAAAATCAATGCAGAGTTGACTGCATTATATTTATTCTTATATATAGTATGACAAAGGAATAAAACTAGAAAAAAAAGCACCTATCTTTCTTAACCCAGTAAGGATTCTGACTTAACTCTTTCATAAAACTGTCTCAAGATACAAATACTGCTAAGCAGAAGTCTTTTTTTTTTTCCTTTTTCTTTTGGAGACAGGGTCTCACTATATAGGCCTGTCTCTCCTTGAACTCACTATGTAGATCAGGTTGGCCTTGATCTCAGAGACCTGCCCGCCTCTGCCGTGTATCACTATGCCTGGCTCCTAAGCAGAAGTCTTAATGGCTATATTCATTTTGCTAGCATGGATAATGGAATATAAAAGATGAAGGGATTTTTTTTAAGGCTTCTTTTTTTTCTAACTCATTTAAGCTGCTTGTCCTAAGTTAGTGACAGAGATCCTCAGGACTCACGGTGCCTGCCTATCCAGACCACTCTGTCAGTGTTCTCTTCAGCAGGCATGTAAGATGAAGTTACTCCTCATAGAGTGTGTTGTAGAACATGGCAGATATAGGCGCTGTAGACAGTGACTAAGCTAATGATCAAAATCTGGTTCTATGGCCAATCTTCTTAGACTAGAGCAGAAATGTACTGAAAAATAAATAAAGCACTCTTTATGCACTACATGCTTTTCTCATTTTAATATAAAATGGCATTTCTAGAATTCTAACACTAGCAATACACACGGCTATAAAAATTTCATCACATTTGTTCAAAGAGAATAAGTATGTAAAACTCAAAACCTGCCATATTAATTTAGGCTTCACTTCTGAGAGAAAGCTTTTCTTTCTGCTCTTACCATTATCTGTTATAAGTTCCTACTAGGGGTCCAATACCACATGACAACTAAGTCTTAACACTGTCTCTACTGTGTCAGGAGACAAGTAACTAGTGCTTACCCACTGAACAGTGGTAGATTAATGTGTCACTAACCTTAAATTATTTTGTTTGTGTTTTTGTCTTTTCTAGACAGGGTTTCTTTGTGTAGATTTGGCTGTCCAGGAACTAGCTCTGTAGACCAGGCCAGCCTTGAACTCACAGAGATCTTTCTGTCTCTGCCTCCCAAGTGCTGGTATTAAAGGCATACACTATTACCGCCAGGATTTGTTTCCATTTTTTGAGACAGGGTCTCATGTGTCCAAAGTTAGCTTCAAATTCTTTATGTAGCCAAGTATAACCCTGAACTCTAATCTTCCTGCCTCCACCCCCAATTTCTGGGATTGTAGGCATGTACTACCATACCCAGCTTAAAGCAATAAGCATTCAACTATCAAAATTACTTCATTCTGAAGAGTGGATGTGGACAACAGAAATATGGGAACCTATGCATCTCTGACAGGGATATGCACACCAAGAGCCAGAGACGATGACTCAGCTTGGGATCTCAAGGCAAAACAGTTTCATTTACTACAAACAAATACTGATGATGGTGACAATGGATAACTTTCTAAGATTCATGACCACAAACCCTATAAGTTATTTCTGGCAGAAGCCCAAGACCTCAGATAGGTTCAGAAACCAGACACAAGACAGCCATTGTTGACAAAGGAGAGCTGGGCACTCCTGATTCTTTAACAGGACCAAGTCCTCTGTAGTCCTCTTATTTGTGAAGTGCCACAGATTCTTTAGTGTAACCTCAGGCTTTCTCTGTTCCTGCTCATTTTATCCCCCTATGCTCCATTCACCACATTCCTTTAGAGATGAAGCATCTAGACCACAGTAACATTTGCTGAACCCATTACATCTGAGTCTTAATAGTGGGCAATTTTGGTCAAGCAGTCCTCCAGGTAGTCTTAATTAGATGCTGTATAGTGTACTAAGTAGAGCATGCCTCACAAACAATGCCTGTGCTTATTGTCTGGTCACACTGGTCTCCACAGACCTCTAAATGCTGGAAGACTCAGGAAGGACTGAGTATTCATGAAGCAAGTGGCTAAAGCAAGATTATCCAAAATTGCACAAAGAGATGTTTAGAACAAGAGCTGGTCCCTTTTTGCCGTTCTCACAAGGACCTCACCAACCTTCCTACTAAAATGAACCAAGGGGATCGGTCGTAAAATGGGTCATGCCCATCACTGAAGAGATCTGATCCCTCTTCCGTCCCTGCGTCAGAGCCGGTGTCATCCACGAATGCCTCATCATCAAAATCCTCCATGTCATCCTGCTGCTCGTCAGCCAGTTCAGTGATGTCGGAATCGGCCGTGGAAAAAGTGGGGGAGGGTGTGCGGTCGGCAAGACGCTCATTCACACAGCCGTGGAAAATGGGGGAGCTAGACACCAGGTAAGACGCCGATTGACACAGGCAGGGAGAGAGGAATAGTTGGTTAAACGGGATGCTCAGGTGCCAACAGGACAGAATGCACACGGTAAAAGCAAACAGAAAAGCAAAGGGGAAAGGGAGCTTAGCCTGCATAGCTCAGGTGAAGGGAGCGGGGCAGGCTGAAAACTCTGGAAGGACAGCGCCTCAGAACAAGAAGAGCAAGAGCACCCATGAGTAGAGCGTCTCAGGTCAGGGTTACAGCACAAAATGTCCAAGTTCTCCAGTTCACACAAAAGATCAGCATCTTGTCCCCCAGAGCCACTCATAAGAGAGACAGTAAGGCTTTAAGTGAAGTGAATTTTCTTGTCAGCTCAGCTCGGAGCAGAATACCAAACAGATGAAACTGCACCAAAGCAGCACATGCTTGAGGGAGGCGTGTCTGGCCAGTTCACCTCTGCAAAGCCTAGTCTACTATCAGAGTGGAATGGGAAAGGGTACGTCAACAGAACACTGTACCTCAGTAACTCCTTTTCAGTCTGTTCCTTTACGTACCATCACGGGGCATTAAAGAGTAACTCAAAATTCACGGGGGCTGGAGATCTGGCTCGGGGGTGAACAGCACTGGCTGCTCTTGTAGAGAACCCAGGTTTGGTTCCCAGCACTCACACAGTAGCTCACAACCATTTGTAAGTCCAGTTCCAGGGGATCCAAAGCTCTCTTTTGGCCTGGGTGGGCATCAGGCATGCATATGGTACACAGACACACATGCAGGCAAAATACCCATACACATAAAAAATAAAACTTTAAAAAAATTTACATTTCCTGCTTTTACGTCTCTAAACCGCTTGAGAACTAAACTCTAAATAAACTCGCCAAGGCACTTTTGTTTTCATAAAATATTGAGAGTGATATACTCATAAAAGAAAATGAAGAGGCCTACCATGATGTGCAATTAACTTGTCCTGGGTAATGACCAAAGTAAGACAAACTTCTTCAAGAAAAAAAAATTGAGGACCAACCAGATTATGGAGCAACCATAGTCTGAATAACATACACTGTGACTTCTACTTAAACTGTATGGAATTTAGACAAGTTTTCTTTTTCTTCGCAGTCTACCTTGATCAATTACAAAATGTTTTGTAAAGTTGAACATCCAGGATGGCTGTCAAATACTTTGGCTAAAAGTCTGACAAAGCAATAAGCATACTGTGAAGAAAATATATTAAATAATACAGTGGTTCTGAGTCGCTTAGAGAGGAGGTGGCTTTTTGGTTTGTCTTTTTCTTCTAGTGCTGAGAATTGAACCTGGGACATCCTAGGCTGAGCTACAACCCCTGCCTGAGGAGTTTTTATGTACTCCCTTTCCCCGCTATACTTTCTACCAACATTTTAAAAAGTCAAAGTACTTGCTATTATTTTTTAAGACAACAAAATCCTTACATACCTTCCCACAAGTTTGAACCAGTGGAACCGATCGTAGAATGGGTCACTGCCGGTCATGGTCGTTTCGCTTTCATCTTGGGCACTGGAAGCCATTTCACCTGCCCTGTCATACATCTCCCGCATTAAATCCAGTCTCTGCCTATTCAACAAATATGGGGCACACTGAGTTAGGACCATGAGGCTGCATTAAAACACCGCTATGGAAACTTCTTGCATAGAAGACATTTGTAAGAAGTCGCCCCTATCATTTAATACTATTAAAGACAGGCACAGCCAAAAGCACAGAAATCAAGATGCTCAGTATCCAAAATGTGTGAATACAGAGAGAAGTCACCAAAAGTAAAAAATGAACTACCCAGTCAGATGTTTTCAGAAGCGTCTCTGTGTGTGTGTGTGTGTGTGTGTGTGTGTGTGTGTGTGTGTGTGTGTGAGAGAGAGAGAGAGAGAGAGAGAGAGAGAGAGAGAGAGAGAGAGAGAGAGAGAGAGAGAGACATGGAAGAAATGTACTTCAGTGGTGTTTGGCATCTCAAATATAACTAGATAGTGGGAATTACTTTGTCATACTACATGTAAAAGAAATGAGATGGTCACTCCCTTGTTTATTAAAGATTACCATGAGGCCCAGCACTAAAGTAATAGAAATAATTGCAAGATCTAAGATAGAAATAGAGAACTGGCTCATTTAAAAATTTAAGAGGGCTTATGAAAGTAAATTTTAAAATCAACAAATGACAAAGTTGTCCGAGAAATGAGTTTCATTGATTTGAGAAAAAATGGATGGATGATAATACTGTTGATGGTCACAGCACTTAGAAGCCACAGAAAAGAAACTGACATCATCTTCAGAAAGAAGTGAGGGAACCCACTTAAGCAATTTACTTTTTGTTTATTTTCTCAAGACAGGGTTTCTCTATATAGTCTTGGCTGTCCTGGAACTAGCTCTATAGACCAGGTTAGCCTCAAACTCAGAGATCTACCTGCCTCTGCCCCTGAGTGCTGGGATTAAAGGTGTGCACCACCATACCTAGCTATTTTCTTTTTAAAAATAGTATTTTCCTACTTGAGTTTATCCAAAGACCAGTAATGCGTTGCTCCATTCTTCAGGTCCTGGACTTCCACGGCCACCACTGTACGAGGGAAAGGTCTGTCCTCGTGAGCTTTTTCCATCTCCGTGGGAAGTAATTCAGGAGGCAAAGGGGAGTACAGCGTGTCAGTCAGCAGAACAAACTGAAACTGCACCTGTGAGAGGGTAAGATGGACGAGTGTGCACATCACTGTCTCGGTAGGTAAGATTCAGAGATAAGCTACAGAGCAAGAGGTCAAATACAGAGCATATATCTAATAAATAGCTGTGGCTAGCTGACAAACTGGCCCCTACATTTTATAGTACATTTTATAGTCAGGGAACAATCTTTATTTTAAACTAATGTATTAACAAACTTTGTTTTCCTGGAGTGGTGATTTTTTTCCCCACAAACTAAAACATCAGTAAATACATTTTAGTGGGAGAATGAAGACTCCTGTGAAACATACACAAGAGACCAGAAGGAGGACACAGTCATTTGCTAATGAGAGAAAATGCAAACACAACTTTTTATTTAAAGCAGAGGATAACTATTAATCTTAAAAGTGTTTGCTACGTAGTAAATACTGTGACTGTATCATATCATTTACATCTTGCTATACCGCCTTGTATTTTTACCAACAAATACTAATTAAACAACAGGTATGACAATAAGAAAAGATACAGTTGCTGACTTTAGTGACTCAATGAAGAGAATGGTCAATAACTAATTCCAAAGTGTTTCTGACATCCTGACACCTACCTGAGTTCACAGATGTAAAACACTCCCGTAGGAGAAGATAATGAACTTCCTGGTCATACAGTCTGTGTTTGTTCCTACTATACAATACAGCCCCCAGCTCCTGAGTTGTGAGGCACACAGAATCAAAGTTTCCATGTGGCAATTTAGTAACAATTTGGATGCTGGAGGGCTCCGTGGTAGAGTGCTTCCTAGGAAGCACAAGGTCTTGTGTCCAGGCACCAGCAGCAGTTTAGGTCTTTTGGCATGCCTAGGCCCTGCTAGTAGTGTTCTGTATGCACCCATGCTCCCTCATCTCTTATCTCCCTTGGTGGCAGGTTCTGCTGCCAACCCAAGTTTGTAGATGAGGCAACAGAGTTATGGAACTATCAGGTCAACTCAACTGCTGCTGGATTAAACTCTGGCTGTCTGAGTGGGGAACACATATACTCGTCTGCTAATCAGTGCCTCTCAGGACTCTCAGAAGAGGAGCAAATTGGTGATGAAGGGGATAAAGATCTCAGAGATACAAACTAAGGTGGAGAACTAAAAATCAAATTTTTCTCCCTAGAAGTCCAACAGAAGCATTTATCCATTAACAGATTTACCCAGCTCTCATTTAAAATACTCAAGATTTGTAGAATGAGCCAGGAAACAACTACTGTAAATTTTTGATTACTACCTGTGTTGTGCTAGCACATAAATGAAATAGAGCTGCTGTCCCGTGGCACAGAACAGTTGAGTCCCCCAAGTGAAAGGTTCATTTAAGGCCATTCATTTAATTTAAGTGGACCCACTCTGCCTCCAGATCACCCTCCATACCTGCTTTTTCAGCTCCACACTGATGGCATTGGCTTCCTTCAGGTACACTGCATTGCCCCAGAGTAAGTCCCTTAACGAAGTAAACTGGTGAGACTTCCATTTCCGGAAGGCCCACTGGGCCAACTCGAACTCATGCTGTGTCCAAGGAGCTGAAAGAGCAGAGGAAGCAGACATAACAGTGACTTGATAACCGTGAGGACCTCATCCCTCCTCAACAGTGTATGCACTTCAGAAAAACCTAAAAGCAAAGAACACGGTTGCTTGGTTTGTTTGAGACAGAGTCTCATGCAGTCCAGGCTGGCTTCAAATCTGCCATGTAGTCAAGAGAGGCCTTGAACTCCTCATCCTCCTGTTCAACCTCCCAAGTGTTGGGATCACACATACCCCTCTTATTAAAAAAAACCCATGGGGGGGGTTGGTGGCACACGCCTTTAATCCCAGCACTAGGGAGGCAGAGGCAGGAGGATTTCTGTGAGTTCAAGGCCAGCCTGGTCTACAGAGTGAGTTCCAGGACACCCTACAAAACAATATAGAGAAACCCTGTCTCAGAAACTCCCCCCCAAAACAAACAAAAACAAAAAACCCAAAAAACAAAAAAAACCCACCACATTTTATTATAATAATTTATTGTAAATTTTCCATTTCAGTTATTTATTTATTGGGGGAGGGGACATTGCCATAGCTGCATGTAGAGGCTCAGATACAACTTGTTAAGAGTCTCTGGGCCCTGGTCAGTGGTGGCACACACCTTCCTTCCTAGCACTTGGGAGGCAGAAGCAGCCACCCTATAGAACACAGCCTAGAGTTGCAGCACTGGGCATCTTTTAACAAACTCAGCACAAGGTCAATCAACAGCAGGGCGAGTCTGAGGAACCCAGCTTTGAACCAGGCTAAAGGACTGCTCTGGTAACAAACACTGGTCCAAAAAGACGAGGCAATGTTTCAGGCTGCAGCTCTCACCTTCCTCCTCCTCCTCCTCTTCCTCTTCAGTTGCTTCTGCAGCCAGAGAGCGAGTCTCTACCTGCCTCTGCAAGGCCTGCAGTTTGCTCTCATAGTCCTGAATGAAAAGAAAAGAGATGACATGTAGAGAAGGGAGGAGATAAGAAGGAAAGGAAAAACTGGAAGGAACTTTGTGGGGAACAACAGACAGCACAGGCTAAGGACAAACACAAGAAGGAGGGGTGTGGGGGGACAGTATCTTACACAACAAGGATTCCAGAGAAAGAAAATACCAGGGAAGATTAAAGTCACCAGTCCCTCCTGAAATCCAATCTTCTAACTGTTCAGAAAAGAAGATAATTAAGACTATAGATTTTGAAGCTCCGTGTGATTGAAAATTAAAAGCCCACAGTACTACTGAACTGAAATAGTTGTTATGCAAGAGGAGTTTTATTTTAAATATATACTAGTTTATGAATTAAAATGAGTACAATGCAAATCAGATTTATCATCTAGTTCTCCACCTGATCCATGTGAGTGCTTCTCTCATGTAAGGATTTATTATAATTTTTAAATTATGTATCTGTGTGTGGGACTGTGCCTGTGTGAGTACAGGAGCCTGAAGGGGTCAGAACAGGGTGCTGGGTCCCCAGGAGTCAGAGTTACAGGAAGTTGTGAGCAGGACATGCTCTTAACTCCTGATATCTCTTCAGCCCTGCTCTATGTATTTTCATTACAAGCAGTATTACCTCAAAGGCGGCAAAGTTTATTGGATGATGGGCAAACATTCTTGTTCTTTTTTAAAATTGATTTGTTGTTGTTATTATTATTAATTATTAAACGGGGCCCGAGTTTCAGTTCTAACAAATGATCTCATTAGTCTGATAACTCCAGAAAGCTGTCTTTCCTAAACAATAATTTCTTCTTCTTTAAAGATTTTAGTATACAATCTTCTTACCAAATGACTGAAGATCAACAGATAAACATGTGAAAGGCCTCTTAAATGGAATTATGCCAATCAAATCACACTCCTTGTGTGTATGCATGCACATACATGTTTATGTGTATGCATCCAGGTGTGCACATATATGTAAACGCAAGAGGTTATTATTGGTATCTTCTTTACTGCATTCTTCATTTTTTTTTTTTTTTTTGGTTTTTCGAGACAGGGTTCCTCTGTATTGCTTTGGAGGCTGTCCTGGAACTCACTCTGTAGACCAGGCTGGCCTCGAACTCACAGAGATCCGCCTGCCTCTGCCTCCCGAGTGCTGGGATTAAAGGCGTGCGCCACCAACGCCCAGCCTGCATTCTTCATTTTAAAATCCTATTACTTCCTTTGCTTGCTTGCTTATTTACTTATTCATTTATTGTGGTGTGTGTGCGAGTGTGGGCACATGTGCTGCAGTGAGGTGGAGGTCACATGACAATGTATAGGAACCAGCCCTCTCCTCCTACCGCGTGGGTTCCTGAGATGCAGCTCAGTCAGCTGGCTTGGTACCAGGCATCTTTACCTGCTGATCCATCTCACCAGCCCATAATAAAAGATTTCTAACAAGCCATAACCAACTTAATGTGTAAATGCTGACTGAATCTCAGATTAAAACACACATTCTTCTTTTTTCTTTTTCTTTTTTTTCTGTTTTTGGTTTTTCAAGATAAGATTTCTCTGTGTAGCCCTGGCTGTCTTAGAACTTACTCTGTAGACCAGGCTGCCCTTGAACTCACAGAGATCTGCCTGCCTCTGCCTCCCAAGTGCTGGGTGGTATGCACCACCACCTGGATAAAACATACATTCTTCTAAAATTTGTATTTTTGAGATAAATAACAAGAAATTAGTGATCCGTTTTTTGAGACAGGGTTTTGCTGTATAACAACCCTGGCTGTCCTGGAACTCAATTTGTAGACCACGTTGGCCACAAACTCACAGAAATCCACCTGCCTTTGCCTCTGCCTCCTGAGTGCTAGGTTAAAGGTGTGTACTATAACACCTAGCTAAGAAGAGATTTAAAAAAAAAAAAAAAAGAATATATATTACATGATGCCGAACTAGCATTAAATTTCTTTTATGGTAATCATGTTAATAGAAAAGACTTGACTTTAGGAGATATAAACACAGAAGCATCTAGGAGTCAACCATCATGATGTCTCCAATTTTCAAACTAATCTGAAAAGGTGAATAATCAGGGGTGGTGGTGAGATGGTTCAGGGGTTAATAGCACTTGCTTTCTTCTTGAGGACCTGGGTTCAGTTCCCAGAACCCACAACAGATGGCTCACAACCACCTTGTAACTCCAGGTCTAGGAGATCCAATGCCTTCTGGCAGGTACCAAGATGCACATAAACTCATGAAGGCACATTGTATATACATAAATTTAAAAACTGAATAAATAAATCTTTAAACACTAAAGTTGATTATACCTTTTTTTTTTCAGCTTCTCTGAAGTCTTGAAGTGTGAGCTAGGTAGCCATTAAATATTTTGCTCTTACAGCCTGTTTATAACATGGGATTCTTCCCGCAAAAGGAGATATGTCTGCTGTTTCATCAAAAAACCACCAGGCAGAAAAACCACCAACATTTTATCTTGGGGAATTCTTCAAGAATAATGTGTAAGCTAGTCAAACTACCAGTCAGAGTACAGTCTACGAAGGACTAGGAGTAGACATCAGTGATAGAACACTTGCCTAGCATATCCAAATCCCCATTTGGTTTCATTCCCAACACTCATTTTAAAATGTTACTATTTTGCCAGGTGGTGGTGGCAGAATGCCTTTAGTCCTAGCACTTAGGAGGCAGAGGCAGGAGGATTTCTGTGAGTTCCAGGCCAGCCTGGTCTACAGAGTAAGTTCCAGGATAGGCTCCAAAGCTACAGAGAAACTTTGTCTCAATAATAATAATAATAATAATAATAAGTTACTATCTGCCTTTTTTTTTTTACAGGAAAATGATTTTCAACCCTAGTTCTACATCAACAGTTTTGGATTTCAAAGGTACTTAATGGATCATACATCACCAGGGTACTTTGGATGCAAATGATAGAGTCTCATGACAGACCTAGTCAATCATTAATTCTGGGGATGGAACCATCAACCTATGCTCTCACAAGACTTCCAGGATACTGTGACACTACTGTTGAGAAGGACTGGTCTGAGTCCTGTGTGTACAGATGGCTGGTGAAATGAACACAAAAGATAAGGCCCTTATTTGATTAGCTTACGTTTTCATGGGAGAACCAAGGAAGTGCATAGACAGGATAACCGCAGGTTGTAATTATTAAGATAATGTGAGTTGATAGGCTGCTTGTCTAGAAAACACAAGGCCTTAGATTCAGTCCCTGGCACTGTCTAGACTAGGTATGGTGGTACAAGCCTGCAATGTGTGCACCGGGGAGGTGCAGGCAGGAGGGACACAAGTTCAAGGTCATCTTCAGTGACACAGAAAGTTCAAGGTTAGAATGGGATACATGGGACCCTGTCTCAAAAAGTTGTTTCTTTATTTTGAGACAGGGTCTCACTATGTAGCTCTGGCTGTCCTGGAACTACGTAGACCAAACCAGCCTCAAACTCACCAAGCTCTGTCTGCCTCTGCCTCCCAACAACTGGATTAAAGACGTGTGGCGCAATGCCTGGCTAGGGTGGGATGGGGTAGGAAGAATGGCGCGGAAGCAGGAGGAGATAAGCATGATGGGAAACAAGCTGCTGTCATGAGGACCTGCATCCGAGGAGGAACAAAAGGCCACAGCTACATGCACTGTGATATTGTCAAGACGTGAAATCAGAGGTGGGCAAGTAGCCACAATCTGTAAAACCTTGTAAACACCACCACAGTTCAGGGTAGAGAGTACAATGGAAAGCCCATGAGGCCACTGACAGGAAGCGACTTGGCAATGAATGGCAGGGCTCAAGCAAAGACACAGGCTATTAGGTGAGAGGTAATGATGACACGGTTTGGTATCTCTAAGATGACAATGTAGACAAAACCAAAGTCACTGCCCTGAGTTTTCTGGACAGGCAGTTTTTAACAACAGAATCTTAGCTATAAAAGGACAAGATATAACCAGCAAGCAATCAGGAAGGGAGATATCCACACACCTCACACCTTGTCAATATCAGGAGGAAGAGAACCTCAGATCTATGTCTGGTACCCAGGAACCCGACAATTTTTTTAAGCAACAGTTCAAAGAAAAATTTTAGTCAAATTTTGTAAATGAATGTTCTCCCTGTCTGTTGGATCCCGGGAACTGGGGTTATGGGTGGTTGTGAGCCACCATGTGTATGCTATAAGAGCAACCACAGAGCCATCTTGCCGCCCTCCTACAGCTCCTTTTTTTTTTTTTTTTTTTTTTTTTTTTTTGAGAGCGGGAGAGAGAGAGACAGAGACAGGCCCAGGGGATCTCCCTGTGTCAGTTTTCTCAGTGCTGAGATGACAGGAGTGAGCCACCATGTCCAGCCTATGACATTGTTTCTAAGACCAGAACAGCTCCCCTCTTCTCTTCCCTCTCATCTCCCTCTTGGCACTGCTTGGAGAAACACTCTTTGTCGCCTGAATCAAGTAGCAACTTCCCAACTGGGCCACATGGTTCTGAATTTGCCTGCCTACAAGCTACCTTATATATCAGTGGTTCTCAATCTTCCTAATGCTGTGACTCTTTAATATCATTCCTCAAGTTATGGTGACCCCCAACCATAAAATTACTTCATTGCCATTACATAACTGTAATCCTGTTACCGCTGTGAAGCATAACATAAACATCTCATATTTGGGATATCTGATACGCAGCTCCTGTTGAGAAACCAAGGGGTGGCAACCCTCTGGTTGAGAATCGCTGCTCTATACAGTGACCACTGTGAGCTTTTTGTTTGTTTGTTTGTTTTTTGTTTTTCGAGACAGAGTTTCTCTGTGGCTTTGGAGGCTGTCCTGGAACTCGCTGGCCTCAAACTCACAGAGATCCGCCTGCCTCTGCCTCCCGAGTGCTGGGATTAAAGGCGTGCGCCACCACTGCCTGGTCACAGTGAGCTTTCTTAAACGGTAGATCTAATGAAGGACTCTCCATGTTGACAATGGGTTGGTAGTTTCTCACTCCATGGTCTGGTCCTCATTTCCTCCAGCCTCCTTGGTTT